TTTGCCTTCCAGCCTGTGTGCTGGTCAAACCCTGTCCCACATCCTGCCTTGGATGGGTATGCCTGGTGGAGTAGGAGGGCTTTTAACAAAGGCCCCTGATAACTTGACTTCACATATCTTTGCCTCAAAGCCAGGGAATGCTTTCTGGGTGATAGGGGCTGGGGGGTCACCATCTCAGGACAGTCCTGACCCTGTTTCCTGGCTTGTGGGTCTGCCCCTGCCAACCCCCTCTTGTCTTCCACCTCCGCCCCCACAGGTATTAACAAGTAAAGGTGATGCATGGGCCAAGTACATGGCAGAAGTGAAAAAGTACAAAGCCCACCAGTGCGGTGACGATGATAAGACTCGGCCCCTGGTGAAATGACCCTTCCCCGCGTGCCCACGGCCTGGGACTCTCTGCGATGTACATAACTATTTAATGCAGCGGCAGCGGCGGCAGCCTTCCCCGAGGACTGGTACACAGAAGGAAATCGAGGTGCTCCCGCAGCCGCGGAGGATTCTCCAGGACTCTTTTTTACCTTGAGCACTTGCCTCCTGAGACTTAATAGAACAGTGGTTTACTGTCCCCTTTCTTCCTGCTCCTTGCTCTCTCTGGCTCTCTCCTTCTTTTAGCCTCCTTCTCCCTCCCCTTAGCCATCACTTCTGGGAAGTAAAGAACTTGACTTAGTGCCGGAGCCCTGTGCTTGGTCTGTCTTCTTTGCGCTCGTGAAACTAAACGCCAGCGGGGCGCCCCCCCTCCCCATCAAGAAGCAGCACACCTGCTAAAGCTCAATGAAGGAGGGCTGTGGGGAGGTTTGGAGACAGGGGCACATCCCCTCCTCTTGGCTTAGACTCACCTCAAGACCCATCGGTCCTCCCCTCTGACCTTAGGTCCAGCCTCTTTATAGTCCTATTTTGACTGTGACAATGGGTGTAGTTAAGGGGTAGAGTGAGTGTCTATCACATGCAAAGGCCCTGGCAGCGCACACATACACATATAAATTGCCCATTTTGACTGGGCCGAAGTTACGTTGTGCATTCAGCAGATAATTCCTGAGTACCTATTCTAATCCAGGGCAGTTGCAGGTACCCAGGACCACAGCAATGAGCAGCAGGCCACTTCTCTTTGCACTTGTAGATAGAAAAAAGAACAAAAAGGGGAAGCCCTTTGGGTGGTGACTGCAAACAAGGATAGAGTAGAGGTTTGGGGGAGATGTCTATTTTTACTGACATTTGATCAGAATCCTGAGGGAGGTGAGGAAGGGTGTCCCAGGTAACCGGATCAATTAGCATAAAGACAGATCTGAGAATGGCTGACCCTGAATTGGGGACCTGAGGAAAGACTGGCAGCAGCTGAGGTGCTGGGAAAGCATGGAAGTGATGCCCCATCTGACTGCTCAGATTCTGCCCGGTGGTTTATGGGGTAGAGAGTGTTCACTCATGTAACAAATCCAAGCATTTGATTTCATGAAGATATAGCTACCCAAACATAAAATACCTTGTCCTTGTGGCTCTGACATTGAGTTGGGGAAGGGAACACATGAGAAATGAGTACACAGAACACATAAAATGGTTATACCTTCTACACAGGAAGGTCCCAAAGGAGAGTGGAAGAAGTGGGAATTTTAAGAGTTAGTTATGGATGACCCTCCTGAGATGACATTTTGTTCTAAATCCTGAAGGATGTAGGACAGGCAGGATGGTTCTTGGAAGATTCTAGGCAGAAGAAACAGCAGGTACCAAGACCCTTAGCTGAAACTGCCTGGCTTGACAAAGACACCACAAACAGGCTTTGGAGCAGGACACCTTCCCCTCTCCCTGCTAACACAGTACTTGTCTGGTTTATTTTCCATGAGGGCTCAAAGGTCCTCTGGGGAAGCTGAGATGGCCCAGGTGTGACTTTGGCCTGGGGGATGGCACTGGGGTGGTAGGAAGATACAGGAAGCTAATGGAGGCTTTCCTATCACCTCCTCCCCAGAAGCCAACAGCAGCCACTGGATCTTTAAAAAGAAACACAACGGGAGAAGTAGGTCGCCCCTGCAGCAGCTCAGCCTCTATTCTGGAACATCAAGAGACAGGAGGATCTGAAAGTCCAAGCACCTCCCTGCACAGCACTATCCCCAACCTGGGAAAAGTGAAGGGGGAGGAGAATCAAGTTCAGGTTTTGGTGAGTCACACAGCTCTGCCTTCAATCTATTTTAGTGCCTGTTGGCTGTGTGCTTTTGGGTAAATCACTTAGCCTTTCTGTGGTTCAGATCATCTATTTTTATACATAAAAGGGTAAAAATATAGAAGCATCTCTAAAATCAAGTTCTAAAAGTAAAGTAAGAACCTGAGCTGAGGGTGTAGCTTAGTAGTCGAGAACTTTCTTGGCATGCACAATACCCTGGGTTCAATCTCCAGGACCACATTCACATTGTTAACTAACCCTGACATTGTTTGAAACTGCTATTGCTTCTCTGATGAAGAAGCTGGGCTATGTTTTGTTTTTGTTTTTGTTTTGTGCTAGGAATGAAACCCACAGCCTGCTGCATGCTAGGCTAGTGTTGAGCTACATCTTGAGAAATGGTTTGTTTGTTTTTTTTTAAATGCTGACCTTGGGCTGGGGATGTGGCACAGTGCTTGTGTAGCATGTATGAGGCCCTGAGTTTGATCCCCAATACCATGAACAACAACAGACATTGTTGGGTGTGGTGGTGCATGCCTGTAATCCCAGGGTCTTGGGAAGCTGGGGCAGAAGGATCACAAGTTCAAGGCCAGCTGGGGCAATTTTGTGGGGTGGGGATGGTGCACACCTGTCCTTTCAAACGCTCAGAGGCTGAAGCAGGTGGATGGTAAATTCAAAGCCAGCCTCAGCAACTTAGAGAGGCCTTAAGCAACTTAGACCTGTCTCAAAATAAAATATAAAAAGGGCTGGGGATATGACTCAGTGAGCACCCCTGGGGTTTAATCACTGGTACCACTGTAGTTCAGTGGCAGAACACTCCTGAGTTTCATCCCCAGTAAAACAAAAACAAACAAAAACCCTCCAACCTTTAACTTGAAGTAAGTTTGATGAGATGCTCAGGAAAGAGGATGTTGTAAGCTGAGCTCCTGTTTGTCTCCCATCTCAGATTCACGATTGGGAATCAACACCCCGAGTTTCTTTTTATACAGAAAAGAGGGCTTCTATTTGAATTGAAAAGTTTACCACTCATAGGGCTGCAGGGAGAACTGCATGAGAAAACATTTGCAAAATGCTTGACAGGTAGTAGGTGCTTAAGAAGTAGGGGGAAGAGCCAGGCATGGTGGCACTTGCCTTGAACCCAGCCTGGGCAACATAGTGACACCCCTGGAAATGGAAAGTGGGGTCAGCCTGTGGTACACCCCTGTAATTACAGCCATTCTGGAGGCTGGGGGCAGGAGGGTCCACAAGTACCAGGCTAGTCTCTGCAAATTAATGTGGCTCTCAGTAACTTAGACCCTGTCTCAAAAAAAAAAAAAAAAAAAAAAGGCTGTAGCTCAGTGGGAAAAGTGACCTTGGCTTCAATTCCCATTAAAAGTAAATAAATAATAATAAAAACATAAAATGGGGAAATATGTCCTGATTCAGCTTTCCAATTTTCAATCTGGGGACCACAGAGAGCCAACCATGTGGACCTATTTACCAAGGGCCACTCTGTTCTGCCCATACTCCCTTATTTACACAGGACTGCTGGAAACTTGCCATATTAAAAGGAGGGGTTGAACATTAACAAATTGTCTCTTGCATCCCAAGCTTCCTCTCCATTTGACTCTTATCTGGGACAGTGCCCTACCTTGATCAGAAAGCTCCCATAATTCGCACACTTCGTTGCATCACCCCAACCAATCCCCAGCCTCAAATTTCATTCTCAACATCCATCTCAGTGGGATTCCAGACTCCGCCCTACAGACCCCCCAAAAGCCCCCTACCGCCGGACTTTTGATTCTTACCTAGCGCATTAAAGGCTGCTCTGGCGCTTGGCACCATGGGATTTGTAGTTCTAGGGCTCGCAGACTGGGACTTTGCACATGCGTTGTTGGTGGCTTCCGCACGTATCTCCAGACCTGTTTCTTCCCAGTTGAACTGGCTACGGTGTGTATCCTTGCTTCTCCTTTCTCTTTAGGGAGTTTTCCTTCGCTCTCGGAGCGAAATTAGGCGTAAGCTGGCGCTCCCCTAGCCAGGAAGGCCATAATACTTGCTTTTCATGAATGAACAGAGCTGGGATGAAGTAGGGGAAGTAGGCTAACTACTGTCGCTTCAGGTTGGGGCAAACATTGATCTGTGTCTCTCCTGAAAGTCAGATAGTCTGTCAGGGAAGGGCTAGTCCTTTGGGATTAGAGCCTTGGTTCATCCGGTAAATATTGGTTTAGGGAGTGGTCGAATACAGCATACAGTCAAAGAATGGCCTTGAGCCTCACGGGGTAAAAAAAACACGCTTTAAAAGAACAGTTTATGGCTTGCCAGGTAATGCTTAACTTGGACTATCTCTAATGGAGCAAACTATTCTTATACACATTTGACGGATGGGGAAAACTGAAGCCCCGAGTGGCAGGAGGTCGCCCATCTTGATATCCGCAGGGCCAGGAGGGGAAGGAAACCTGACAGCTTCCAGGGTCTCCAGCTCTTTGCAACGCTTTGCTCTCAGGAGGAAAAACAGTGCCCTGCCGTCTTCAGATGGAGCATGGATCACGAAGATTTCTTCTTCATGACCCTGCTCTTGCCTAAATTTCTTGGGCAAGGGATTTCATCTCCTTCATCTTCAGGTAGGGAAAAGAATTAGGCCTCCTGTTGTACTTATTTTACTAATTTTATTTTATTTAAAAATTTATATCTTTTTTTGTCTCCTTGTAAAAATTGTCACACAGTATTGAAAATAAATAGCGTAAAATGGGGCGGCGGCCTCTGTAGGAACTCGGCGCGTGTCAGGCTCTTTTTCTTTGTCTCTGGAGTAAAAAGTTCACTCCAGACTCAGTCCCCCTTTTTTTTCCACATGAAGGGTACTCCCTCTGGATGGGGCGCGGAGAAAGAGGAACAATTAAGTTTTTAGGGAGATGATAAGGGCGCAGTTGACTCCCGACCGAAGGGTTCCGGGTTCATCATGCTAAAGTCTACATACACTACCAATTCCTGGCTCCTGCAAAGGGCGGCAGGCAGAAGGGTGTGAGATGCTGAGAAAACGAGACGCTCGGAAGACTAATTGGCCAGAGAGGCTTAGAGGCGGCAATCTTCCGTCACGTGACCTGGCCTTGGCCTGGCCAGGGTCTCCCTAGTGCTCGGTCACGTGTGGTGGCTGTGCATTCCGATTGGTGTGCCCGGACCAGTTTGAACGGAGTACGGAAGCCGCAACGGTTCATCTACGACCGCGTTTTTTTATTCCTTCTCTTTGGCTCCCTCCTTCCGCGCGAGTCTCAGGAGAAGCCGCAGCACTAGGCGCCGCTGCTGCCGCTCAGGGCCCGGTAAGTGGGCCTCACTCAAAGCTGGACCCGCTTGGCTCTGGCTTGCGTTCACCCCCGCCGGGCTCTGGGCCTGCGCTGCGCGTGGCCCGGGCGTCGGGGCCGCGCCCGACCGGGAAAGGCCGGGAACCCGGTTGGGCCCGATCGTCTGGGCAGGGAGAACGGGCCGGGCGGGGGAGGGGGAAACCGAGTTGAGCTTTGGGGGTGGGGCCTCGGAGCCGGGCCAGGTTGGGGTTCCGCGAGAAAGCGGGCCAGTGGGGCGGCTGGGGTCGGGCTGGAGGGGATCTCATTGGGGAAGCGTCTGGGGGCTGCTTAGGGCCTGATTCGGGGACGTCGTGAGGATCGGGTGTGTGTGGGGGCCTGTTTCGGCGGGGCTTGGTGGGTCTGATTGAGGGAGGCCGTGTTGAAAGTTGGGGGGGGCTTGTTGAGTTTGGTAGGGAGGGCCGTCAGTCTTAGGCCTAGAGGGCTGTGCTGGGTGTGACTGAGAGGCGTCACTGGGATCCGTTGAGGGGAATGCTCCGAGGGGAGTTCGGTCAGGCCTAATAGGGGGGAGCTGCAGGGGTTTTCCGACTTGAACTGGTGGGGGGCTTGGCGAAACTTGATTGGGGGAGGCAGCAGAGATCCGTCAGCAGGGCTTACTGCTGACTGGGGCAGAGGGTGGGAGGGAGAGAAGCTTGGCCAGACCTGATTGGGGCTGGCGACGGGGACGGGTGCAGGGGGCTTCTGTCGCGGGTTGGGCGAGCTTGGCTGGCTCTCATTCGGAGGCAGCGGAGACCTATCTCAGCATTGCTTCGGGCCTGATTAAGGGGAACCACTGGAACGGGTCTGGCTTGTCCAGAAAAGGGGGCGTCTGGCATCTGCTGAGCTTGAAGTACCGGATTAGAGGAGGCGGCAGGAATCTTCAGCAGGATCGGAGCACTTTGGACGGTGCACCTGGGGAAGCTCAGGGATCAGACCGGGCAGGAGGCAGCCGGGATCTGGCCGAGCTTGCGGGCCTGGTTTCGGGAGGAGAATCTTCAGGGACTGTGCTTGCACCGGGGACACCACGGGGGCCGGAGCACTATCACGGTCTGGGGCGGGGCCCCTGGATGTGGAAGCGTCTGGGTCCTCGCCCAGCGGCTGCGAGGGAGGCGGAAGCCTTAGGTCCCGCAGCCGGGGGCGGCAGCGGCATGGGTCACCGTGGGAAGAGGGCTCCACCTTGGGTCCGATGAGGATCCGCCGGACCCCGCCGCCGCCTCCCATAGCCCGCTTTCATATTCCCCCACCCGCGCTCCCAAGCCCGCGACTGCGCGGCCGAGGATGGCGCAGCTGGCGGGGACCCCGCACTTGGGCGGGTGTGGATCGGCGGCCTCCGCCTGTCCGCCGAGGGCGCTCCCGTCGTCATGCATCTGCCCCTGCCTCAGGGGCTCAACCCGGGTCTCACACCGAGACCCAGAGACCCAGCGCTGACCCAGGCCCCTACCCCTGCAGCTCGCCTTGCGCCATGGACTGGCAGCCAGACGAGCAGGGCCTGCAGCAGGTCCTGCAGCTGCTCAAAGACTCGCAGTCGCCGAACACGGCCACTCAGCGCATCGTACAGGATGTATCCTTCCTTCCTTCCGGGGCTGGGGGAACCTGGCAGATGTCTGCAGTTTCTGAAGGCCAGAGAAGGAGGGGCCCATTTCCTGACACCCCTCTCCCTGCCCCCTGCATTTTCTGATGTGCAAAAAGAGCATGGCTTGGACAGAGAAGCAAGGACTGAGTGCCTCTGTTCCATTCCTAGAGCTCAGGGATTGTTATAGAAAATAATGAAAATACCTAATGTTCTTCAAGCACTTAATTATTAAAGTAGTTGCTGTTATGTCCATCTTGTGGACAGGGATGTTGAGGCTTAAGAGAGGCAAAAGAACTTCCCAGGGTCAAAGCTCACAACCAGTGGGGAGCCAGGATGGGAAGTTCAGCCTTTTCAGATTTGATTTCAGCCTGTCCTGCCAGAATGGGAAGATAAGTCTTTAAAGCATTAAGAAGTTTCACGTGAAAATTTGGGTTTTTTTTTTTTTTTTTTTCCTTTTTGCCATGCTGGAGCTCTTGAACCCAGGGCCTTGTGCAGGGAGTGTTCTGCCACTTAGCCATACCTCCAAGACCCCCGCCCCCCTTTTAAAGCAGGCAACATTGGATGCTAAGGAGCAGAGCTGAGTAATAGCTGCCTCCCTTGTCAGATGGGGATTCTCTAGCCCTCTCCTGTTCTGCCAGGGTCTTTAGGAGTGGCTGGGGAGCTGGGGCATCCACTCTGGTCCATGTGTGTGTTTGATAGCCTGAAATGCTCTGAGCTGCTCTGGGCACAGGGGTTGATGAGTGGGATCCCAGGGGCTGGTGGCCTGGTCCCCTCAGTCACTTATGTCCTCAGCTGTGTGGCAGTGAGGGGGCTCTGCCTAGGGAAGGCCCCTGTCTCCCAAGACCCTTAACAGCCTGGCAGAAACTCAAACAACTCAACCAGTTTCCTGACTTCAACAACTACCTTATCTTCGTCCTGACCAGACTCAAATCAGAAGGTATGCTGTATGTGCCCCTCCATGTGAGCCACACCCCACCTTACCCTCATGGCTCCCTGAACCTCAGCCTCTCCCCACAGATGAGCCCACCCGTTCTCTCAGTGGACTCATTCTTAAGAACAACGTGAAGGCACATTACCAGAGCTTCCCACCCCCTGTGGCTGACTTCATCAAACAGGAGTGTCTTAACAACATTGGTGACGCCTCCTCGCTCATCCGAGCCACCATCGGTGAGAAGGGGCAGTGGGGGCTCTGGGTCAGAAGCTGCTCAGCGTGTTCAGGGTGCTGTTCACTGAATGCTCTGGCATCCTATGTGGCTGTACTGTTACCACTGCTATTTGACAGGTGAGGAGATGGAGGCACTGAGATGATAAGGGACTTGCTTGGTAAGTAGCAGAACTGGGAAACAAGCCCAGGCAGTGCAGGTCCATGTTCTGGAACCATTCCCTCTGGAAACGGCCAGCCGTTCTTGTTTTGGAGATAAGTGACTTAGTATTCAGAATTTTGTGCTAAGCGCTTCGGATCTAGCTTCCCTGCCCTTGTGGAGACAGCTATTAGCTGACTTTCACCAGTCGTGGTTCAGATGCAACATGAATTAGTTAATATTGGCCCTTCCTGATGCCTGGCAGATTGCCTCAGGAAGTTAAAGAGGGCTGGGTAGGAACTAATTGGAGCCCTATTCCCTTAAGGCTTTTCACTACTGATAAATACATTTGTTCCTCTAAGAAGGTGTTTTGTGGGCTGGGGTGTAGCTCAGTAGTTGAGCACAGGCAAGCTCACATGAGGCCCTGGGCTCCATCCCAAGGACTGCAGAGCTAAAGAAATTTTAAAGAAAATTTATAGGACTATTTCAAAGGAAAAGACAGATTTACTTATGCTAAAGGGAAGAAAATCTTCAAAATAAATGCAACAATAACAAGAAAATAGTACTAGCTGTGTGGGCCTGTCAGAAGTGCTGCTCTCATGGCTTCCTGCCTCTACAGAAGTAGCTCTAACCTCAGCTCCCCCTCTGAGCTAAGCAGAAGGATCTGGACTTCCTAAGCTCATTCTAGGTACCAGGCTCTGCTCTCAGTACTGTTGGTCCTCCAGATCCACAGGTTCCATATCTGCATATTCAACCAACTGTGATTCGAAAATGTTTGGGGAAAAAAAATTGCACCTGTACTGAATATGAACAGACATTTTTTTCCTGTCTTTATTCTCTAAACAATACAGTATTGCAACTATGTACCTAGCATTGGTATTCTGTTAGATATTTAAAGTGTATGGGAGAATGTACTAAGTATCTTTTTATGAGTGCTGGTAATTGAACCCAGGGGCACTTTAGTACTGAGCTACATCCCCAGTCCTTTTTATTTTGAGACAGGGTCTTGCAGAGTTACCAAGCTTGACCTTGAACTTGAGATCCAACTGCCTCAGCCTCCCAAGTAGCTGGGATTATAGGTGTGTGCCTGGCTGTGTACAAAGTATTATATCCAAATATTACACCATTTTCTATAAGGGACTTGATTTTGGTGTCCCTGAGATGTCCTGGAACCATTTCCCCATAGGATGACTACAACTAAATCATTGATGATTCCTAGTAGGCTTAGGAGGCTGGTGGCTGTCTTTTTGTTTGTTTGCTTTTTGTTTTTGTTTTTTTCATGGTACTGGGGATTGAGCCCAGGGCCTCAAAATACTTGGACAAGCCCTCTATCCCTGAGGTACACCCCTAGCCCTTTTTATTTTATTTTGAGACAGGGTCTTGCTGAGTTGCCCAGGCTGGCCTTGAACTTGGGATCCTCCTGCGGCAGCCTCCTGAGTAGCTGGAATTACAGGCGTGCTCTACTGCACCCGGCTCAGGCTGATGCTGATGCTGATGTTCTTTATTTCCATCGAGGGCAAAGAATGGAGGCACAGAGAGGTTAGGTGATGTGGTCAAGGTCACACTGCCAGATGGGGAACTGGGACTGCATCATGGGCTGCCATCAGTGTCCCTTATGAACCCACCTTTCTCAATTCATGAGTCCAGCAGTGAGCCTTCTGCCCTTGGGAGACACTGCCATCTTGTGGCATTAAACGCTCATCTTCCTTGACAGCAACGGTATTCAGCTCGACACCAGGACCCCTCCACTGCCCTCAGGGCTCTGTAGTTGCTGCTATTTGCTCTTCGATTTCTGACAGGCAGTAGAGCCCTCCCTGTGGCCACAAGGCCTTGCATGACTTGTTACTGTCATCTCTGTCCTCACCTCTTCCCATACTTTCCCCATTGCTCTCTGTTCTGATCCCTTCTGTGAGCCCATTAGGCCATAACTCTCCTGGGACCTTTGCCCGTCCCTCTTCCTGGGATGCTTTCCCCCCAGGTACCAGGAGGCCTTCTTCCTGACCCACTTCACCTCCCTCAGCTTGTGACTCACACGTCACCACCTAGAAGCTGAGCGTGGTGGCACACACTTGTAATCCCAGCTTCTCGGGAATCTGAGGCAGGAGAATCACAAGTTTGAGGCCAGCCTGGGCACCTTCCTTGTCTCAAACTAAAAGGGACTAGGGATGAAGAGTGCCCTGGGTTCAATCCTCAGTATTGAAAAATAAATAAATAAATAAATAAATGAAACCCGCCTCAGTGAGGCCTGCTCTGACCACCCAGTTGCTCCCCTCCCTTTCAGCCCTTGTATGTGGTTTCCCAGTATTTTACTGGGAAAAAATGTGGTGGAGCCATGGAGGGCTTCTGTGGGATAGTTTAGGGAAAGCCAGTGAATGAGTGCCTGGTGCCTAGGGGAGGGGACCCTGCAGGCCCTCACCCAGCCTGAGGCCGCCTCCTTTTCCCTCTGTCCAGGTATCCTCATCACCACCATTGCTTCCAAGGGGGAGCTGCAGATGTGGCCTGAGCTGCTGCCCCAGCTGTGCAACCTGCTCAACTCCGAGGATTACAACACCTGTGAGGTAGGTGGAGCTGTGGCCAGCCCAACCAGAGACCTAGGCCTAGCCTGCGACCCACACTCATATCTCTATTCCTCTCCTCTCCTCTCCACCAGGGAGCATTTGGAGCCCTGCAAAAGATCTGTGAAGACTCCTCTGAGCTCCTGGATAGTGATGCTCTCAACAGGCCCCTGAACATCATGATCCCTAAGTTTCTGCAATTCTTTAAGCACTGCAGTCCCAAGATCCGGTGGGCGTGGCTCCCCAGGGCATCTGAGGGTCTTGGAGTGTGTGGGCTGGCCAGACCCGGGTGACCCACATCTTTGCACCCTGCTAGGTCCCATGCCATTGCCTGTGTGAACCAGTTCATCATGGACCGGGCGCAGGCGCTGATGGACAACATTGACACCTTCATTGAGGTGCGCTGCTGGGCAGGGGTTGGGCAGGAAGAGGCCCAAGGTCTCGAGGCAGCTGACCCCACCCTTCCCTGCAGCACCTGTTTGCCCTGGCTGTGGATGATGACCCTGAGGTGCGGAAGAATGTGTGCCGTGCCCTGGTGATGCTTCTAGAAGTGCGGATTGATAGGCTCATCCCCCACATGCACAGCATTATCCAGGTGTGCATGGCCAAGGCCAGTGCAGATGGGCAGGTGGGCAGCTGGCATGGGGACTGGGGAGCCACCTGCAATTGGGCTAGGTCTCAGCTTCTCCCCCACTTGCTCCAGTACATGCTGCAGAGGACCCAGGACCACGACGAGAATGTGGCCCTCGAGGCTTGTGAGTTCTGGCTGACGCTGGCCGAGCAGCCCATCTGCAAGGAAGTCCTCGCCTCCCATCTGGTCCAGTGAGTGTTGTTGCTCCCACCCTGTCACACTCTAGCCTCCACCCCTTGCTGTACCTGTGCCTTCCCTTCTGGTCAGTCACCTCCTGAGCTTGTCCCAGTTCACGTCCTCTGTGTGTATTTACTTTCAATCCTATAAGACTGTAGCTTTAAGGACTTAAAAAAATTAGATTGATAAGACAAAAAATGAGCCTGGATCCTGGATCCAGGTGTCTGTCGGAAGGCATCTCTCTGGTCTCAAATCTGATCTTTTTCTTAGTTCTGGGGATTGAACCCAGGGGCTCTCTGCCACTGTACATCCCCAGCCCTTTTTACTTTTTCACTGGAGGCAGGGTCTGGCTGCGTTGCTCAGGCTGACCTGGAACTTGCCATCTTTCTGCCTCAGCCTCCTCCCCAGGGTTGCAGGTGTGTGCCACTGTCTGGCTAATGAGCTTAACCCTGAATCACTTTGTTGATATGGGGAGGCTGTGGGGCTGGGCCTAGAGGGGTGGCTTCTGGGGAGTGATGTGACACCCTTGGGGAATAGGATGAGAAGGTTCTAGAAGAGTCTGCAAGTCCAACTCCAGTTGAGACCATTCACTCTGCCTTTCACTTTCCCAGTGTGGCCTGGACTCAACCATCTTAGGGAGGTGCCCAGGGCCTGAGTCACATGACCATACCTTATCACATGATAAGGACCAGGTACTCTTGTAAGATTTTCAGTGTGTTTAGGGGTCTGGAATGGCCCTGGGTGGCCAGATCCAAGCCAAAGCTTTCCTGTGGAGCCAAGGAGGTATCACCTAACCATGGTGGCTGAAACTAGGTTGGGATAATTCCCCACATGGAAATGAATGGCTGCAGGATGCACAAGTATCTGCATGCTTGGCAATGTCTGCCCCTTGATAGATGCTGTTGCCCACACCTCTGCCGCCTCCTGCCCAGGCTGTACACCCCCGATGAGGGCCCCTGCACTATGACAAACATCCTCTCTTCTGACAGGTTGATCCCCATCCTGGTCAATGGAATGAAGTACTCAGAAATTGACATCATCCTGCTCAAGGTCTGGCTGGGTCTGTTGGCTGCTGAGCGTGGGTTGTAGGGCAGAGGCGTTGGCTGGGTTTCCCCTATGGTGCTGAGTGGTCTGCTGGCCTTGTCCCCAGGGGGACGTGGAGGAGGATGAGGCAGTCCCTGACAGCGAGCAAGACATCAAGCCACGCTTCCACAAATCACGAACAGTGACACTGCCCCATGAGGCCGAGCGACCTGATGGTTCTGAGGATGCAGAGGATGATGACGACGATGATGCTTTGTCCGACTGGAATCTGAGTGCGTGGCTCGGCCGGCCCTGGGGGTGAGGTGGCAGGCCCTGGGATCCCTTTCTGAAGGTGACAAGATGCTGGTGCAGGCAGATCATGAAGAACTTACCATGATCTCTCACTGGGGAGACTGACCTCCCCCCCCCCCCAGTCAAGCAGGGCCAGCCTCCCGCACATTTAGTATTCCTCATCCCATCCCCCAATTGTCCGCCCTCAGGGAAGTGCTCAGCGGCTGCACTGGATGTCCTCGCCAATGTCTTTCGGGAGGAGCTGCTGCCTCACCTCCTCCCACTGCTCAAGGGCCTCCTGTTCCACCCTGAGTGGGTGGTCAAAGAGTCAGGCATCCTGGTGCTGGGTGCCATCGCTGAGGGTGAGTCCTGTGTCTACCCTCATCCTGGGTGTGCCCCCTGGCTTGTCCGTACTTCCTGCACACTGGCCAGAGTCTGGGACTGGATACAGCACTGACAAGGCCTGCTCAGCACTCTTCAGACCCCTCTAGAGTCCCAGTCATCCCCTTGGCCCGTGGGCCCACAAGGAATCTCCAAAACCCTAACATGCATTCTCTCCGGCAGGCAGGTCAGCAATGTTGTAAGTGTAATTGCAGCAGCTGCAGCTGTGACAGCAAGTACCTCTGCAGCGCTTCTCTCACAGTAGGGCCACCCAGGCCGGGTCCCCATCAATGAACTTGCCCAGTTACCACCATCTGCTGAAGTGCGTGCCAGAACCCCAAGTTCATAGATGGGGAAAATGAGGGTCACAGAGGTGACCATACCACCATTTCCCTGCTGTCACCCAGGTGCATCAGAATGTCACACCTGATCCTGGCTGCTAGACTATCCTGACAAAAATGGAAGGGCTCAGTGGTGGACACAAAGCATGGCAGTCTGATGCAGGTGTCATGTGTGACCACGTCAGCAAACAGAGCTGTCCTAAACATTTCAAACATGGGAGCAGGAACTCTCAAGCTAGAGAGCTTTTAAATTTTTTCTGAGGAGGGCAAGGGGTGGAGCTCAGTGTTAGGGCACTTGCCTGGCATATAAGAGGCCTGGGGTTCCAACCCCAGCACCAAAAAAATATTTTTATTTTTTTCCTAAGAAAAGGTTTCTGGGCACTGCATCCCGTGTTAATAGGATTTGTCTTTTTCGAAAAAATGTAGTTGTATGTTAGGTGCATTTCATGTTGATGGGGAAGACAAAACTAGAGGAGGTGGTGCCGGGCTGGTAAGAACAAATCTTATGTGTTTGATAATTGGGGGGATAAGTTATTCTTAGTGTTCTGTTGAGGTAAGAAAGTGGTGCTCTACCTGGTATGGTGGCACACCTTATAATCCCAGCAACTCGGGAGGCTAAGGCAAGAGGATCCCTAGTTCAAGGCTAGTCTCAGCAACTCCGAATGAATAGGAGACATTATTACATGTATGATTGCACAACCGGTGTGACTGCATTGTGTACCACCAGAGGACTGAGAAGTTGTGCTCTATTTGTGTACAATGTGTCAAAACACATTTTACATGTAGAACTAATTAAAACAAATTTTTTAAAATTAAAAAAGGGGGGTGCCTGTGGCTTAGTGGTAGCACATTTGCCTGACGTGTGAGGCACTGGGTTTAATTCTCAGGACTGCATATAAATTTAAAAAAAAATAAAGGTCCATCAACTAAAAAAAAATATGAAAGGTGAGAATGAATGAATGTAAGATTACTTTGAAAGCCAAATCACTAAATAAATAAAGAAAAAATAAATAGGGCTGGGGTTGTGGCTCAGTGATGGAGCGCTTACCTAGCATGTGTGAGGCACTGGATTCGAACCTCAGCACCACTTTAAAAAATGAATAAAATAAAGGTATTGGGTCCATCTAGAACTATAGATAGATAGATAGGTAGGTAGATAAAACTGCTGGGGATGTAGCGCAGTAATAGAGCACCCCTGGGTTCGATGCTACATATACACTAACTGTGATCCTCATGTCTTTTTTGTGGTATGGGAATTGAACCCAGGTACATTCCCCCTGAGCTATATTCCCCCAGCCCTTTATTATTTGAGACAGGGTCTCCTAAATTGCTGTGGCTGGCCTCCAACATGTGAGCCTCTGGCTTCATTCAAGTAGCTGAGATTATAGGCATCACGGTGTGCAGCTGATGCTTATGTTTTTTTGTTTGTTTGTTTTGGTACCAGGGATTGAACCTAGGAATACTCCAACACTGAGCCATATCCCCAGATCCTTTTTTTTTTTTTTTTTTTTGATGTCTTATTTAGAGACAGGGTCTCACTGAGTTGCTTAGGGCCTCTCTTAAATTGCTAAGGCTGGCTTTGAATCCATATTCCTCCTGCCTCAGTTTCCCAAGCCAGTGGGATTACAGGTATGCACTATCACATCCAGCTGATATTCATGATTTTAAGAAAAGAGAAGGTGTGAGAGTATAGCTAAGTCATAGAGTACTTTCCTAGCACACTTGCCTAGTATGGTTTCCATTCCCATTATCAGAAAAAATTAGGGAAGATGAAGAGTAAAAGAAAATGCATAAACATCTAAGAATGGTTTCTTTCATGTGAGAAGTACTTCCCATCCGTCTGGATCATTGGGCTGCCCCATAGAGCTGATGAGCTCAGCGGTCCTATGGATCTTGAATTGATAGGTGACTGGATAACACATCCCCCAGATGCCATATACCTGCTCTGTCTCCCATCCTGCCCTTGTGTTTCTTGGACTCTGTGAAATGACTCTGGGCCATTTATGAACCTTAGAGCCTCAGTTTCCTCACCTGTCAGGTGGGGCTCATTCCTTCTTTCTATAAGGGTTGGTATGCCTGGGCCTAGCTGTGCTCAATCAAACCATCCCCTTTTGTCCCCTGGTCCCTGTAGGCTGCATGCAGGGCATGGTGCCCTACCTGCCTGAGCTGATCCCACACCTCATCCAGTGCCTATCAGACAAGAAGGCCCTGGTCCGCTCCATCGCCTGCTGGACATTGAGCCGCTATGCCCACTGGGTGGTCAGCCAGCCCCCAGACATGCACCTCAAGCCTCTGATGACGGAGCTGCTCAAGCGCATCCTGGATGGCAACAAGAGGGTGCAGGAAGCGGCCTGCAGGTGATCTTTAACCCCTGAGCTTGCAGCAACCCCCTCGTGGTCTCTTTGCTTTCTGGGAAGTGATGACACCTGTGACCGCTGACCTGGCCCTGATTTCTCTTGTATTCGTACTGGCTGATCCTATGTGCACCCTTCCCAATTGCATGACGAGTACCACCTGCCAGGGTCCACTAAGCCCTCCACCCTGACCCCCTCCACCAGTGCCTTCGCTACCCTGGAGGAGGAGGCCTGCACAGAGCTGGTACCCTACCTCAGCTACATCCTGGACACCCTTGTCTTTGCCTTTGGCAAGTACCAGCACAAGAACCTGCTCATTCTCTACGATGCCATCGGCACTCTGGCTGATTCTGTGGGCCACCATCTCAACCAGCCGGTGAGACCCCAGAGCAGCCCCCTACTCTCCATCCTGGTGCCCTTTGGCATCTGGTGACCTGGCGGCGACCCTGTGTCACACGCCAGGGATGTGGCCATGACCGCAACAGGCAGACAGACCCACCTGGTCCCCGCCCTCGCACTGCTCCCAGTCTAGGGGGGAGACAGACAGTTTTGAGATAGCATGGTAAGTGCTGTGCTGGGGAGTGCAGGGGCCTGTGGGAACCAGAGGTGCCGATCCAGGCTTCTGGGTGGGGGCAAGGGTTGAGGGGATAATGCTCTGGACAAACAGATGAGAACAAGAAGGGCCTCTGGCTGCATGGTGAGGCCTTGCAGAGCCCCGTGAGCCACGGCAAGGAGTCCAGGTCTCATCATTCAGGTGACAGCCTTCTTTAAGTCACCCCCACCCAACCCAGGGACCCCAACTTCCCACTCCCCCTCCAGGAGTATATCCAGAAACTGATGCCCCCACTGATCCAGAAATGGAACGAGCTCAAGGATGAGGACAAGGACCTCTTCCCCCTGCTGGAGGTGAGTGGCTCAGGTCCCCTCCCCTAGGACCACTATCTCCTGCCTGAGTTCACCTCACCTCCTCTTCCCTGCCAGTGCCTGTCATCGGTGGCCACCGCTCTGCAAAGCGGCTTCTTGCCCTACTGTGAGCCTGTCTACCAACGTTGTGTCACCCTGGTGCAGAAGACACTGGCCCAGGCCATGGTGAGCATCCTCTAACCACTTACCCACCCATTAGCACTGCTGCTGCTGCCCAGGCCCCAGCCTGTTCCCCTCACCCACCTCCCCACCCCCACCTATATCCAGATGTACACCCAGCACCCTGAACAATATGAGGCCCCAGACAAGGACTTCATGATTGTGGCACTGGACCTGCTCAGTGGGCTGGCCGAGGGCCTGGGTGGCCACGTGGAGCAGCTGGTGGCCCGAAGCAACATCATGACATTGCTCTTCCAATGCATGCAGGTGGGTGATGCCCCAAGCAGGCCACACCCCATCCCTGCTATCCCCAAGGGGTGGCAGGGAAGCAGTCCTTTACCTGGCCAGTGACAACATTCAGTAGCCCATGTGGGCTTTCCTGGGGGACTCGGCCATAAGTTGTGCCAGAGAACATCAGAGAAAGAGGGCCTTTAAAAAAGGCTCTGAGCCAGGCATGGTGGTGTATGTCTGTAATCCCAGTAACATGGGAAGCTGAGGCAAGAGCACTGTAGGTTCCAGTCCAGCCTGGGTAACTTAGCAAGACCCTATCTCAAAATAAAAGGGCCAGGATATAGCTAGGTGATATAGCATCCATGGTTTAATCCCTAGTCCCACTAAAAAAGAAAAAATGGCAAACAGGGGTGGGGGCATAGCTCTGGTAGAGTGCAGCTGGGTTCAATTTTCAGTACCGAGGAAAAAAGAATTGAAAGCACACATCCTGCCCCGCACACACACCCAAGAACATTCTTGGTATTTCTAGATGACATCTACAAAGATGTCAGTGATATGCAAATAGTTGGTTAAATTGAACTGTTTAAGAAAGGATGTCGGGCTGGGGATGTGGCTCAAGCGGTAGCGCGCTCGCCTGGCATGCGTGCGGCCCAGGTTCGATCCTCAACACCACATACAAACAAAGATGTTGTGTCCGCCAAGAACTAAAAAAAAATAAATATTAAAAAGTTCTCTCTCTCTCTCTACCTCTATCTCTCTCACTCTCTCTTAAAAAAAAAAAAAAAAAAAAAAAAAAAAAAAAAAAAAAAGAAAGGATGTCAAGGAAAACATTCTGTGTGTTTAGTCCACTTGGATTTTTTTTGTTGTGGTGGTGGTGCTGGGGATGGAACCTAGGGCCTCAAGCATGTTAGGCAAGTGCTCTACTATTGAGCCATATCCACACTCTGAAAGGGGACAAGAGCATGGGACTAGTGCTAGGCGCAGCAGCACACACCTATAATCCCAGCAGCTCAGAATGCTGAGATAGGAGGATGGTGAGTTCAAAGCCAACCTCAGCAAAAGCCAGCTGTTAAGCAACTCGGTGAGACCCTGTCTCCAAATAAAATAAATCCCCAGTAGCCCCCCACCAAAAAAAAAAAAAAAGAGCAGGAGATTAGAGTGGTTAAGGGATAGCATTGAGCAATGGCACATTCCCGTCACCCCAGCTATTCAGGAGGCTGAGGCAGAAGGATTATAAGTGAGGTTTTGTTGTTGTTGTTGTTTTGTGGATCTTGGGGATTGACCCAGGGTGCTGTACGACTGAGCCACATCCCCAGCCCTTTTATTTTGAGAGGATCTCACTAAATTGCTTAGGGTCTCAACTAAATTGCTGACAGTTTAGTATCTCTAAATAAAAATGGCTAGAGGTAGAGCTCAATGGGAAACTCCCCTTATTCCCATCTCCAGTATTAAATAAAATAAGGAAAAGTCAGTGTTCAGGGCCAGGATGTACTATACTGTCCCTTCTCCTGCCCCAGGACTCAATGCCTGAGGTCCGGCAGAGCTCCTTTGCCCTCCTGGGAGACCTCACCAAAGCCTGCTTCATCCATGTCAAGCCCTGTATTGGTAAGTCACTGCCCTCAACCTGTGACCCCAGCCCTGGCCTCAAGTGATGGAGACACACTGTGGGAGAACCGTGACCGTACTGGGATGTGTTCGTACTGTCTGATGGGCTTGCCCAGCTAGTTGCAGGAGCTTACCGTGGCTGGCCTTCCTTCTCAGCACTCCTGTTTCTCTCCACCAGCTGAGTTCATGCCCATCCTGGGCACCAACCTGAACCCTGAATTCATCTCTGTCTGCAACAATGCCACCTGGGCCATTGGGGAGATCTGCATGCAGATGGGTGAGTGCCCTGAAAGAGGGCAGGCTGGCCGTGTCTCCTCATGGAACTGCTCTGGGTTTCCCTTGAGGGTGGAGCCAAGTGGCTGAAAAATCATTTGTGATTTGCTTTCCCAAAAGGGCGGGACAGGAGGGCTGTTTGTATTGGACTGTGTTATGTAGTTGCTGAAAGCCCTATTGGATTGGTTGGGTGACTTTGGCCTCTTTTCCTGAAGGAGTACTGGGTGGTGTGATGTCATCATGGAATTCAGTGGTGACTGCAGGGGAGCCTCTGGTGTTTGGAGGATGTGGGTCTGTCTCTGGTTGACCATGATTCTGAGCTGAGGAGCAGCAAGAGAAGAGCCTTTGTGCCCTCAGCAGTTGTGGTTGGCCAGTCTAGGGATGGAACTGGGGTCAGTGAGGTAGAGGGGCCATACCTCTGATTGGGTCAGAGTGGGTGGAGTAGGCTGTGCAGGTTTCTGATTGGTTGCTTCCCTAGGGGCAGAGATGCAGCCCTATGTGCAGATGGTCCTCAGCAATCTGGTGGAGATAATCAACAGGCCCAACACACCCAAGACACTGCTGGAAAACACAGGTGGGTGCCAGGCCTGGGCCACTGCCCCTTGCCTTCCTCTTTGAGATGGGGTTCTGCACTGGGAAGGGAGCCATTGAAAGTCTTGGGAAAGTTCTGGTATTGAGAAAGGGGTTCTGGGAGAAGCCCAAGAAAAATGCTGGCCTCAGGGAGACCTTGGAAGAGATCCAGGCTGGGCCATGCTTAGGGGCCCAGGCTGGCTGCAGGAGCCGTTTCCTTGGGGCCCATGGGGCGGGGCTCGGTGCCTCGTACCAGAGGCCCCGCCACGTACCGTCCCGGGGCCACTCGGGGTTGCAGGTCGCCTGACGAGTCCCTCTGCCATTCCAGCCATCACCATTGGCCGCCTGGGCTACGTGTGCCCACAGGAGGTGGCACCCATGCTGCAGCAGTTCATCCGGCCTTGGTGTGTGCCCTCCTGGGTGGGGCCTGGGCAGTGGGGTGGGTGGGACAGGCAGGCCTGACCACTTCCCTTGGCTGTGCCCCCGCCCTAGCTTACCCCCGACAGATGCATGACCCAGAGCTACCCACTGAGGCCCTGCTACCCTGTCCCCCATTGTTGTACATTCAGCGCCAGTCCCCACCTCTGACCCGCTGCCCACCTTCCTGCAGGTGCACATCCCTCAGGAACATCAGGGACAACGAGGAGAAGGACTCTGCCTTCCGGGGCATCTGCATGATGATTGGTGTCAACCCCGGGGGTGTTGTGCAGGTCGGGCAGCTGGGCTCTGAGGGCAGGGTGGGAGCCGGCTCGGGCGGTCCCTCACATGGGATCCGTCATGTTTCAGGACTTTATTTTCTTCTGCGACGCTGTAGCCTCCTGGGTGAGCCCGAAGGATGACCTTAGGGACATGTTTTATAAGGTGAGGCTCCAGCTCAGCCCTGATTCTTTCCTGGGAGAGGGTGGAAGCAATCTCTGGCCATAGGGGGACAAAGCCAAGTTTAGCTGTGCCCTAACCCTGACCCTTCACCCCTACCTCACCACAGATCCTCCATGGCTTCAAAGACCAAGTTGGGGAGGAAAACTGGCAGCAATTCTCGGAGCAGTTCCCGCCACTGCTCAAGGAGAGGCTGGCAGCCTTCTATGGGGTCTAGGCTCATGTGGAGACTGTCAGGTGAGTGAGTGGGTCTTGCCACCCAGGGCTGACTGGCCAAACCCATGCAGGGCCCTGACCCTCCCTTTCCCCTGCAGGTTTCTGTCTGCCTCATCGTCTGAGGGATTGCTGGGGAGCACGCTGCGTCCAGAAGTCGCTGTGCCCTGTTCCAGGGGGGTTAGGGAGGAGTGAGCGGGACCCAAATCCAGACGCCTTCCCAGTCCGTCCAACCGTCCACTTGCCCCACTAGGCCTATGTGGCCGGCGCTTGGGCAGGTGGGTGGGGCCTCCACGCTCATCCTACAAACAGGGAGGGGGGTGGGACTTCTTGGCAGGCAAGAGCCCCCAGGCTCTTCTAATGGGGTCATCTCAGGCAGCCCACCTGGGCCAGCCACATGGGAGGGAGGAATCAACACAGCCGACTGAATCCGGCTTTGGATGAGGCGAGGGGATCGCAGGAGGGGAGGGGGGTCCTTGTAGAGACGCGTACACACACATGGCCACACGCATGTGCAGGCACCGCAGCCAGCCAGTCTGGGCCAGCCGCCCCACCATTTCCCCGACTGCATGGAGACAGTAGAATTAGTGAACCCCTGAGTTAAGCCGTACGGCCTTCCTTGTAACTTGCATCTAGAGTATAAGAAGCTTCCGCTGTTTTGCCGGAATCGGCGGTGATTGGGGAGGGCTGGGGGGGTTGGGGGAGCCTCAGCCGGGATGGGGGGAGGAAGATGGCCACTTTGAGGCCGCCCCGTCAGCACGCACACGCTTTGGACCTGCTCCATACACTTCCCTGCCAGCTTCGTGGCAGCCTCAGCCAATGTGTCCCCATCCTAGTCCCATCCCAGCCAGCAGAGTGGGGACCACCAGAGTGGCCAGAGCTGGTCCGAATTCGCCATTTCGCTCCCTGTGCTCCAGTGGTATTTGTGCTCCCAGCACTGGCCTGGGGCGTTTCTTTCCTGAGGAGCTGGGACAGAGCTGCTAGTACCTAGCCCTGTGTCTCTTGCGGGAAGGAGCTTCAAGGGCAGGCTGGTTCTCTGCATTCCTGAGAACCCCCTGAAGTGAGTGGGGGTCTTTAACTGGTGATGATATTGGACAGAGGTTTATGCAAGAAGTAACCCCAGAGCTTGGAGCAAGGGAAGGTGGAATGCCCCTGGCCCCCACTTTGTCCCTCTGGGACTTCCTGCTCATCACAGTGCCCAATGGGCTTAGACCCCCACCAGACTGGGACAGCACTTCTATAGAGAACCTTCTCAGATTGGTTGAGGGTGCAGTCAAGGTGGGCGGGGGCTCCCCTGGAGAAGGGGGTACAGTTATTTCTGAGTTGGCTGGGAAACTGGGCCCTGCAGACCCCTTCACTTCATTTTTTTTTTTCTTTCCTGCTTTCTACTACTTTGGGGGGGGGGGCTTGTGTTTTGGGGTTTGACTGGAGTCCTATATCCTATGGCCTGTTCCATCTATCCCTCCAAGGCCCTGGATCCTACCCTGGCCAGGTGTCTTATCAGATAGGGTCAGGCCCTACCTCTATTCCAAGGCGTACTTAGTGCACATTCCATAGTTGAGCTGTTCCTGCCCCCACCCCTACCCCACCAAAACTTGAGCAGGTCTCTGGAAGCCATTTGTAAAAAAAAAAAAAAAAGAAAAAGAAAAAAAAGAAAAGAAAAGAAAAAACTTTTTAATACCATTTAGTTTTCTGCTAATTCCACTTTGGAGCATCCTCCACTGAGTCTTGCGGTATATGGATGGATTGGCTGTCTGATGGAATTGGTAACCCCCTTTCCATCAAAGATGGGGGGCTCTAACCACCTTCAGGGAAGGGGAGCCTGGTTCTTCTACTTTTTCTTTTCTTGTATTCTTTTTTTTTTTTTTTTTAAGAAAGCTATTTAATTTTTTAATTTATTTTTGGTTGGTTTTTGCACAATGAAGTTTCAGCTTCTCAACTTTATTCCCTGTCTAGGGCTGTGGACCCAGATTGGCCTTGATCCACAGTCCCTCTCCCCTTGCCCCGAGTCCCTCCTCACCCTCTTTTCCCTGCAGGCTCCCAGGTCTGTCCATTTGTTACCGTGCTGTGCTGGGGATTGGCGCCAAGGTGGCGTGAGATTCCACTTGTGTAGAACTTTGTTGAGTAAAGATCAGTTTCTTGTGAAACCTTTGTTCTCTATTTTCTTGTGTCCTTGGCTTTGGTAGTGGAGGCCTGGGGTGCTTTAGAAATGGGAACAGAACTACAGTCAGGAAGTAATCGAGGGACCCAAAAAGTAAGAATTTTTTGTTGTTTTCAGTACAGAGGGTGCTTATCACTGAATCACATCCCCAGGACTCCCACACGGTCTTTTAAAATTAAAACACATTTCAGGGCAGGTTCTCATTAAATTGCTCAGGGCCTCATCAAGTTGCTGAGGCTGCCTTTGACCTCATGATCCTCCTGCCTCAGCCTCTGCCTCCCGAGTTACTGGGATTACAGGTATGCACCACCATCCCTGGCTTAAGCGTTAACTTGAAACCTCAACCCTGTTTTATTCCTTAACCCTGTTTTATTCCTTATAAGATATAAGGATGAATGTGGAAAGGGAAAGCCTTGCTTAGGGTCTCACTAAATTCCTGAGGCTCTCCTTGATCTTGCAATCCTCCTGCCTCAGCCTCCAGAGTTGCTGGGATTACAATTCTTGTCTGTAGACAAGCGGTGCACATTTGCAATCACAGCTAATTAGGAGGCTGAGGTGGGAGGATTCCAAGTTAAAGGCCAGCCTGGGCAATACAGCAGAACTCTGTTTCAAAAACAAAAATCTCCAACAGGGCTTTGCTGGCCCAGCGCACTCGGTGGCCCTGGAGCGCCAAAATGTTTCCTGGCTCCTTAGGTGTCATTCTTTAGGGCTGGGGTTGTGGCTCAGTGATAAATCGCTTGCTTATCACGTGTGAGGCATGGATTCCATCCTAAGCACCAATAAAAATAAAGAAAAAGGTATTGTGTCCATCTACAATTTTAAAAAGTCATATACAAAATGAAGTCGCCTTCATAGCCCACAGGGTGCTGCTAGGCAGCCTCTTGGAACTTCCTATTCCTCAGCGACCGCCTCGGGGCTGGAGGTGGAACCTAGGGTCTCCCACACGCTACGCCAGTGCTCTAAATGCTCAGCCCACGGTTTTGGTTTTGGTTTTTTGGTGTGTGAGTGTGCTGCTGGAGATGAGCCCAGCGCTTCGCGCCTGCCAGGCCGATGCTCTACCACGGAGCGGTATCCTCTGCAGGCTCGTCCCGGCACCCGGCCTGTGGTACTGGGGCAAGCGAAAAAGCTGCGGCGCGGCGACGACCTTCAGGACAAAACTGGCTCCGCAAGGTACAACAGAGGTGCTCGTTTTAAAACGCGGTACCGTGAGTCTGGGTTTTCCAGTTCAAGGCCGACGCTTTCGGAGACCTGGTCTAGGGCCTCGGCCGGTTTCCCAGCGAGCCGCTCGGTTCCGGCCGGCAACGTCATCAGACAGCGCCGGAAGTGTCCCCACGCTACCTAGGAGACAGGACGCGGAGCCTGGCGCTGACAGGGCTCTGCGGGCCGCGCCTACCGGTCGCCATGGAGCTTCCCCCAGGGCCGTTCGACAATCCCCGCGCTTGGGACGATGACTCGGAGCCAGAGCCGGAGCCCGAGCCCGACCCCGACGCCCAGGCCGAGGCTTACGTGGCCCGCGTACTCAGCCCGCCGAAACCCGGGCTGGCTGCCCCACGCGCCCCGCTGCTGTCCACGCCCGCCGCGTCCCCCGGCGCCCTGGAGCCAAAGGCGGCGTCCAAGAGCCCGACTGCGGGTACGCCGGGCCTGCTGAGCCTTCCCCCGGAGCTGCTGCTCGAGATCTGCGCCTACCTGGATGCGCGTCTGGTGCTCTTTGTCCTGCCGCGCGTGTGCCACACGCTGCGCGACCTCGTGCGTGACCATGTCACCTGGAGGCTACGCGCGCAGCGCCGCGTACGCGCGCCGTACCCGGTGGTAGAAGGTGCGCGCACCTGGGGGTCAGGGACGCCCTCCCAGGTCAGGCTTGGGGTGGGGGGGAAGGGACCTGGGTTGATGTGGACACAGCTCTTGGAACAGGCTTCACGGCGTTTTGGCCCTGGCTGGAGCCTGAGGTAGTTTCTGACGGTGCCACAGTCCCTGATCTTTGGGTGGACCATGAGGCAGACACGTGGGTTCCTGAGACCTCTGGAACCGGGGTCCCTGAACTCACTATTAAGGATTCCGAGGCTTGGGGTATGCTGGTACTAAGGCCCTGGTTCGGAGTAACCCGAGCTGTGCTTGGACTGAGAGTAAGCCTGGAATTCTCAGGCTGAGGTGGCAATTGGTGATGCCAAACCCCTTGAGCCCTAGAGACTTAACCCTGGAGGACAGAGGCAGGGGTTCCCAGTCTAGAGCCTGCAACACGCCTAGGGCTTAGGGGCTGGGATCCTTGATAACAGCAATCACAGATCTTCAAGTCCTGGGTCTAGTCTGTCATCTTAGGCAGGGGCTGATGGTCACTCCTCCGGCCCTTAAGTTCATTAGTCCTTGAGGAAGAAGAGAGCCTGGGGATCTTGAATTGATATAGTTGATCTTTAAAAAAAAAAAAAAAAAAAAAAAACTTATTTATTTTAGTTTTTGATGGACCTTTAGTTTTTATCTATATGCCATGCTATAGAACACAGTGCCTCACACATTCGAGGCAAGTGCTCTACCACTGAGCCACAACTCAGCCCCGATTTAGTTGATCTTGATATTGGATCATCAAGCCCTTGAGCCAACATGAGTAACAAGCTGGATGGTTGATGACCCTCACTTGCAAGCTTTGATTTTGCAGGAGCTTTTGGATCAGCAGTTCTCAAGGTGTTTCCATCTGACCCATTGAATCTCTGTACTTGGTACCTGGATTCTATGTTTTTGTCTCCTGTCCTGGGGATGGAACCAAGGACCTCATTCATGCTGAGCAAGCACTTTACCACTGAACTACCAGCCCCACCCCCCTTGGATTCTGCATCTTACAAACTCCCAGCTTCATGCATAGTAGTTGGAGAAACACTTCCCTGGGTCTGATTCAGGTGGCTGAAAATTTGTCATGAGTTCCCAGCCTGAGGATTGAGGGGCTGAGGCCAGATCTCAGCCAGGGGTGAGACAGGACCTTAACTTCCTGAGGTTGCTGTCCCCCAGGGTTGAGTTATAAGGGTAGGCCTGGAAAAGTAGTCTTGAGGTCCCAAGTTCCGTAAGGTCCTAGACCTGCCTGAGAGGTGGGTATGTAGGTGGGCCCAGAATTGAAGCTTGGCTTATTTGGGGTAGGTGAGAGGTTCAGGTGGGATTCTGTTCAAGTCTGGTGTAGGTTGTGATCCCTGGAAACCAGGGGTGGGCTCTGCCAGCTGGTGCCCACTGGGGAACCTGCTCATGGTGCCCCACAGAGGAGGACTTTGACTGGCCGGCAGCCTGCATTGAGCTGGAGCAGCACCTGGCCCACTGGGCAGAGGATGGGCGCCGGGCTGAGTACTTCTGCTTGGCTGATGGGCACTTTGCTTCCATTGACACTGTGCTGCTGCTCCAGGTGAGGTGAGCTCGGTGGGGGGGGGGGCAGGCAGGGGTGGATCAGAATGGCTCCAACAACATCAATTTGCTCCCCTCCTAGGGTGGGACACTCTGTCTGTCGGGTTCCCGAGATCGCAATGTCAACCTGTGGGACCTGCGGCAGCTGGGGGCAGAGCCCAGTCAAGTTCTGGTCAAAGCCTTGGGCACTCAGCAGAATAGCACCCACAAGGTGAGGGGGCAGGAGGAAGACACATGAGGCCTGGGTTGGGTGCTGTGGTTAAGGGCCTGGGTTTTAATGCTGGACTCTGTAACATTGAATCTCATTCTGCTATTGTTGGTGTGACTTTGGGTGAGATGTGTGATACTCTGGGTCTCAGTTTCCACTTCTGTCCAGCGGGTCAGTTAGTAGGATGATGAATGGAGATGAATTATGCATTAATATGAAAATGCATGAACCTCAGGATTTGCACACAATAGGTGCTCAGAAGAGGTCAGATAGTGGGCATGATGGCACAGGTCTGTAAGTTCAAGGCCAGCTACAGCAATTTAGCAAGGCCATTTCTCAAAATATAAAAAGGGCTGGGATATAGCTCAGTGGTAAAGTGCCTCTGGGTTAAATCCCCAGCACAAACAAAACAAAACAAAAACAAACAAACAAACAAAAAAAAAAACAGATTCAGGTAAATCTCAAAAGGTAAAGTATGGGGCAGTGTGAGGCTTCCCTTTGGGATCAGCCAGCCTCAGCAAGACTGTCCTTGCCTGAGAAGTGACTGAGGGGTGGGGCCACTACCAGTCATCCAGGCCCACAGTTGACAGACTGGGGGCTGGATTCGCATTCATTCTGCTACACCCTGTCTATGTGACCTTGAATGAGAGACTCAACCTTTCTGTGTCCCATTTTCATCATTTATAAAACAGGGTGCGAGCCAGGTGCAGCGGTGGACACTCAGGGAGCTGAGGCAGATGGACCATAAATTTGAGACCAGCCTTAGCAGCTTAGGAAACCCTGATGGAAAATACAAAATAAAGAGGGCTGGGCTGGAGGCCGGTGGTAGAACACCCCTGGGCTCAACCCACCCAACCACAAAGCAGGGCACATTACAGTGCTTTCCTCAGAGGGTTTGGTGAGAGTAAGCCATTCAGTTTCCAGCACTCTGGGTGTGAATGTGACTGGGGGTGTGACCCATCCTTGTCTCTAATGTCAAACAGACCCCCACACCCAAACCGAGTTCTCATCCAGGATGGACGTACTCTGGCTCCTCTCTCCCTCCTCTGATCCTGACTTTGTCATCTGTGAGATGGGATAATCACATGGAAGCAGACCTGCCCTAGCATCTGTCAAAATGGGTGTTAGGGAGGAAAAACTGTGTGGCTCTGAGTGAATCTGTTGATCTCTCTGAGCCTCATCTGCAGAAGCAGAAAGGTGCCACCCAGCTTGTCCCCTGGGCTGTGGGCAGGAGCAGGTCCTGAGCTCACTAGATGGGGAGCCATGGGTGACTGCTGTGCCTGGTCCCGCAGGGCTGGGTGTGGTCGCTGGCCTCTCAGGACCACCGCGTGTGCTCCGGCTCCTGGGACAGCACTGTGAAGCTGTGGGACATGGCAGCTGATGGGCAGCAGTTCGGCGAGATAAAGTGTGAGGGGGCCTGGGCAGGGGGCCTGGGTGGGTAGAGCCATGCCAGGTCACCTCCCCAGCCCTGTGGTCTTTGTGTCCCCAGGGGCAGGGCAGCAGTGCTGTGCCTTTCCTACCGGCCTGACATCCTGGTGGCTGGCACCTACGACAAGAAGGTGACCATCTACGACCCCAGAGGTGGGCTGGGAGTTCTGGAGCCCAGTTGGGGAAAGCAGGGCCACCTGGGGTCTCCAGAGTCATATTGGGAAAGGAACACTCTGGCCTCAGCCTAGCTGGGGTGATAGTCACCTAACAAGGTGCTAACTCCTGAGAGTGGTCAGGGTCGTGTGAAGGCACCACAAGCAATTGGGACAGGGGACGCAGAGGAAGCCTGGCCAGTCCCCAGAGTTGGGTCAGATCCTGGCTTCCCCTCTCTCCTAGCTGTGTGACTCCAGGCACTTTCCCCTCCTGTAACATCCAAGTCATGAGCTGAGAGTGTCGGGCAGTGGTGAAGCATCTCCTGCTAGCATGCAAGGGGCCCTGGCACCACCACACAACCCCCACTTCATAACCCTCCAGCCCATGGGGTAAAGGAATGGGATGGCATTGGTGGAGCCAAGCACAGTGTCCCACCTAGAATCCCAGTGACTCAGGAGGATTGAAAGTTGGAGGCCAGCCTCAGCAACTCAGTAAGACCCCATCTCAAAAATAAATAAATAAATGAAAAAGACTGGGGATGCAGCTTAGTGGTAGAACTGTCCAGTAAAACACGCACACGCACACAAACGAACATTGGTGAGTTAAATACATAAAAGCACCTAGAACAAGCCCACGCAAGTCTTTTCTATGGTTCTATGGTTTATTTATTTATTCATCCTTATTTTGTGAAATCCAAGGGCCAGTGAGCACTCTGTCCAGGCAGAGGTGGAACGGGGGACCAGGGTGGGACAAGATGCTCCTCTCTGAGCTGAGAGGAGCTGGTGGGGTTGGAGGAGCTGGTGGGGTTGGAGGAGGAGGTGGCTTAGGAGTCGGGGCCGGGCAGGGGCCTGGGCTCCTGGGCTCGGCTAGAGAGAGGAGAGAGATGGGCAGCTGTGGACAGCGCCAAGCCAACTGAGGACATTGCCAGGGGTGGTGGCCCAGGGTGTTCAGATAAGTCTGGGGTCCCTGAGGTGCTCTGATGTGCCCCCTCCTCCCCGGCCTGTGCCACCAGCCGGCCCTGCCCAGCTGCAGAGCCGGCGGCTACACTCCAGCGCCGTCCTGGCGCTCGTGGCCGACGACAGACACATCGTCTCCAGCAGCGAGGACCACACCCTCGTGGTGTTCGACCGCCGGGCCAACAGTGTCCTCCAGCGGCTGCAGGTGGGCAGGCCCTCCGGGGGTCCCAGAGCAAGGGGCTTTGGCCCGCCCCGCTGAGCTGCCCTCTTCCGCCCGTCCCTCCTGCAGCTGGACTCCTACCTGCTATGCATGTCCTACCAGGAGCCCCAGCTCTGGACGGGCGACAACGGGGGCCTGCTGCACGTCTTTGCCAGCTGTGACGGCTGCTTCCAGCTTGTCCGGGTCTGCAAGGGCACTTCCCTGCCCATCGTCCCCCTGGGCTGCTTCCTACCCTAGCCCCCAATGCCACGGTGGGAGGCCTGGCCTTGAGGAGACCTTGCCTGAGTGTCACTCGTCCCACCTGCCCCCTGCAGTCCTTCGACGTGGGCCACAGGTCTCAGATCACAGGGATCAAACACTCGCTGGGAGCCTTGTATACCACGTCCACCGACAAGACCTTCCGGGTGAGGAGAGTGCTCACCCCACGGTCCCCATGGGCCAGAAATACACCTGTTGACCTGTTTTCCGTTGCCCTTCACAGGTGCACGTGCCTACAGACCCTCCAAGGACCATTTGTACCCGAAACCACCACAATGTACTAAATGGGGTAAGGACCTGCCCCGTGCACCCTGTCCAGCCTTCCCGAAGGGCCATCTGTTGACTCCTCTGTCCCCTGTCCTCCCAGATCTGTGCTGAGGGTGACGTGGTGGTGGCTGCCTCGGGGGGCCTGTCGTTGGAGGTCTGGAGGTTTCAGGCCTGAGCAAGTGGACGCCATGTATTTTGTGTACTGCCGGCCGCAGGCTGAGCCCTGGCCTCTGTTCTTGGGGGACTTGCCCCCATTGGTGCTGACTCTGCCGCTGCTCCTCAGGCCCCGGATACACAGAGTCCCAGCCCCAGCCAGGGCTGGGCCCCTTGTCTGGAGAAGTGATGTTGTGTTCTGGCCTGCCAAGGGGGCTGCTCCCCACTCAGGTCCTGGTTTGGTCATGATCTGGACGCCATGCTCTGTGTCAAGAGCAAAAGAAAATAAACCTGATGACCTGTGCAGATGCTCTGGCCTGGGCTCTGTGCTCCGTGAAGCCGAGGCACATCCCTGCCTCGGCTGGGATCCTGTGGGTGGCATGTGACAATGGCCCACCAGGGCTGGGGTGCACACGGGGGCCACTGCTGAGCGTGTGCGTGCATGCAGGTGTGTGCACAAGGGAATCCTGAGGTGGATGATGGCACTTCTGTGTGTGGCCATTGTGGCGTGTGGATGGTGATTGGAACCCAGGTGTGTGTGTATGTGGCGGGAGCAGGCATCTGCTGGGGCCGTCCCTAGGAGCCAGGAGCTGTAGGGGTGTGTCTGCTGCTGTGCCCATAACTCTAGAGGTGGTGGGGGAGGGAGGTGGCTCAGTTGTGTGCCTGTCCCTGCAAGCCCACTGTCCCCTGGCCCCCCGTCTCAGCCCAGCCAAGCTGTGCCCCAAGAAGCAATCACTTCATGTTTATTGAGGCTCCCTGGGTTGCCAGGGCTGTGGGGTGGAATTATGGGGTCACAGGATGGCACAGGGCTTCTTCTCCTTGAAGGGGTTGGTGGCAGCTGGAATGCCCACGAGGAAGGGGTCACTCTTGGCCTGCTCCGTGCAGAACTGTAGTAGGTCAGTGGCTGCCTTGGATACCTGCAGACCGACCCTGTCAGCCAGACTGGGCATCTGCTGCTCCCCCGCCCGCCCAGGTGTGCCCCCTCCCCTGCCCCCTCGGCTGCCCCAATCCTCACCTTCACACGGTCGATGCCTGCCTCCATCCTTAGTTGCTCCACCGCCCGGCGGGCCTGTCCAATGTCACTGCCAATGGCCACCTTGCTGGACATCTGAGGGAGGGTAAGCAGGCTATGAGCAGTTGGCCTAAGCCCAGACCCCAAACCTAGGGCCACCTGAGGGACCCTGCCCCTCCTCCTGTTGCCCCTGGAGATGATGAGGCGGCTCTTCCACCTGTGGGCTCAGGGAGCTCTGCTGAGGGCTCCTGAAGGTGTCCGGCTGCTGGCTGTGTGCAGCCACCTCTGCCGGGCTCCCCTCCCTGCACCCGCCTGGTCTCCCCTCCCAGGTCCCCTCCCTCCCCACCCCTGCAGAGACTTTGAAGCCAGGATTCAGTGAAATGTCACCAGCAGCAGCAGCTGCCTTAGCAGAGGGGGTTCCTGCCCCAGGAGGCCCAGCTGCTCCATAGTGTCACATGTGTCGCAGTGGGCATCCCCAGGGGCGGAGAAGCTTTGTGGGGCATTGAGGAGCCCAGGCCTCTCTGAACTGCTGGATTCCCTGCTGGCTGTTGCCACCCAGCCTCTTGACAGCTTCTGCCACCCAAATGGCACGCAGTATTCCGGGCTCCGTCTCCACCGCCTGATCTCACCCAAGATAGGACTCCACTCGCTAATGAGGCCTCTCTCCCCATCCCTGCCCCCTCTTCCCTGAGCTCCAGACCTGGGGCCCCCATCCTTCCTCAGCACATCACACTGCTCTGTCACTCAGATATCAAATAATCTCTTTAATTCTTTTCTTTCTTTTCCCCTCCCTTCCTTCCTTCCTCTTTCTTTTGCCCTAGGTTTGAACCCAGGTACCTGTACCACTGAGCATTTAGTTTTTTGAGTCAGTAAGTTGCCAGACTGGACTTGAACTTTTTTTTTTTTTTTTTTTGAGTATAAATATGAAGATTTTATTTTTGAACTTTCTTGTATTTCATTGGTCTATATATCTGTATATTTATGTCAATACTACTTTTTTAAAATATGTATTTATATACTTATTTATTTTTTGGCGGACACAACATCTTTGTTTGTATGTGGTGCTGAGGATCGAATCTGGGCCGCCCGCATGCCAGGCGAGCGTGCTACCGCTTGAGCCACATCCCCAACCCTGTCAATACTACTTTTATTTATTTTTTTAAATTTTAAATCTTTTTGAAAATTTTGATTTGTTATATATGACAACAGAATGCATTCAATCCATATTACATATATAGACCACAATTTTTCACCTCTGGTTGTGCTCAAAGTAGAGTCACATCCTTTGTGTCTTCATATATAAACTTGGGGTAATGATGACATCACATTCCAGTCTTTCCTACCCCATGCCCCCTCCCTTCCCCTTTGCCTTGAACTTTTTTAAAAAAACCTTTTGTAGTTGTGGATGGACAGCTGAGGATCGAACCCAGTGCCTCACACATGCTAGGCAAGGGCTCTGCCACTGAGCCACAGCCCAGCCCTGGCCTTGAAGTTAGTGATCCTCCTGCCTCAGTCTCCTGAGTAGCTGGGATGACAGATGTTTGCCACCACACCCTCCTCTTATTCACCTCTAACCTCACTTGGCAAAACAGGACCCTGAATCATGTCCCCCAAGACCTTCTGTCCTCTAGTCAAGTTCACTACTGTCCCCAACTGCTCAGCCCAGATTTCCAACATCTCCATCCCTCTTTCTCTGATCCTAACCCAACTAACCCTATCTCAGGTGCCATAAGATCAGCTTCAAATTAGGTTTTCTCTCTGGTCTCTTCCACCCTTCACACCACCTGGACCACGGCGGTCACCCAAGCCCTGGTCACAGCTTCCCCTCTGTCCTGGCCTCTCCCCTGACTGTTTTTCTAAAGGCAGTCAGTGTGATGTGTAGAACAAAAATAAAAAACCTCTCCCACGGACAAAGCTCACTCTCCTGGCCACAGTCCAGGGCGCCGCCGCCTGCCCCTCTGCAGTTTCCTTCTTTTTTTTTCTTTTGAGACAGGATCTTGTTATGCTGCCCAGGCTGCTCCCAAACTCCTGGCTCAAGTGATCCTCCTGCCTCAGTCTCCTGAGTAGATAGGACATGCAGGCAGGTGACACCATGCCTGGCTCCCAAGTTACTGGTCATCAGCCCCCCTCCCTTACCCCTCAGGGAGCACCATGATGCCCTGTGTTAGTCTGCTCCAACTGCCGGGACAAAATATCATGAGTAGTGGCTTAAATAGCATTTCCCATAGGCTGGAGGCTGAATGTCAGAGATCAGAGTGCTGGCAGGGCTGGTCTCCCCTGAGACTTGTCTTCTTGGTTTATAGAGGGTCACCTTCTCGCTGCGTCCTCACGTGGTTTTTCGTCTACACGCACATTCCTTGTGTCTTTTTGTGTGTCCATATTTCCTTTTATAAGGACACCAGATTGCATTAGCACCTACATAATGACCTCATTTTAACTTTATTACTCTTTAAAGACCTGCTCTGGGGGCTGCAGTTGTGGCTCAGAGGTAGAGCACTTGCCTAGCATATGAGAGGCACTGGGTTCGATTCTCAGCACCACATAAAAATAAGTAAATAATCCCAGCGGCTCAGGAGGCTGAGGCAAGAGGATTGCGAGTTTGAAGCCCGCTTTAGCAACAGCAAGGCCTTATGCAACTCAGTGAGACCCTGTTTCTAAATAAAATACAAAATAGGGCTGGGGATGTGGCTCAGTGGTCGAGTGCCCCTGAGTTCAATCCCCAGTCCAAAAAAATTAATAAATAAATTAATTAATTAAAGGTATTGTGTCAATGTACAACTAAAAACAAAAGACCTTTCCCAAATACCATCTCATTCTGAGATACTGGGAGTAAAGACTACATGTATTTTATGGAGACAAAGGTCAACTATTAACATTTTTTTTTTTTTTTTTTTGATGCTGGGTGGAACTTAGGGCCTTGTGAATGTTCAGAATGTGCCCTACCACTCAGCTGCTTCCTCCGTCTTTGCTGAGACTCTGTGTACCCAGCACCAGGCATAAGCAAGAACAAGCACCCTCCCCATTCTTGTTCCTGGGAGATGATGGCACAGCCACTGTGAAAGAGATGACATTTGGGGCTGGGGACGTGGCTCAAGTGGTAGTGCGCTCGCCTGGCATGCGTGCCGCCCAGGTTCGATCTCAGCACCACATACAAACAAAGATGTTGTATAACTAAAAAATAAATATTAAAAAATTATCGCTCTCTCTCTCTCTTTAAAAAAAAAAGAGATGACATTTGAAAGAGAACATGAAATAAAATCAAGGGAAGGTGCGGGGGGAAGCCTCAGGGATGACTAGAAAAAACTATGGCCTTTCATTTTTACAGATATTGTTAAAGAAAAAAGTAGGGGGGGGTGCCCACAACAGAAACCTTGGGCTTAAAAAAAACCTTAGTCTGATAACGGTAATTTGAATGAAGGATTCATATTCTTACAGAAGAGAAATAAAATATACGTTTCTCTAGAGAACTACTTAACGAATGCTTGGGGAGGATACTATTTCCAAGACTCAAAATGATTCTGGGAGGGAGTCACAGTGCCAGGTATAGGGTGATGGGACAATGATCACTGCCAAAGGCCTTGGAGAAAATCTATTACCACACAATGCAGGTAAAAGAAAATGGGACAACAAAAGGTCATCAAGGTGCCAGCCAACATTCTTGGACCGAGCATTCATCATGTTAAGTCCAAAAGACATGGGGTACAGGTGCCGGGCAAACGTCAGCCAGTGGCACAGCCTGCAGTGATTCCCCAAAGTCACGGTGCTCCCGTGGAGTGAAGCCATCATTTTTTTGTTTGTTTCCTCTGTGGTTACGACAGTCAATCTTCATGAGCCACAATGTGGTGCCTACATAGCACAAGGGGCTTGCAAGAAGCCAAGTTCCTTCAGGAACTTGTGAAAGGCTTAATCCCAGCGCTGCCGATACTCCAGTCTTACCAGACCCCAGCACACATGTGTCAAATTCAGCCACAATCACTTGGCTTTCCTGATGTTCCTCCTCACCAATACCATAAGAGACTGATGGGGCACTGGCGGGGCAAGTAGAGCCATACCACGATATCCTTCCTTGTCGGAAGGAGCTGACCTGTACTGAGGGGATAGTCCAGGCAGCTCTTGAAGTTCAGCTGGGAGTTTGTTCTCTGAACATTTGGTCTCTTGGAGGCACAGGATATCTGGGGCTTCTTCCTTTACCCAATCTAAATTCGAGATCATGGATTTGACACCCATTTCATAGGTAGAGGTTGGCAGACATGCTGATGGGTGTGGGGTGTGACGGAATGGGCAGTATCCAACTCAACCCCAGGCTCAAGTATAGCTTAGTGGTAGAGTGCATGCTTAGCATGCAAAAGGCCCTGAGTCTGACACTCAGCAAGGCAACAGAAAAACACTACAAAATATCCACTTTTGGATTAATATTATTATTTTTAAATATTTATTTTTTAGGTGTAGATGGATACAATGCCTTTATTTTATTTACTTATTTTTATGTGGTGCTGAGGATCGAACCCAGGACCTCACCCGTTCTAGGCAAGCGCTGTACCACTGAGCTACAACCCCCGCCCCCCCCCATTGGATTATTTTTCAATTAAATGTTTTTTGAGATGGGATTTTTCTTTTTTTTAGCACCAAGGATTAAACCCAGGGATGCTTAATCTCTGAGCCATATCCTCAGCCCTTGTTGTATTTTGAGAAAGGGTCTTGCTGAATTACTTAGGGCCTTGCTAAATTACCGAGGCTGGCTTTGAACTCACAATCCTCCTGCCTCAGCCTCCGGATCACCTGGGATTACAGGCATGGGCCATGGTGCCCAGTTGAGATGGGATCTTGCTATGCTACATAACCTGGCCCCAACTCCTGGAGCTCAAGTGGCCTTCTCACCTCAACATTCTGAGCAGCTGGGACTTCAGGCATGAACCACCACATCCAGCTCTTATTTTTTATTTATTTAATTAATTTTAATATCTTTGTGCTGGGATTGAATTTAGGACCTTTCTACCATTGAGCCACACCCCAAGTCAACTCTCCAGTTTTTAGCCTAATAAGGGAGTGGAGAGTGGGATCATTTTTTGAGATGCAGAAGGATCAGGATTACTTGGAGAGAAAATTGAGAGTCAGGTGAGTATGTCAAGGAGGAAGCTATGTTCATACAATAAAGTATGCTCATTTCCAGCCTCATCGCCTTCTTACTGCCTGTTCCCTCTTCCAGTGTGTGTGTGGAGGGGAGGAGAATGGCCTCCATTCAGATCTTCATAGGAGGTCTCTCTTGGTCTTCTTAAATGTCACCTCTTTGACATCTTTCCCTAATCATCTGTCCCTCCAATTAAGGATACCAACCTCTTCATTCATTCCACCCAGAGGCTCTCGAATCACTGCTGAATTCCTCAACAGCACTTACTGAAAGAAAAATAACCGAAAGGAGGATCAGACCTCAAGGAATAAGCAAGCTTTCTTTATTAAGCAGCGGAATGGCATACTTTCAGGGGAGAAACTGGCGGTTGATTACAGGGTGGGGTGTGGTCTCTGATTTTTACAGTGTTTAAGTGAGATCTGGATCATAATAAGGGAGACTGGAATCATTGCAGAGTACGTTGGTTGGGTAGTCAGGGAAAACAGTTGTGCAAGTTCAAAGCCCAAATCAGGGAAACAGTTACGAAAGTTCGAAATTGTTGCTGGGAAAGGGTGAAAGTCCAGAGCCCAGGCCCCACTGTTTGCCTTCTCCTCCCACCTCCTGGGTCACACTGTCCTCCTGTCTCCCTGGGGGTTGTTATTTTCCATATCCTTCACTTACTCCTCTTGGCTTCTATCCACCTCCACCTTACCCCAGTCTGACTGTGGGCTCCAGAAGGGCAGGCTCCACATCTTGTTCACCTCTAAATCTTCAGCTCCCAGCACAACGCCCTACATACAGCATGAGGAAAGAAGGGGTCCCCTGTTGCCTCTCTGCATGGCTAGAAGGATGTAGGAGAGACAGACTTATCAAGGGTCTCACCGTCTCTCTAGGGAAGAGATGTCTGCCCCGGATGCGAAAGGAGACCCCCATCCAGTGGGAAGATGGGGATGGCAGTGCGCGTGTAGTCTAAGGGCCCAGGAGTCACTGCCCCATCTTCGGAGAGGCTCCAACTGTGACTCCGTCTTAGAAGCCACCCCCTCGTCCCTAGGGAACAAGAACGAATGGGTAAGCACAGTACAAAGCGGTAGGTCTCCAGCAGGCAGCAAGGCCTGAAATGAAAATTTTCTATGAAGCTGTAAACAAGTCAAAAAGATTAAGTCCTGGCTTTTGTATTACGGATAACACGAGCAAATATGGCCGCGCCCGGCCCCGCAGGAGTCACACGGGTCACGTGACAAGCAACTTCCGGTCCCCGCGCGTTACTTCCTGCGCTCTGGCTCTGACGTGCGTGCGCGGGCTTAACGCGTTTAGAGGCCGCCGTAGCCCCGGCCGAGGGCGACTCTGAGCTGGAAACCGGGCCGCAGGAGCATGGAGGGTTCCCCGGAGGGGGAGGTGCCCGCTGCGGCGCTGGCCGCGGTGCTAAAGCACAGCTCGGCGTTGCCGCCCGAGAGCTCCCAGGTCCGGGGCTACGACTTCAACCGCGGCGTGGATTACCACGCACTTCTGGAGGCCTTTAGCACCACCGGCTTTCAGGCAACCAACTTTGGGCGCGCGGTGCAGCAAGTCAACGCCATGGTGAGACCCAGGGAAGCACTTCCGGGGCTGGGAGACGCCTGGCGTGTAGTAGAACCAATGCAGCGTTTGGGGGGCGGGACTTCCTGTGGGACCGAAGACCTGCGCCCTTCGTTGACACCGCCCAGTAGCTGGAGGGAGCGGGGCTTACAGTGGGCGGGGGTTCTCGTGCTGGGAAGGGGACTTTACGTTCACTGCTGTAACTAGCTCCCGCTATCAGGAGCGGGTAGTACCTGATTCTAGGGGATTTAAGGCGTTCTGGAATGGGCGGAGTCTGGGGCAATACAGTGCATTTAGAGGATGGGATTGGAGGAGGAGACTAAGTCAGGGCGGGGCTTGAACTTGGAATTGCTTTCCCAGCCGGGAAAGAAACTGGACTGGAAAAGATGCTGATTCCTGAAAAGGTGCAAAACCCAGATATCCGAACTGGGAAAGGGGCAGGATCTAAGCAAGAGACATTTCCTGGTTTCTGGTAGAAATGATCCTTTATCTCTGAGTGGAGGGGCCAGGAGGTAGAACCTGTCTGAAAACCCACTTAGGGTCCTTGTGATGGGGTTTGGGGCCAGATGCTAACTCGACCTGGCCCTTACCACAGATCGAGAAGAAGCTGGAGCCGCTATCACAGGATGAAGACCAGCACGCAGACCTGACCCAAAGCCGCCGCCCACTCACTGGCTGCACCATTTTTCTGGGCTATACATCTAACCTCATCAGTTCAGGCATCCGTGAGACCATTCGCTACCTTGTGCAGCATAACATGGTGGGGATCTGATAGGGTTGTGACCTTGGTCTGTCTGGTCAGTGAGTAATAAAATTGACAGGTTAAATGAGATGAGGAGATATGGGTTAGTTTTAAGAAGAGTGCTCCCTCTGGGCATCTTGGCTCACACCTATAATCCCAGCTACTGGGGAGGCTGAGGCAAGTTCAAGTACAGCCTTAGCAATCAGGTGAAATACTGTCTCAAAATAAAAAATAAAAAGGCTGAGGATGCAGCTTAGAGGAAGAGCATTGGGTTCAATCTCAGTATCACAGAGTAAAAAAGAAGAGCTCCCCACAAAAGGTCAATGAATGAGGGCTGATGTTAGGGGTCCTGCCAGGACTAAGGCCAACCTCTCTGTCCTATGGCTGCAGGTAGATGTGTTAGTGACCACTGCAGGAGGTGTGGAGGAGGATCTCATCAAGTGTCTGGCACCCACGTATCTGGGCGAGTTCAGCCTCAAAGGGAAGGAGCTCCGGGAGAATGGAATCAACAGGTGGGGGCCCTGAGTGGTGATGGGCAAGTGAACTGGGCTGAGGGGACTGGGGACTGATGCCTACATTCCTCCCATTCCCAGGATTGGGAACCTGCTGGTGCCCAATGACAATTACTGCAAATTTGAGGACTGGCTGATGCCCATTCTGGACCAGATGGTGCTGGAGCAGAACACAGAGGTAGGGCTGGAGAAACTTGGGGGGACCAGCATGGTGAAATCAGGGATTAATGCTAACAACCCCTCCCTCCTAGGGTGTGAAGTGGACACCTTCCAAGATGATTGCTCGGCTCGGCAAGGAGATCAACAACCCAGAGTCAGTGTATTACTGGGCCCAGAAGGTGAGGGTCTGGGTGGGGGCAAAGTCACCAGACTTCAAAGACACCTGGGGAGTCACTACTGTTATGATCAGGATTCCCATTCTTAGATGAGGAACGTCAAACACAGATAGGTTAGGTAATTTGTTTGAAATCACACAGCTATTGAATGGAGCTTTGGATTTCTTAGGCGTGCTCTTAGTTCATCTGGGAACAGTTTGTGGCAGTGTTCAGCAAATCCCTAGGGCCTGGCCCCAGGGACTACACTCCCTAGAGACTGTGGAGTCCAAGAATCTGAAAAGTAATAAGAGCTACTACTAACTAAGCTCCAGTCTCCTTAAGTGTCACAGTTGGTCTTCTCACATCTTCCTCTTCATCTGCAAGTGGTGTTGGTATCCATATTTCATAGTTGAGGAAATAGGCCCAGAGAAGTTAAACAGACTGTTCCCAGCCAGGCAGACTACGTAGATGCACCTAGAATGGGGATCAGGGTGCCCCCACTGAGCTGCAGTTACTGACCTTCCCTGTCTTCCCTCAGAACCATATTCCTGTGCTCAGCCCAGCATTGACAGATGGCTCACTGGGTGACATGATCTTCTTCCATTCCTACAAGAATCCTGGCCTAGTCCTGGACATCATTGAGGGTGAGGCACTGGAACCCTCTAGGTGGGGGGAGAAGGTGTACCCAGTCCAAAGCCTGACCATGCCCTTTCCTCAGACCTACGGCTCATCAACACGCAGGCCATCTTTGCCAAGCGCTCTGGAATGATCATCCTGGGTGGAGGCGTGGTGAAGCACCACATTGCCAATGCCAACCTCATGGTAAGAGGGTGTGGTCCCTTTTGAGTGGATATAGTCCCTGGTGGGGGTGCCACTCAAGCCTCAGCCACATCCTGGGCTAGACAGGCCATGATTCCTGCCCTCTGGGGACAGATGTTCCAGAGCAAGTGACATGCACAGCAAGTGGCAGTAATGCTAAAGAAGAAGACAGGCTAGTGTGATGTCATGGGGCACGCCTATGATGCCAGCTATAGGGGAGGATCACTTGAGTCCAGGAGCTGAAGATCAGCCTGGGCAGCATAACAAGGCCCCTTTTATTTATTTTTGGTACTAGGGATTGAACCCAGGGGCCTTAAACACTGAGCCACGCCCTCAGTCCTTTTTTTTTTTGAGACAGTCTCAATAAGTTGCTGAGGTTGGCCTTGATTTTCCTGCCTCAGCCTCCCCAATGATTGGGATTACACAGGTGTGTGCCACCACCCAGGCTCCATTTTCTTTCTCTCCTTTTTTTTTTAAATAGTTTTTAGATGTTGATGGACCTTTATTTTATTCATTTATTTATATGCAGTGCTGAGACTTGAACCCAGTGCCTCACACATGCCCTCTGCCACTGAGTCACAACCCCAACCCCCAGGATTTTCTTGTCATGAGAAAGCATGAGAAGAGAAAGGGGTGCCATTTAGTAAAGGGTGTTGGAGTTGGACAGTGATCCACTCCTATAATCTGTAATCCCATCTTAGGGAGGCCAGGGCAGAAAGATCACAGGTTCAAGACCAGCCTGGGCAGTCTAGCAAGACCCTGTGTCAAGGTTGGTATTGTAGCTCAGTGGTGGAGTGCTTGCCTAACGTGTGAGGCACTGGGTTTGATTCTCAGTATCACACTGAGAAAAAAAAAGACACTATTTCAAAATGAAAAGGGCTGGGGGGCTGGGGATATAGCTCAGTTGGTAGAGTGCTTGCCTCGCATGCATGAAGCCCTGGGTTCAATCCCCAGCACCCCCCCCCCCCACACACACACACACACACGAATGAGAGAGAGAGAGAGAGAGAACGGGGTGGGGGCTGAGATGTAGCTCAGTGATAGAATGACCCTAGGTTCAATCCCCAGTATGGAGCAGGGTCGGGGGATGTGGCAGAGTGTTGGAGAGAGGCTTCTGGGAACTGACCTGAGCAGAAGTTTTGGGAGGTGCCTCCCACAAGCCTCATAGTTATCTCCAGGAAGAGTTCCTGGCAGAGAAGACAGCCAGCTCCCTTCAAAGGCCCTGAGGTGGCTAAAGTGGTCAGGGAACAGCCAGGAGGGCCATAGAGGAGGAGGAGAAGGAGGAAGAATGGTGTGGGCCTTGGCAGTTAGTGAGGTAGGAGGATGTGATTGGTGATTCGGGTGCCCTCTGATGGCTTCAGGGGAACAGATGGTGCCTGAGTCATGAACTGTCCAGAACCCTGCAGGGGCAGGACTAGGATGGTGGAGCTCCTCTGCAGATAAAGTTGGTGGTAACTACTGCTGAGCAGATGGGGAAGGTTGTTGATACACGTTCAATCTTTCGTTTTGTTTTGAAATGGGGCCTGACTCATTGCCCAGTTGACCTGGAACTCAGGCTCAAGGAATCTTCCCACCTCCGGCTCCTGAGTAGCTGGGACTGTAGGTACGTCACCACACCTGGCTCAGGTACACATTATCAGAAATGACTGGGCTTAGGCCCCAGAAGGGGAAGCCAGTGGGTGGCCACCTATTCCCACTACGTAGCCCTAGGATCTCACGGGCAGGATGTCCTGCCTCAGAGAACCAACTCATCCATTGAGGGCCTAACATGGGTTGCTGCCTTTGGAAACAAGGAAAAGTCGGTAGTTAACAGCATGGAATTTCTAGAGAAATCATTTCAAGATTTCATAAAGAGGGCTGGAGCTGTGGCTCAGCAGTAGTGCACTTACCTGGCATGTTTGAGGCTCTGAGTTAGATTCTCAGCACCGCATATATAAGTAACTTAAAGATCTATCAACAACTAAAAGAATATTAAAAAAAAAAAAAGATTTTCATAAAGAATAAGAACCACATGGATTTCTTTGAGGGGGCCAGAACTGGCCTGAGTTTAAGGGAAAGGATAACGTGTGCCCGACCTGTAACTAGCACCAAGAAGGCCAAGTGGCAGAAGGTGTTATATGAGTGGTGGCCCTTCCCTGATAACTATGTGGACCGTTGGTTCCTGGAAGAGCTTTGGAAAAACATTTATGCCCAGAAATGCCAACACTGGGCTGTGGTATTCAAGTCCAAGTGTGGTGATACAACAGCTGTGCAGCGTGTGTCTCTGTGCTCAGCTGGTGTATACAGATGAGGGTCTTCTGGTCCCCACTGGCTTTTTAGAACTGGCCTGGCATCTTCATTGATGGTTATGTTTTGTTCAACCCCCATCAATGAAGGTGAAGGGCGGAAGAAGAGCGGGGAGACCCATGGGCTATCCGAGTGCCCTGGTCTTCATTGCTTTCACCTACAGTTTCTCACCAGTGCGGAAGACCCTGACAGAGTCCATTAGTACTGACACCATCTGTGCCTTGTCAGTCTTCATGCTGTTGGGCCACCTCATTTTTGACTGGGGCCAAACCTGCCATTGTATCCAGAACACTGTCCTCGAACATGGCCCTCTTTGCTTCTCTCTGGCCTCACATCTTCCCTGGTCCCTACATATCTTCATCATGGTGATGAAGTTGCCATCCACATTTTTGCACTGTGGCCCATGCTACAGAAGAAACCAATGGTGGGGGTCACACTGCTTTTTGCGTTTTCAGCCTGCTGTCCTTTAGTGTGAGGGAGCCAGTCTTTGCTTTTTTGCTGGTTTCCGTCTCTCATCTCTGCCCTTTCTACCTCATTTGCTGGCCACTTTTTCAAGAAAATACCCATGGGCCTTGGGATGAAGCTGAAATCAAAGATGGCTGTTCCAGGTTCCTCAGCCAAGTTAGGGTAGCATGGCTTCCTAACTAGCATAACCGAGGGCAGAGCCCATTCTGGAAGCAGCAGGCTGGTGTGGATGAGAACAGAGGTCAGAAGGAACCAAAGGCTTGGGTGGTGAGTGCTTACCTGTTCTGTCATTTTATGATGAAAAAGTTTTCTGGTGCCCTCTTGAACGGTTGCCTTTCATCTGTTATTCACTATAACAGACGAAGTGATGTGGTGGCTACAAAAGTAGTAACATCCCTCCAAAAAAAAAAGGAAAAAGAAAGAAAGAAATGATTGGGCCCCAAAGAGTTTCAGTTTGGGGATATTTTTCCTATTTTGGGAGATCTGCATATACATGAGATATCTTGGGGAAGATACTCAAGTCTAAAGATGAAATTCATTGATATTTTGTATACACACAGCTTGAAGCTTCCCTAGAACAAAGAACTTTTGAGGGCTTCCTTTGGCTGACCCAGCCCTCAGTCTCTTTGGCTAATGTCCTGCTTCTTCGACTGCCTGTCTGATGACCGGCTGACCAGGCCCACCCTGCCCTTCCCTACAGCGCAATGGGGCTGACTATGCTGTCTACATCAACACGGCCCAGGAGTTTGATGGTTCAGATTCGGGTGCCCGGCCGGATGAGGCTGTCTCTTGGGGCAAGATCCGGATGGATGCACAGCCAGTCAAGGTAGAGGCTGGCTGGGTGGAGTGCAGGGTCTCCTGGGCTGTGGCCATGGGTTTGAGGCTCACCTAGGTCCCCTCTACAGGTCTATGCTGACGCCTCCCTGGTCTTCCCCCTGCTTGTGGCTGAAACCTTTGCCAAGAAGGCAGGTGCTTTCACGGCTGAGAAGAATGAGGACTGACTGGATGCAGCCCCTGAAGGCCTCACCCCTCCTCTATTTATTAATTTGCAGACTCTGCCCCTCTCCCACTCCTTGGCCTGCAGCATCTCTAGAATAAAGAGTGCCTGGCAGCCGTTTGCAGTTGTCTTGGTTCTTGGATCTGGTGGCAGTCCCAGGCCTAGCCTGCTCCACCTTCCGCCTCATAGGCCTCTTCTCGCCAGCACTGGATTCTGCCCGCCATGGCGGTCAGCAGGCAGGGCTCTGTGGGATGGAAGGCCAGTGACTGCACAACACCGGGACCCACAGGTAGGGCCAGCGCCAGGGAACCCTGTGGAGGGAACGGTAGGGAGCAGGTTATCGGGGGTCTGGTTGTCCCGCTCCCCAAGATCCAGGCTAAAGCTTTCAATCACCAATCCATAGACATTTGGCCCCTGGCCTTTAATGGCCTCAACACCTCACTCCTTTTACCAGCAGGTCTTGGCTCTGCCTCTAGACCATGTCGTGATCACTGATTTTGCCTGCCTGGTGGCCTCCTGGCTTTTCTTCCTCTGACTGGACTCTGCCCTAGAGTTCCTAAAGGCTAGACACATCCAGGACAGGCCCTGGAGTTAAAACCATGCTCAGAGGCAGCTCAAGTTTCCTGAACTACAGCCTGATCTCATTCAGGGTCAGACGCTGCTGTTGGCTCTCCATCCAGCAGCTCTGCTCGGCACTCCCATCCCTATCTGACCTGGATTCTGCTGCTGACACATTTCCCAAAGTCTGCCTTCCTGGCCTGGTGTGTGCCCGCCTCTGAGCCTGAGCACGTGCTATTCCCTTTGCCTGGAATGTCCTTCTTGCCCCATCCTCACTCCTCCCAGCTCCAAGGCCTAATATTCTTTTTCAGGCATGGGCGTGACTGAGGGTAGCACAGGGCTGGGGCAGAGCAGTGCCCTGGCATGGAGCAGGGTGAGGGAGGCTCACCTCCACCAGGTCCCAGAAGAACACCTTCCCATCCTCGGAGCAGCTGACCACATGAGTGTCACGCTCACTCAGGCAGCAGTCCAGCTTGTACTGCTTGTTCTGATGGCCTGTGTACCTGGGGGTGAGTGGGATCAGAGGGGCTTGCTCCTCTGATCAAGGGGTGGGGTGGGGTGGGGGGAAGGCCCATGACCGTGGACACTCACTCGCCCAGCAGCTCGCCGGTGTCTTTGTCCAGAAGCCGCAGGGTAGAATCCAGGCTAGACACCAGCAAGCACTGCCCATCCCGGCTGAAGCAGGCACAGGTGATGGGGCCTGGGGGAGAATGGGCAGGCCGCTGAGGCTGCAGTGCTCCTGACTGGCCCACTGTTGTCCCTGCCTGTCCCCAGTGCCACAAAACTCACTGCCCACGTAGTCCGAGAAGAGCTGCCCCATCCTCAGGTCGTAACGCCTCACGCGGCCGTCCACAGATCTGCAGAAGCGGGTAGAGCCAGCTGAAGCACAGGCTGGGGCCGGGGGCTCTGTGGCAACCTCAGTGGCCCTGTGTCTTCCCAGCTGGCCAGACCCTGACAGGCAAGGCTAGGTTTACAGTTCCTGGACACAAATGAGATTCTGAACCAAACAGCTTTCCTTTTTTTCTTTTCTTTCTTGTGATATAGGATATTCCTTGAACCTGGGGGTTCTTTACCATGAAATACATCTCTAGTCCCCACAACCTTTGTTTTTTGAGACAGGGTCTTGCCAGGTTGCCCAGGTTGGCCTTGAACTTGGGATCCTTCTGCCTTGGCCTCTGGAGTTGTAGCTGGGACTACAAGTACGCACCATTGTGCCTGCTGAGGCAATGGCTCTATGGCTCAGGCCCAGGACTAACTGGTCCCATTCCATCTGTTTCCAAGATCCACAGCCCCCTTTTTCAAGCCCATGGAGCCCCTCAGGACCACCCTTTCCCCATGCTCTCCAGATCACCCTCCAGCAGCCCTCCTTATCCACAGGCCCACACCCATGGACTCAAATAACTGAAGATGAAAAGTATTTTGACTTGGGGTTAGGGAGGCAGCTCAGTGTTCGAATGCTTGAGCATGTGCACACCCTGGGTTCAATCCTCTGTACTGCAAAAAAGCAAAAGGGATTCTGTGGTCTTTTTTCCCTGTCATTGTTCCCTAACAATACAGTATAACAACTGTTTGCATAGTGTTTATCTCAGGTATTACAAGTCATCCAGAGATAATACAGGAGGATGTGAGTGGGTTCTATGCAAATACTATGCTATCCTCTAGAAGGGATTTGAGCATCCTTGAATCGATTGAACCCAGAAGTACTCTACCACTGAGCTACATCACAGCCCTTTTTATTTAAGGGAGGCTCTCACTAAGTTGCTAAGGGCCTAAGTTGCTGAGGCTGGCCTTGAACTGGATGGCCTTCGAGTTACTGGGATTACAGGTGTGTGCCCATGCCCAGCAAGCATCCCTGGATTCTCATATCCACTATGAAATCGGTGTCCTGCAGATACTGAAAGATGGCTCTGGTCTCAGAACCTGACCCTTTTCTTCCCCCTCCAGCATCATCTCCTTGGCTGCTCTGGCCTCCCTGTACCAGTCCTCAAGTGTCTATGATAAAATTCTTTTGAAAGTACAGGTGCTGGGGCTAGGGATATAGCTCTGCTTGTAGAGTGCTTGCCTCACATGCATAGGCCCTGGGGCTGGGGCTCAGCAGTAGAGCGCCTGCCTCGCAGGTGTGAGGCACTGGGTTCAATCCTCAGCACCACATATAAACAAACAAACAAAATAAAGATATTGTGTCCATGTATAACTAATATATATATCTCTCTCACACACACACACACACACACACACACACTCAGTATGAGTCATCTGAGTAGTTCCTCCTGATGGCCCTGTGAGGAACTGCCTCTTTCCCTTTCCTATTGAGGAAAGAGGTTAGTTCCTTCTCAAACCACACTCAGGCTGAGTATATAATATGTATGTATGTGTATGTGTACATATATGTGTATATATGTATATATATGTGTGTACATATATATATATCTATATATACACATACATACATACACTCAAACTACACTGAGTATATATGTACACACACACACAGAGAAAGAAACCTGGCCTTCCCTTGCTCAGAAAAGTAAATGTTCAGATTCTTCCTAAGGCGCTTAGACCCTCTGCAGGTGGTTCTGACCACTTCCTGGTTTCATCTCTGTCCTCATTCCTCCATGGTCTCGGGCATCATGCTGCCTTCAGTCTGGCCAGGTGCTTCTCAATGCACTTGTTCTTTTTTTTTTTTCCTTGTATCAGGGATTGAACCAGGAGTGCTTAACCACGAACCATACCCCAACCCTTTTTATTTCTTATCTTGAGACAGGGTCTCCCTAAGTTGCGTAGGACCTCTCTAAGTTAATGATGCTGGCATTGAACACACAATCCTCCTGCCTCAGCCTCCCTAGCAGCTGGGTGTGTGCCACCAGCCCACCAGTGTACTTGCTCTTGCTCCAGTTCTCCACTGGGTGGCCCCTCAGCTTCCAAGTCTCGGCCTTTCCAGGGCCTTCTCCACACCTCCCACCCATGATCTAAAGGGCCCCCAAGTTGGTTTCTCCTGCTACCCCATCCTTTCCCTTGACCCTCACCGCTGATTTAATTATATTAGGTCTATTTATTTCTCCACTGGTTGTCCATTTGTCCTGCTAGAAGGAGCTCCTATGGGGCAGGGGCCAGGTCTGGCTGGTTCGTGGCTGTGACCCCAGCATCCGATTCCAAGCCTGCTATGAAGCCTGGAAACCTGAATGAAGGGATGTGTTAAGGCTGGGTGTGGCAAAAATGACATCCAGGTGGGGCTGGGACCACATGGCACTTGGCTGCCTGAGTGTGGTTTGAGAAGAAACTAATCTTCTTCCTCAATAGGAAAGGGAAAGAGGCAGCTCCTCACAGGGCCATCAGAAGAAACTACTCAGATGACTCAGTTAACATACACACCGAGTGATTCCGGGGCCAGGCCCTGTATGGAGGCCAGGGGCACAGCCCGGGCCAAGCCATATGCACTTTCTGCCATGGTGAAGCCAGCACTGCCCAAGGGAGATACAGAAAGGCCTCCTGGAGTAGGTAACATCCAAACTGGGATTTGTATAGGGGTTGAACCCAGGGTCTCAAACATCGTAGGCAAGGGCTCGACCACTGAGCTCCATTCCAAGGCCTTTGTTAAATTTTAGTTTGAGCCATAATTCCAGTGATTCAACAGGCTGAGGCAGGAGGATTGCAGATTCAAGGCCAGCCTCAGCAACTTAGTGAGGCCCTGTCTCAAAATAGAAAATGAAAGGGGCTGGGGGTGTGGCTCAGTGGTTGAGTTCCCCAGGGTTCAATCCCTGGTATATATATGTAAACAAATAAATGGAAGAAAGTAAGTTTGAGGCCTGAACCCTCATCCACTTAGACCCTGTCTCAAAATAAAAAATAAGAGGCTGAGGTTGTGGCTCACTGGTAGAGCACTTCCCTGGCATGTGTGAGGTACTGGGTTTGACTGTCAGCACCGCATATAAATAAATGAATAAAATAAAGATCCATAAAAATTTTAAAAAGGGCTGGTGATGAAGCTCAGTGGCAAACATTCCTGGGTTAGATCCCTAGTACCAAACATAAATAAATAAATAAATGGATTTAAAAGACTTTAGTTTTGAGCCAGGTGTAGCCTATAACCCCAGCAACCTGAAAGGCTGAGGCAGGAGGATCATAAGTTTGAGGACAGCCTTAACAACTCAGTAAGGCCCCAAGGAATTTAGCAAGATCCTATCTTAAAAAGATTCTGGGTATGTGGTGGCTCCATGATTACACATCCCTGGGTTCAATCCCTAGCACTCCCACCCCCAGCCAAAGAACATAATAAAGTTAAATAAATGAATTATTTATAAAATTTTAGTTTTGAGACAGTCTCACTAAGTTGCCCAGGCTAACTTTAGGCTTGGAATCCTCCTGCCTCAGTCTTCCAAGTAGCTAGGATTATAAGCCTATCCCACTAGGTCAGCTTGTAAGAGACCTTTGTTTTGGACTAAGTTCCTACACTGGGCCCAGATGACAAGGCTGGAAAATCAAAATGGAGTCACACAGGCTAAAGTTCCACATCACCAAACTAAAACTATTATCATTTGACTTTCTGAAAAATCAGGAGAAGATAGCCAAATTTCCCCAAACAGGCCAGTTTAAATTGATAAGTGTCCTCTGCCTTAATCCTTATATAAAGAAAATAATCTGATGTTAATTATTTTTTCAATGATATGTTTGCCCATCAGAAAGTAACCTTACCTTCTTTTTTTAATTTTTTGATGTTTGCCATTTGGACCTTGTACAGTATTCTACCATTGAGCTATAGCCCCAGCCCCAGAAAGTAACTTTATTTACTTATTTATTTTTCAGTACTGGGGATCAAAATTAGGGCCTTGAACATGTCAGCACTCTATCACAAGCTATGGCCTCAGTATTATAAAGTGACTTTGAGATGACTAATCTGCTTTTTGGTCTTTGCTTCTGCTTTCTTCAGCCACTCTCTGTGTATAAACCAACCTCTTCTACAGCACTTATTCTGTTTTACAGAATGAAGTACTACCCAATTCTAGAGTAAAAATAAAACAATTAAGATCTGGGCTAGGGGTGTAGCTAAGTAGTGGAGCACTTGCCTAGCATGATTACAGGTCTGTGGGTTTGAGCTTAGAACCACAACAAAAGATCTTTCAGCTAACTGGGCAGGTATACCTGTAGTCTCAGTTACTTGGGAGGCTGAAATAGGAAGATTCCTTGATCCTAAGAGGGTCAGACTGGGCAATGTAGTGAGAAACCATCTCTCTCTCTCTCTTTCTCTTTTTTTAAATGTTTTTTAATTGTTAATGGACCTTTATTTTATTTATTTGCTGAGTATCGAACCAGTGCCTCATGCATGCTAGGCAAGTGCGCTACCACTGAGCCACAACCCCAGTCCCAAGAAACCATCTCTTTAAGGGAAGGAAACAAACCTTAAAATTGTAATTTTTGTCCTAGGACAAAGAGAACAGCTTCTGGGTCTGTATTCCCCCCACACACACATTTTTTTTTATTGGTGCATTGTTATTGTACATAATGATAAGATTTGTTATTACATATTCATATATGTACACAATATGGGACTGTTTCAGCCCAAATCCTTCATGTGGTAGCAATGGCTCTCCCTAGGGTGGGTCAGTCCTACATGGAATTGAAAAAAATAATTGTGTCCTGCAACAAAGCTACCCTGTGCGAGTAGGCCTTTCCCCTATTTCTCCATTTTGTTCACTGCTGTATGGCCACTAAGGAAGTATCTAGTATGCAGTAAGTGCTCAAATACACTGAGTAAGTAGTGGAGACAGTCCAAGCAGAGGAAGAACAAGTGAAAATGTCCCGAGGTGGGAGCATGACTGGCATTTTTAACAGAAATGAAGCCCAAGGATGAATAAAAGTTGAGGGATCAGCAATGGACACACTGGGCAGGGCCTTGTGCATGCTAATAAAGAGAGCAGTGTTTTTTGCTTTTTTGCATTGATGGGGATGGAACCCACTGAACAACACCTCCCAGTTCTAAGAGCAGATTTTAATCTAAGTGTAGAGGCAGCTAGGATCTCAGTGACACTGGGAGAGGGGTAAGGTCCTAGATCTACTTACCCTGCAAGAACCTCATGATCTGACACCTTCACACTAGATATGCCATCCCTCGCCTCATCCAGTGTCTGCACTGGCTCAGGCCTCCGTGAACGACAGTCCCAGCATCGGATACTGGAATCGATAGAGCCTGGGAGTCCAGCATAAAGGTGAGATTAGATGTGGAGCTGTAAGCACTGTCCACTGCCCACCGAGGTTCCAGACTCACCAGACAGTATGAGTGTAGCTTCTTCATTAAACTGCACTGTGTTCACCTTCTAAGAAACAGGAATTGCTACTCAAGAGGATTGGGATAATGACAGGATTCTCAGTGTCGGTTAAAGCAAGGGCACATGGTAGAAGTGGAGAGATGAAAGGTTCTGGGCAAATGGCAGGACACAGCTTGGGGACTAACTGACCATGGGGGAGAGACTCTAGTGGGCAGATGTTCTTGGCATCACCCACGTGCTAACGGTCCCCTCCATCATGCACGCTCTAATGAGGGTCTCGAAGCTTGAACTTACCCCCGCGTGGCCCCGGAATTTGCGCACGACCTGCCCGGATGCCACATCCCATAGCACCACGGCTTTGTCCCCGCCGCCGGAGCAGAGATTGCTATTGTCAAAGGAACTGGGGTGCAGGAGAGAAGGTCAACGTCGACTTCCAATCCCGGCCTCAGCGCTCCCATCCCGGCTGGTCCCCGGCTCACCCGGCCGCATCCAGCACCTCGTAGCCGTGGCCGCTGTAGGTACGGAGTAGCGTCCCCCGCAGTGGGTTCCAGAGCTTCAGGGTCTTGTCGCTGCCGCACGTCAGGCAGTAATTGCCATCCACTGGGGAACAAGAGAAGGGGGTTCTGGGCCGCTGGCCTCAGGAGGCGGGAGGACCCGAATGAAGATGAGGGCGCTCACCGTTAAATCTCACGGCTCGTACTGCCCCTTGCTCGCAGTCCAGCGTCTTCAACCGTTTCTGCGGCAGCTCCGGGCCCCGAGGCTTTGGCTCAGGGAAAGCCATAGTCTCGGACCCCTTCCTCACCGCCTAGCATCACTCAGTCGGCAACGGGGATTTGGAGGCTTTGGGTGTAACCTTATTATTGTTCCCCATTCCTTTCACTTCCGGGTTCAAATTTTCAGTATTTTGGTGACAGTATTGGGAATACTAAAACCCATTTTCAGTTTTTTTCCTCCTCCTCATTTTCAGGGGCTTTTTTGTTGTTTTTTCATGCTCTCATTCTCCGTCCTCTGACTGCAGGTAGTCCTGGCCTCCGCGGTTAGGAACCGAACCGCGAGGGCTGCGCGCGTTACTCTAAAAACCACCCACCATTCCCACGCCGGAAGCTGCAACTCCCACGGCGGAAGAGGCGCGACTTGATCTTCAACTCGCTATGTCCACGAACAATATGTCGGACCCACGGAGGCCAAACAAAGTGCTGAGGTGGGGACTCCAGCGTCATGGCAATAGGGCTTAGGTTGTGGGTTCAGGTCGGGGCCTAAGAAGGTGCTTGTTCATTACAGGGACGTGACTTGAGCGCCCCTGACTCTTGGGCCTCTTGCAGGTACAAGCCCCCGCCGAGCGAGTGTAATCCAGCCTTGGACGACCCGACACCGGACTACATGAACCTGCTAGGCATGATCTTCAGCATGTGCGGCCTCATGCTTAAGGTGGGCGGAGCTGTGTTTCCGTGGGAGTAGCTCCGCCAGAGAATGAGGTCTGGGGCGGGTTCGGAATGAAGAGGGGCGTCTGACTGCTACGGAGGGGGCGTGGCCTGAAAGTTGCCTTGGGCGGGGTTGATGTAGCCCACACTGGGGAAAGCTCGGGCCTGGGGCAGAATTGGGGAGGGGTGGGTTTGAGAATGGAGCCTGGCTTTGAAGCAACTTGGAAGGAATTGATGGAAAAATGACAGGTGGGGAATCTCTAAGGCTAGTCTTCTTGAGTCTACGGGGATATGATATGGCCTCAGAGATGCATGCCAGGTGGTAGCACCAGAAACCTATGGGGTGGGACTAAGGGACTCCTGAGGGGCAAGATCCAAGCTGTGCAAAGGAAAATCATTGGTGCCTGAGGATGTCATTTGTAGGGATTCTTGGCATGCTTCTCACCCAGCTAACCACAACCCACCTACCTTTCCCCAGCTGAAGTGGTGTGCTTGGGTCGCTGTCTACTGCTCCTTCATCAGCTTTGCCAACTCCCGGAGCTCTGAGGACACTAAGCAGATGATGAGTAGCTTCATGTGAGGCTTGGCGTAGAGAGGGAGGGACTCCTGCATTAGGGGAGGGGGGGACCCATGCCTATCATCTGGGACTGACTCTTCTTGCCTATCTCAGGCTGTCCATCTCTGCCGTGGTGATGTCATATCTGCAGAATCCTCAGCCCATGACACCCCCCTGGTGATGTCAGCGTAGAGGGGTCTCATCTGGACCCTCTCTATTCACCTTCTCCCTGGCCTGGCCTTTGGCTACTCAACCTTCTGCACTCAGCTGCTGACTTGGACTTCCCTGAGTGAGGTGCTCTCAGGGTCCCCAGTTGGACAGAGGAAACTTGGCCCTTTCCCTTGGGTCCCACTTCTGCTGGGGCACTGAGGGGGAAAAACAGGCCTATACTTCCTGTCTCCCCTACCCTGCCTGCTACTGGGGGAGATGCTGTTCATGTTTCTAGGTGTGTTCACTCATTTTCTTGTTGAAACTGTTAATAAAAGTTTCTCACTCTGGCTGTCCTCTGTAAACTGTCTCTTATGTTCACAAAGCTGAGAAAAAGACTTCAGCTCCTCCACTCAGGCCTCTGTGGAACCCCAGTCTGGAGCCTTTTGGTAGTTCAAACCCTCCTTTCACAAACTTCACGACTTAAGTCAAGTGCCAGGTGACCCTTGTCCTCTGGCAACTCAGCTGATGGCCCTGCTGACCTGTGCAATCTGTGCTTTGGTTTTCTTAGACCAGGACTAGAGTAATGTCTGCAAACTGGATGGACTGATAGCAACTGGAAAGGGCATAAAAGACTCAGGGTCCTGTACCACCTGTAAGGCCCTCCCACCTTACTGGAGGGTCTAGAGATCCATTCCAAAGGCTGGGTGCCTGTCATCCCCAACATTCCAAGGACGGGTTGTTTACCCGATGTCTCTAAACTACAGGACAGAACAAGACCTTCATCAACCCTTCTAGCCAAGCTAGGTGCCTACAGGACTCCAGTCCTGAAAGCAGCCCCTAGTATCCCATGCACACGTTCCACCCCCTAGGAAAACCTGGATTCCGTGGGAAAACCTGAGAACTTTGCTGCCGCGGGGACTCAGGCGTTCCAGATCCCCAAGGCGAGATGTTAAAGGCGCCTCCGGCCAAAACAGCGCCCAGAGGATGGGACACAACCTGCGCTTTCCCTTGATCTTGGCAATTCCAGATGTTCCTAGGGCTGCAAGATCAATCCTGTGACAGGGAAGGCCCCGCCCTAGACGAGTCCGCGCCGATTGGCCAGGCCGGTTCTAGGGGCGGAGCGCTCTTCTTGTGTTGGCGGCGTCCGGGAAGCCCCCAGGAGACCGCGGCGGTGGCAGAGCTATGGGTCGCCGCGCGCCGGCTTCGTGGGTCTGCGCTGGCGGCTGCCAGGACGCCGCCGAGCCCTCCCCCTGGATGAACTCCCGCGCTCTGCGTGCGCCACTCCTGCCTGTCTTTCTCTTTTTGCTGCTGCTGGCGGCTCCGGGCGCTCGAGCCGCCGGATACGAGGTGAGCCGGGCTCTCAGCGGAAATGTACAATAGCCAGAGAAGCCCCGAGTACTGTCCCGAGATGTAGGTTACTTTGATCTGTAGGTGCCTAGTGAATAGCTGTTGATACAACACTGTGGCCCGAGAGGCTGTCTGCACGCGTCTGAGAACGGGGCTGCATCGGACTGCACGCCCGCCCTCGCTTGCTCGAGTTGTGCGTGCACTTAACTGTGGAGGGGCAGCGAGCGGGTGGGAAGCAGCTGGCTGACAGTGAGACTCTGGAGTTAGCCTGTCTGGAGTTCCAGTCTGGACTGCCCACTTCCTGGCTGCCTCCTTACGCAAGTCCCCTTCCCATTATATGCTTCAGTGCCCTCGCCTGAAAACCAGGTGTGATATTTATTGCTCCACTTCCCACAGTGGCGCAGACATAGCTACTACTGTGAATATTTCCTCGGGGTGTGAATGAGGGCTGCCTTGTAGGGTTGTGCAAAGGGTGGGAGTTGTATCTGTGAGCAACTCTGTGTTCTACCCTGGAGGACCAGGCCTCCTGCATAGTCAGGATAAGGTAACAGCCTCTCTACCTCTCTGAGCCACTCTGAGATCAGGATTTATCTTGTGCTTCCCACATCCCCCTTCCCTACTTCCCAGCCTACCACTTAACCCGGGAGTTATTGACAGGCTGTGTGTGTGTGTGTGTGTGTGTTTGGGGTCCCTGCGCAGACATGCCCGAGAGTGAAGCCAAACAAGCTCAATGTACACCTGGTGGCCCACACACATGACGACGTGGGCTGGCTCAAGACCGTGGACCAGTATTTCTATGGCAGTAAGTAGAGATTGGGGTTTGGCCCCTGTGACTCCCATGGCTCCTTAATTCCCTCTGATACCTGGACTTTGCGGTGGGACAATTCATAGCCTTGGCTCCTGTGTCAAGGAATGTCCCTCTGACTCTGCTGGCCCTCCTTGGCCTGTGTATCCACAGTCCACAATGACATCCAGCACGCGGGTGTGCAGTACATCCTAGACTCGGTGATCTCCGCTCTCCAGGCGGATCCCAACCGTCGCTTCATCTATGTGGAAATTGCTTTCTTCTCTCGTTGGTGGCACCAACAGACAAATGCAACACAGGAAGTCGTGAGGAATCTGGTGCGTCAGGGTAAGCCTACCCTAGGGAAGTGAAAAGAGGAAACTTAGCCCAATTTGTTTTTGAAAACCTGGTTTCTGAGATTTTATCACGCTTGGTGCGAGCTGTGGGTCATGTGGTTTCGAATCCCTTAACTTGGAGAACTCTTTTTCTTTTGGTCGTACTGGAGCATTCTACTACTGAGCTATATCCCCAGCCCTTTTTTTAAATCTTAAGGTAGGGTCTCCTTGAGTTGCCCAGGCTGGCTTGCAACTTTTGACCCTCCTGCCTTAGGCTCTGGAGTAGCTGGGAACATGGGATGCTACCATGCCAGCCTAATTGGAGAATTCCTGGGCATCCTGCAAGGCCCCACCTCCAATGGCTCTGAAAAGCCTGCCATGTCAGGTGGGGGTAGTACACATCTGTAATCCCAGCCACTTGGGAGGCTGAGGCAGGAGGATGGTAAGTTGGAGGCCAACCTCAGATACTTAGTGAGATCCTGTCTTAAAATTAATAAAAAGGACTAGGGATGTGGCTCAGTGGTAAAGTACCTCTGAGTTCAATCTCCAGTACCCTCCAAAAATTTTTTTAAAAGGGGCTAGGGCTGGGTGGGGGAGGGAAGCCTGGCATGCAAGGGCCCTCTTTACCAAATCTGGCTCACTGGCCAGGAAGTGCCCCTTCTTTTCCTTTGAAGCTGGAGTGTGCAGGCAGGTCTTCCAATTCCAGGATCACCCACCCAGCCCTACACCTAACAGCTCCAGTCTTGACTCTCTTTGCACAGGGCGCCTGGAGTTTGTCAACGGTGGCTGGGTGATGAACGATGAGGCCACCACATACTACGGGGCCATCGTGGACCAGATGACACTTGGGCTGCGCTTTCTAAAAGATACTTTCGGCAATGACGGGCGTCCCCATGTGGCCTGGCACATCGACCCCTTTGGCCACTCTCGGGAACAGGCCTCCTTGTTCGCCCAGGTGCTGTACAGACCTCTCTTGGACCCCTCTCCACAGGCATCATGTCCTCTGGAAGTGACTGAAGCCCCACTCTTTCCTTGTGATCTCAAGTGAACCAGACCTTGCCTGCTGGGACCTCCCTTACTCCCGCCCCTTGGGTGAACTTGATACTTTTTTTTTTCTCTTTTTGGTGCTGGGGATTGAACCCAGGACCTCACACATGCTAGACAAGTGCTCTACCACTGAGTTATAGCCCTAAGCCCATCCTGGGTGAACTGGAATCTGGTGTCCCTTTACGGTTCTGGCCTTGCTTTAAGTTCAGTTTCATTACCTGTGTGCTGACCATCCATCCTCAGGCTGCAGGAAGAGGAAGGCCTCCTTTTGGCTTTGACAGAACTGGGGAGGGGGAAGTGAGTCTGGCTTAGACCTGTCCCCTCCCTTCTGCCTGTTTTTTTTTTTTTTTTAGAAAAAGGAAAAACAGAGCTGGGGATGTGGCTCAAGTGGTAGTGTGCTCGCCTAGCATGCGTGAGGCACTAGGTTCGATTCTCAGCACCACATAAAAATAAAATAAAGATATTGTGTCCACCTACAACTAAAAAATAAATATTTGAAAAAAAAAGTTTTATTGCAATATATCGTATTTTATATAGTTGTAGGTTGTCACGATACCTTTTTAAAATAATTTTTAAAAAATATTTATTTCTTTAGTTTTAGGTGGACACATTTATGTGGTGCTTAGACTCAAACCTAGTGCCTCACGCACGCTACGCGAGCGCGCTACCACTTGAGCCATATTCCCAGCCCTAAAAAATTTTTTAATAAGTATTTTTTTTAGTTGTAATTGACACAATACCTTTATTTTATTTATTTATTTTTATGTGGTGCTGAGGATCGAATCCAGGGCCTTGCACGTACTAGGCAAGCACTCTACCACTGAGCCACAACGCCAGCCTCACAATAACTTTATTTATTTTTTTATGTGGTGCCAGGGATCAGACCCAGTGCCTCACACATGCTAGGCAAGCGCTCTACCACTGAGCCACAGCCGTTTTATTGCTTCAATAGCGAAGGAGAAACACTGGGGACTCCTATCCCAGAGGCTGTGATTCCACCCAACAGCAGGAACTAGGGGCTTTTTTTGGTGGGGGGCACTGGGGATTGAACTCAGGGGCACTCAACCATTGAGCCACACCCCCAGCCCTATTTTGTATTTTATTTAGAGACGGGGTTTCACTGAGTTACTTAGCGCCTTGCCATTGCTGAGGCTGGCTTTGAACTCGCAATCCTCCTTTCTGAGCCTCCCAAGTACTGGGATTACAGGCATGTGCCACCGCACCCAGTGGACTAGGGGTCTTAAAGAGGTGATTCAAAGGCTGCATTTCTGTCTTTTCTGGTGGAACTGTAATTCACTTGTTAATTTGGGAGCTAGTCATTTCTGAGATCTTCTGGTACCATCCCAAGGTCTGGATGGCTTCATTCCTATAGTGGGTGTGTGCTCAGGTGGGGAAGCCTGTGGTGTATTCTGACCCTTCCCAAGCTTGGAGATAAACTGGAGGCCTCCTTAGTTTCTGTTCCTCTTCCTTTGTACTTATGTCCTGACCAGTCCTTCCCCAGCCGAGCAGCGCTTGTGGGTGAGAGGCCTCTGCCTGCTTATTCACACCGTCTCCTCTGTTCCACCTCCAGATGGGCTTCGATGGCTTCTTCTTGGGGCGCATTGATTATGAAGATAAACAGATCCGGGCTGAAAGAAGGGAGATGGAGCAGATGTGGAGGGGCAGCACCAGCCTGAAGCCTCCCACTGCTGACCTCTTCACTGGTGAGGAGGGGAAGTGGGGGCAGGGCCCTGCTCAGAAGGGCCCTGGGCCTGATTCAGTGATGGACAGTCTTAAAATCCCTAACCATTTGGAAACAAGCTGTCTGTATTTTCCTTTTGCAATGGGCCTTGCAAATCCTGAAGCCCATTCTGGGTGGCACATGGCAGGCTTGGACCCCAGGGCAGTTCTGGGGCACTGGGCACCCTCTGAGCCTGGTGTGGCCTACAGGTGTACTCCCCAACAATTACAACCCACCGGAAAAACTATGCTGGGATATGTTGTGTACCGACAGTCCTGTGGTAGAGGATCCCCGCAGCCCTGAATACAATGCCAAGAGCCTGGTCGATTACTTCCTGAAGCTGGCCACTAGCCAGGTAATCCAGAGGTCCAGAACCTGCATGACCAGTATGTACCATGCACTGAGCCTTTTCCCTGGCTCAGGGGGATACCCATGGGTAAAAGGAGAAGATGCACTGAATGTTGTTATTCCGTTCACCATCACCGCGTCCTTCCTCTCAGATTTATGTTCAGCCTTCATTAGAAGCACGAAAGAGATAGCATCACAGTGCTGTGGGCCCTTGTCTGTGTAGTGGGCCCAAGAAAACTGTTAGACAATCAGTGTCTCTTTATATCTGTCCCTATGCTCCATGTACCACATTTTTTTTGGGGGGAGGGTACCAGGGATTGAACCCAATGGTGCTTTACCATTGAGGCACATCCCCAGCCCTTTTCTCTATTTTATTTAGAGAAAGGGTCTTGCTGAGTTGCTTAGGGCCTTGCTAAGTGTGTGAGGCTGGCTTTGAACTAGCAATCCTCCTGCCTCAGCCTCCTAAGCTGCTAGGATTACAGGAGTGCGCCACCCTGCCCAGCTATACCACGTATATTCTTGGCTGCATATATACCAAGGCACGGCTAGCCACAGGGGTTTCTAGGACATCCTGGCCTGAGGACTCCCCTCTTTCCTGCAGGGCCAGCAGTACCGCACCAACCATACCATGATGACCATGGGCTCAGACTTCCAGTATGAGAACGCCAACCTGTGGTTCAAGAACCTTGACAAGCTCATCCAGCTGGTCAATGCTCAGGTCAGTGTGGCCACCCTGTGGCAGCTGTGGACAGGCATGTATTAATCTGCTATCACTATAACAAGTGCCTGAAATAATCCAATTATAAGAAGAAAAGGATTAGCCAGGCATGGTGGGACACACCTGTAATCCAAGTTACTCTGGAGGCTGGGTCAGAAGGATCACAAGTTCAAGGTCAGTCTGGCAACTTAGTGAGACCCTGTCTCAAAATGAAATAAAAAGGGCTGGGGCTGGGGATATGCTCGTCTAATGTGTATGAGGCCCTGGGCTCAGTCCCTGTGAGAGAGGGAGAAGGGCTATTTTGCTGTAATTTTGGAGGTTGCAGTCCACACTCAGTTGGCCCGGTTGCTTTTGGGCCTGTGGTCAGGCAGCACATCATGCAGGAGCAAGTGACAGAGTGAAGCTACTCACCTCATGGCCAGGGAGTGAGACAGAGTAAGAAGGAGGAGCTAGGGTCCCACTGATCCCTTCGAGGGCATACCCCAGTGACCTCAAGACCTCCCATAGGTTTCCACCTCTTCACGTTTTCATCATCTCCCAGAGCACCACGCTGGAAACCAGGCCCTGAACACATGCGCTTGGGGGACATTGCAGATCCAAACTGTAGCCACGTGCGTGCTTGTATCCCTTTGGCTTAGCTCATGTTTATAGAGTGTTCTTATTTTTCAGTTGCTACTGAAAGAAATTACCACAAGCTGAGCTGCTGCAAACATACATGGTCATGCAGTCCTTGGGCCAGAGTCTGGCAGCAGCCCCAAGAATCGAGGTCTTGGCAGAGTTTAGGAGAAAGGTGTTGCTCCTTCTAGAGGCTTCCTCTATTTCTTGCTCATGCTGCTGCCTCCTCCTCCAAAGCCACACGGCTTGCCTCCGCTCTGCTCCACACCACGTCTCTCTCAGTGTCACCTCTTCTGCATCCCTCTTCCAGGTTCCCTCCTTCCTTCTTTTTTTTTTTCAACCAGGGATTGAACCCAGGGGCACGTAACCACTGAGCCACATCCCCAGAACACACCCGCCCCCCCGCTTTTTTTTTTTTTTAAATTTTAGACACAGGGTCTCACTGAGGGCCTTGGTAAGTTGGTGAGGCTGACTTTGAACTCCCAATCCTCCTGTCTCAGCCTCCTGAACCGCTGGGGTGCCACCATGCCTGGCTTCCATCTTCCTTTAAAAAATATATTTATATATAATTTGTAAATATATATTTACGTATTTTTATATTTATTTTTATATATTTATTATGTTTTTATTTAGACACTGTAGATGGACAGAATGCCTTTATTTATTTTTATGTGGTTCTGAGGATTGAACCCAGTGCCTCACACGTGCTAAGCAAGAGCTCTACCACTAAGCTCTCCCCTTCCTCTTCCAGTCTTAAAGATCCTTGTGATTATGTTGGGCCTCCCAGCTAATCCAGGATAATCTATGTTTAGGTAATCTGGTTAACACCCTTAATTCCATTCCTTATTCCCCTTTGCTAAATCACCCATGATAGTCACAGGTACTGGGATCAGGATGTAGACATCTTTGGGTTGTCATTATTCTGGCCAACACAGATATATTGATGTGTCCCTGTAAGTGGCCAGTGCTGTGTGCACAAGCAATCATTCTTTCCCATCAGCAGATAAATTTGTCTCCTTTCTTCTGAGAAGCCCCTTCCCATCAATCCTGTTCTCACCACTTGGGCAGTCACTGCATTGTTACCTCCTAGTCACCCCTGCACTATTGTTTCACCAAAACAGCTCTCAGGAACCATTGAGGGTCTTCCAGAAGACATATATCAGCCCTCCCCATGCTCCTGGTTCCCACAGAGCCTACACTACCTTGACCACTTCCTCCTGCAAATACCATGTCCCTGGCCTGCCATGAGGTCATGCTCTTTTACCACTGACTGCTCCTCTGCTGACTTCACTTTACAAACTCTGGATATGAAGTTCCTGGATTCAAACCTGGCTTTGCCATTTGCTGTTCTGTAACTTTGAGAAATATACTTAAATAATCAGTACCCTGGTTTTCTCATTATGTCCTATGAAATGGACCTAGGTGGCCCCCACTTCATCAGGGTGCTAAAGAGAGTTTAATGAATTCATTTGCACGAATCAGTATATCAGTGCCTGGCACACAAAGCATCTTAGTGGATGCTGATGATTCAGAGTGCTAGAGATGGGACCAGGGCTTCAGGCATGCTAGGCAAGCTCTACTATTGAGCTACACTGCATCCCTAGCTGTTTATTATTATCTTTCTAACTGAAAACCTTCTGTTCCTCCTTTAAGACACAGCTGAAATATCCAAAAAGCCCTCGCCACACTTCAGTTACAGCCTTTCCTCTTTGAGCTTAAAGCAGCTCCCATTAACACCTGTGATTCCACATCCAGGTGGATCGTAGCCAAGTAGCCATCTCCATTCAACATCTTTCTCCTTTACTTGCCGTGAATTCCATAATGGTGGAGTCTGGCTTCTCTGATTTTAGATTGAGCCTGCAGTTCTGAGCATATTGAAGAACTGGGTGGTTATTTGCTGAGTGAAAAATAGTATATGTGCCAGGTGCAGTGGCACACACCTGTAATCCCAGCTGCTTTGCAGGCTGAAGCAGAAGGATGGCAAATTCAAAGCCAGCCTCAGCAACTTAGTGAGACCCTAAACGATTTAGCAAGAACCTCTCTCAAAAAATAAAAAGTGCTGGGAATGTGGCTCAGTCATTAAACACCCCTGGGTTTCATTCCTGGTACAAAAGAAAAAAAAAAAAAAACAGTATGCATAGGTGTGTCTACATTCTACATGTAAGCACATGCAGTTCATGGTTCCATGTCCATAGGTTTAACTACTTTAATATTTGGGGAAAAACTTGCATCTGTACTGAACATGTACATTTTCTTTTCAGTTCCCCCAAACAATACAGTATAACAACTATACACAACAGAGCATTTACATTGTATCATGCATTACAAATCATCTAGAGGGGATTTAAAGTATAGGTGAGGATGTACATAGTTTATATGCAAGTACTATACAATTTTATATAAAGGTCTTTAGCATCCAAGGAATTGGTATCCAGGGGGAGAGTCCTGGAACCAGTTCCTAGAGGAAACCAGGAGAGGCCTGTATGTGTATGTGTGCACGATTAAAGGAATGCATTTCCATGTAAGTCCCTTCATTCACTCAAATGCCGACTGAGCACCTACTGTGAATACTGGGAACACAGCATGAGCAGAACCACCATCCTTTTCCTCAATTGGCAGAGGTGGCATAGCACACCTGTTGCCCCAGCTGCTTGGGAAGCCGAGGTGGGGAAGTTTAGTAAGATTTCAGGTTTATTCTTGTCAAGATTCCTGAAACTCAGGAAAGGTTAACATTAGGCCTCAACCCAACTTTCTTTTTTCTCGTGGAGCTGAGGATTGAACCTAGGACCTTGTGCAAGTGAAGCAAGCACTCTACTAACTGAGCTATATCCCCAGCCCCTCAACCCAAATTTGTTTTCGTACTTGACCATTGGTGGTTTGTACTCACAACGTGTATTCAGAGGCCAAAATCTACCGGATGCATGAATGTGCACACCTGTGGGCCCCTGGAAGATGCGGACTTCCAAGGGCTCACACACGCCTTCCCCAGCAGCAGGCAAACGGGAGCGGGATCCATGTTCTCTACTCCACCCCTGCTTGTTACCTCTGGGAGCTGCACAAGGCCAACCTCACCTGGTATTTAGTGGGACTGGGGAGCTTGCGGGGCGAGGCCGGGTTGTTGGCATGTTCCGCGGGTTTTGACGCTGACTCAATTGCTCTTCCGCCCCAGGTCGGTGAAAAAGGACGACTTCTTCCCTTATGCTGACGGCCCGCACATGTTCTGGACTGGCTTTTATACCAGCAGGCCGGCGCTCAAACGCTTCGAGCGCCTCAGTTACAAATTCCTGCAGGTGAATGGGTGCTGGGCTCGATGGGGCAAAACTCAGGGAGGCCCAGGGCCCCAACACACCCCTTTCTCCCCAGGTGTGCAACCAGCTGGAGGCGCTGGCGGGTCCTGCGGCCAGCCAAGGACCCTATGGCTCGGGAGACTGTGCGCCTCTGAGTAGGTGTCGGCAGACGAGGGGAGGGGCTCGCGGCTTCAGTTAGAAACCACCTCAGGCTACCTTCTAAACCTGCCCTGACCCGACCTTTCGCGTCCCCTTGGGGGAGGGGCCGGATTCCGCGGAGACCCCACCCATTTACCGTCTGTACGCAGATGAGGCGATGGCGGTGCTCCAGCACCATGACGCAGTCACCGGCACCGCTAGGCAACTCGTGGCGGACGATTATGCGCGTCAGCTGTCAGAAGGCTGGGGTCCCAGCGAGGTGCGTGGGGCGGGGCCTTGGAGAATGGGTGGAGCCGAGAGGAGTTCATTGGTCAGATCTTGAGGAGGCGGGGCCTCGGCGCGAGGGACGGAGGCGGCAGGGGCCGGTGGAGATCCCGGTGAGGCTGGTCACGAGATGACGGAGTCCTTTGCGCCCTTTCTTAGATTCTCCTGAGCAATGCGTTGGCGCGGCTCAGCGGCTCCAAGAAGACCTTCACGTTCTGCCGCGACCTCAACATCAGCATCTGCCCGCTCAGCCAGAAGTCAGCGAGTGTGAGCCCCGGCAGGAGGGGCAGGCCTGGGAAGCGGGTCCCGTGGGTGGGACCCTAGCACGCGAAATCCCACAGATGGGCGAAGAAAAGGCGGGTGTTGGGCTGAGGCGCTCCTTAAGATATGGTTGCGTAGTTTTTTGTTGTTGTTGTTGTTGTCTGTTGGAGGACCGTCCTTGGGTGAGATTGCTTGGCGTCCAATGAAGCTAGGGCAGGACAGGGACTATGGCACCGCAAGGGGGTGGCTCGTCCTGAAAGACCATGCATGGCCTCACTGGGACCCTGCCCCATCTGGTAGATGAATTTGGAGAAAGCCTGCTGTGATCCATTTCTTCTCTGACCCTTTCCCCCTAGTTCCAGGTCATTCTTTATAACCCCCTGGGGCGGAAGGTGGATCATATGGTGCGGCTGCCAGTCAGCAAGAGCAGTTTCCTCGTGAAGGATCCCAGTGGCCAGACTGTGCCCAATAGTGTGAGCTCATTTAATGGGTATTAACCCCTCGGTCCTTGCTGTCTTCTCATGGACACTCCCCATGAGCCTCTCTTCCCCCTCTGTCCCTTAATATTGTCCCCCACCCCTTGGAAACAACTCCCTCCCATAAGGGCTTCCCCTTTCTAGTATCCACCCAGGAAATTTTCTTCCTATTCACAGATAGTCCTTTTATCCCAGAAGCTCTCTCCCTTGAGCTTATTTCTCACCTAGACTCTCCTCCCCACCTTCGGGATCTCTTCCCCTACTTCCTCCCTCATTTCTCCAAGACCCCCACAGTCTTCACCCTCCTAGTGGATTCTTTTTTCCTCCTTAGGAATCTTTGCAATGCCCCCTACCTCCATGCTGGGGATGGACTCCGGATGGCATGCATGTTAAGCACAGCTCTAACACTGAGCCATACCCCAACCTCTGCAACTTTTTGGGGGGAATATGACACCCTACTCTCCCAACACCTAGATTTCTTCTCCCTATCCCAGAACTCTTTCCTTTCCTTGCGTTTGATGCCTCTCCTATGATTGGTTCTCTAGGTGTATTTACAGCTCTTCACTAAGTCTCCCTCCTCCCTTACCCAGGTGGTGGTGGTTCCCAGTGCTGAGCCTCAGGAGCACTACCCAGAGCTGGTTTTCTCTGCATCAGTGCCTGCCCTGGGCTTCAGCATCTACTCAGTAACCAAGATTTCTCACCGGAAGCCCTTGATCCCTCTTCCAAATTCCATTTCCCGGAAGTTCAGGTCCTGGTTCCCTGTCTTAGCAATTGAAAATGAGGTGAGACCCTGTTTGAATTCCTTTCACTGCCCCTGTGACAAATTGAAATGTCAAGGTGAGCTGCTGGGTGAGCGTCCTTTATTTAGCATCACCACTTCTGGTTGTGTCCTTGAGTGAGTAACATCCATCGGAGCCTCAATGTCCTCTTGTGGAGCTATTGTGAGGATCCAGTGGGATTGTGGGTGGTACTTGTTAGGTATATCACAACTGATGGTCGATGGGGGCTTGCAATTTTAGAGGAGGGGTGGCAAAGAAGGTGACATTTAAATTGAGACCTAGGCTGGAGTTGTAGCTTGGGGTAGACTTCTTACCTAGCATTCACCGTACTCTGGCTTCAGTCCCCAGCACTGAAAATAAGTAAACACCTGAGGAAGGGAGTCATGTGGCTATCTGGGGGAAGAGGAATTCAGGCAGTCAGAAGAACATAGCAGACACAAAGCCCTCAGATTGTGAGGGCCTTAAGAATGGAGAGGAAGAGTTTGGCTCTTACTCTGAAGGGGCCATGGGCAGGACAAGGGTGCCTTAAGACTGTCATGAGGGGCTGGGGAGCTAGCTCAGTTGGTAGAGTGCTTGCCTCGCATGCACAAGGTTTTGGGTTCAATCCCCATCACCACACACACACACACACACACACACACACACTGTCATGAGTGGCCAGTCAGGAGTGCAGATTCCTGTAATCCTACTTGCTCAAAAGGCTGAGGCAAGAGGATCAAAAGTTCAAGTCCAGGCTGAGCAATTTAGCAAAAACCTATCAAAACAAAAACCAAAAATGACTTGGGGCTGGGCGTGGCACATGTCTGTAATCCTAGCAGCTCAGGAGGTGAGACAGGAGGGTCACAAGTTCAAAGCCAGCTTCAGCAATTTGGCAAGGCCCTAAGCAATACAGTGAGACCCTGTCTCCAAATAAAATGCAAAAACAGGATGGGATGTGGCTCAGTAGCTAAACACCCCTGGGTTCAATCCCTGGTACCAAATAAATAAATGACTTGGGATATGGCTCAGTGGTACAGTAGTTGCCTAGCATGTGCAAAAGCCTGGGTACAATCCTCAGTACTTGGGGGAAACCTATTTTATGATGATGTTGCTATAAAAGATAAATACAATCTAGGCAAGTCTCATTATGATACATTTATTATTATTCTATCCACATTTTCTTCTGCTCCTAAAAGAAATGGAAACATTTCTGTGGGCCCCTAAGTGTCTCATGGGTCCTGGCATGGTGGCTCTGTGTTAGATATACACATGGGCCCTTGTCTGGAGCAGATGAGGGCTATTATTAGATTTAGGGTTTCACAGGTACCTCTAGCTATGCAAGCATGAACAGATTATGGGGAATGAACATAGAAGAAAGGGGACCTCTAGAGGCCAGCTGCATTAGTCCTGAGAGGCCTCGGAGTGGGGAGCGGCTTGATTGAGAGCAAGATTGATGGGAAGAGCTAGTAGGGTTTGCCAAGAGGGTCAAGTGCAAAGTGGGTGGAAGTCAAGATGACTCCAGGTTTTGTCCTGAGCCCTGGGAAAGATGGAGCTGCCATTGCTGAAGTGATGGTCACCCTCTGTCCACCCTTTACTGCCTAGTACATTCGGGCCACATTCAACCCTGACACAGGGTTCTTGACAGAGATCAGGAACAAGGACAAGAATCTCCTGTTACCTGTGAACCAGTCCTTCTTCTGGTGAGAGAGGATAATCAGGGCTGAGTGGGGGTGTAGAGCAGAGGCCCTTTATGTGACTCTCACTTGCTTTGGTCCCAGGTATGGTGCCAGTTCAGGTGATCTGGAAAGCTGGCAGACCTCTGGGGCCTACATCTTCAGACCTGAAGGACGGAAACCATATCCTGTGAGCCACTATGCTCAGATCCGCCTGGTGAAGGTCATGAATAAGGAGTGGGAAGCTGGGGATTGGGGTGGGGGGGTGTGGAACCTGAGAGGGTGATGTGCCAAGTGTAGGGTGAGAGTGGGGGGAGGATTTGCATCTCCTTTAGAAGGGGGCTAAGACCTGAGGGTGCTTCTGTAGGGCTGATATTTATGGCTGCTTCTACAATTCTCTCCCAAAACGTTCACATCTACTGTGGGAGGCAGGATTATACTTAGCTTTGGAAACTGGAGGTGAATAGGGAGAGTTAAGGGCAGGTGCAAGAGTCACCAAGGTCTGTGGTATAATTTTATATCTTGGGGCTGGGGATGTAGCTCAGTGGTAGAGTGCTTGCTTTGCATGTACAAGGACCTAGGTTCGATCCCCAGCACCACAAAATAAAAATGTTTATGTCTGGAGTGGATATTTGAGAATCCACACTTGTGCTGGGCACGGTGCTGCACACCTATAATCCCAGGGACTTGGGAGGCTGAGGCAGGAAGGTGAAAAGTTCAAAGCCAGCCCCAGCAACTTAGCGAGGCCCTAAGCAATTTAGAAAGACCCTGTCTCAAAGTAAAAAAGAGAATTCACATTATATAGTGCTCTCACTTAGGGTGGACATCTGAGTTTGTGTCTGGCTGAGAACAGTGGTTTCCTAGGACATTTCACTGATGTTTTTTCTTAGGGAAAGGTAATGGCAAGGTTCATATTTTACATGAATTCCCCTTGAGGTTAACATTGGCATTCCTGGGTCATGTATTGGGACACAAGTTGGACTGTTCCAACAGAGCTACTCCAATTAACTGTATCTACAAGATAGAAGTTCTTTCCTTCTAACAGAAAGTTTGGCTGGGCCATCTAGGGAAGGTGGGACGGTTCCAGAGTCACCTGCCTGTCTTGTTGCTCTAACATTCTTAGTATTCAGCTTCCACCTCAGATCTAAGATGGCTGCTCAAGATCTAGCCATGGCATCTGCATTTGAGGCAGTGGGAAAGGGAAAGGGGCAAGGAACATTGTTCATACAGCTTTGATCATTTTCCATGGGGCAGACCATGATCATGTAGCTACAGACAGTCTCACAGAAGACTCAACAAGACAGTCTGTATTTCAGACAGCCATATGCCAAATTAGAATCCTGTTCTAAGGAGGAAAGACAGGGTAATGGTAGGCAACAAGCATGTATGCCACACTCCAGAATTAGGTGGCAGTGACTGAGGGAAAGTGTGGGTGTTACACCTAGACAGGAGAGAGGTGTGTGGGAATCCCAGCCCCAGGCAGCCAGATGTTTGAGGGCTCACCTCTGCCTGGTATGGGCTGACGTCTGTCCTGCACACCATGTGCCTACAGACACCTTTGGTGCAGGAGCTACATCAGAATTTTTCAGCCTGGTGTTCCCAGGTGGTTCGCCTGTACCAGGGACAGCGTCACCTGGAGCTGGAGTGGACAGTGGGGCCAATACCTGTGGGGTAAGTGGCACAAGCTGGGATCCTGGTGGGGAGGCAAGAGCAAAGTGGAATTTAGGCAAGGCCCCCAACCTTGCCATCCCTTTGGGTACAGTGAAGGCTGGGGAAAGGAGGTCATCAGTCGCTTTGACACACCGCTGAAGACAAATGGGCTCTTCTACACAGACAGCAATGGCCGGGAGATACTGCAGAGAAAGTAAGGGGGCTGAGGTGTGTGTGGGCCCACGGGCAGTGGGGGTCATTTGCATGTGGGAGGGAGGGGATGAAGGGGGAGTGAGGAGCAGGGGAACCAGACTCCAAGCTTGACCAAGTCACATCCCACCCCAGGCGGGATTATCGGCCCACCTGGGAACTGGACCTGTGGGAGCCTGTGGCCGGAAACTACTATCCTGTCAACACTCGGATTTACATCAAGGTACCCCTCCCCACCCTGCAGAGTGGGACCCCTCATTCCCAGTGTCTCCCATATACCTGCGGGCGGGGGAGGGGGCTGGTTCACAGCACGACCCCTCCTTCTCACCTTCCCCCCCTCTAGGATAGGAATATGCAGCTGACAGTGCTCACTGACCGCTCCCAGGGGGGCAGCAGCTTGGGAAATGGCTCACTGGAGCTCATGGTGAGTTGAGTCCCAGCCCCATCCAAGCCAGGCTCCTCCCCGGACCACCATGGCCTTTTCTGTCCCAGGTCTCTGCTGTGTCCTCCACTAAGCTGAGAACTCTATTTCTTTTTTTTAAAAAAAATTTTTTTTTTTTTAGTTGTAGTTGGACACAATACCTTTATTTTTTATTTATTTTTATGTGGTACTGAGGATCCACCCAGCGCCTCGAATGTGCTGGGCGAGCGGTCTACCGCTCAGCCCCAGCCCGGAGAACTCTTATTTATGTGTGCGACTTTTCCTCCAGTCCCTAAGGAGCCCTCCCCTACACCCAACACCCCCCACCAACCCCATCCCCACCCCCCCTCGCCACCACCCCCCCCCGCCCCCCCGCCAGACCCTGACCTGCCCTATTTAGGCTTCCCTATCATTCTGGTCCCCTTACCAGACCCTGACCATCCTTACCCATTCCCCCCCCCCTTTTTTTTTTGTCTTGAAATTCCTGAGCCCTTTACCCCATTTCTGGCCCAGAGATGCTTGTTAGACCGCACCCTTTCCTGGCCACTCTCCCCGCCAGGTGCACCGAAGGCTGGTGAAAGATGACGGTCGTGGGTTACAGGAGCCACTGACAGAGAAGGGGTCCGGACTGGTGGCACGAGGGCGCCACCTCGTGCTGCTGGACAGGGTGGGTGAGGCGGCCGCTGGGCACCGGCTGCTGGCGGAGAAAGAGGTCCTAGCTCCGCAGGTGGTGTTAGCCCCAGATGTCGGAACCCTCTACCACCCCCAGGCCACCCCACGCATGCAGGTGAGGGGCGGCACACAGGTGAGGGGCGGCGGGAAGGGCAGAAAGGACAGGAATACAACCTGTGGGGAGTGGAGTAGGGTACAGGTTTTCCTGGGCAAAGCCTGGTCCCCATTAGCCCTGGGGAGGCTTAGCCCCTGCCGCCCCGCCCCCATCCCAGTGCCAGCCCAGTACCCAGCCACCCCTACCCGGGAGAGAACTACCTCACGCCCCTTCATTGCCTCCTCACCTTGATCCTACCTGGACTCCCTTGAGCCCCGCCTTCCCGCCTGCTCACCTCCCCCTGCCTCTGTCCCTCTAAGCCAGTCCCATGTCTCCATGGCTTGCGCAGCTCCCCAACGATGTCCAGCCTTGGCCTTGATCACTTCTGCCTCTTCTGGGCTTGGATCTTCATGGCCACCCCCCTGCCCGAAAACCTGGGCCCACCCCATTCCCTCTTTGGCTCAGCTCTTAGCCTTCACAAACCTGCAGTTTCCTTTTAGTTGAGCCCCTCCCCTCTGGGTAAGCCCCGCCCCCTACAGCCTAGTGTGTTTTCCTGGCCGGGCAGAGCCCCGCCCCTCTCGGTCCGAGACCCTTCCCTCCCAGACTCAGCCCGCCCCGCTACCGCAGTTCTCCGGACTGCGCCGAGAGCTGCCGCCCTCAGTGCACCTGCTCACGCTGGCCCGCTGGGGCCTCAACAAGCTGCTGCTGCGCTTTGAACATCAGTTCACGGTGTGGGAGGATTCAGGCCGCAACCTGAGCGCCCCTGTGACCTTGGACTTGCGGGTAAGGAGGGCAGAGGTGGGAAGGAGAGAGGCAAGAGAGAGGGGCAGAGGCAGAACTCGGCTTTGCCCAGCATTCAGCGTGTCCTACCCACTCCCCGCAGGATCTGTTCTCCAGCTTCACCATTACCCACGTGCAGGAGACCACGCTGGCGGCCAACCAGCCCCGTGCCAGTGCTTCGAGGCTCCAGTGGACACTAAAGGATGGTGAGGACCTGCTTTGGGTCCTGCCTGGGGTCAGCAGCTGGGGTGGTGCATGAGACGTGGCAATATTGGCCAGGACCTACTACAGAGCCTGAGGGCCTGGGACAGCACCAGAGGCAGGCTAGGTCTTAAGGGTCACAAGTGGGTCCCACACACTAGCAATGCGACTTGAAGTTTAGAGGTGTTTAGTCCCGAGAACAAAATTTGAGAGTCTCCATCAGTGTCTAGGTCTGGAAGGGTCAGCTTAAGGATTCGAGGACCTCAGGATGGTATTCCAGCAGGGGAAAATGGTTCAAGGGTCAGGGCATACGGTCCTGGGGACAAACTTGGGGGTGGCTAGGCCCAGGGGAGGGGATACTGGGTGAGACAGAGGACATCTGGGCCCCTTACAACTCCTTCCCCACCCCTCCACAGGTCCCACTCCCCACCCTGCACCATTCACACTGGACCCATCCTCCATCACCCTACAGCCCATGGAAATCCGCACCTTTGTGGCCTTAGTCCAATGGAAGGGTGGCTGGACCCTCTAGGAGGGCCCCTTCAGTACCTGAACCCCAGCTCTGGGGGAGGGGGCAGACTCCCTTCTCATTCTGCTGCTGCCACCTACAACTGCCATTAAAATGCCACTACTTCCTGGTGCAGTGGTGCACTCAGGAGTCTGAGTCAGGAGGATGGCAAGTTCAAATCTAGCCTCAGCAACTTGGCAAGGCCCTAAGCAACTTAGTGACATCCTGTTTCAAAATAAAAAGTTTTTTTTAAAAAAAATGGGCAAGGGATGTGGCTCAGTGATTAAGCACCCCTGGGTTCAATCTGATACAACATAATAAAATATGCCATTATTAAGATTTTTTATATATTTATTAGACATCTGTATAATTTTTAATGGACTATATGCTCATATATTTTGTCCATTTTTAAAATGGGTTATTAGTTTTCTGAGTTATAATAACAGCTCTTTATATATCCTACAAATAAGTCCTTTGTCAGACATGGAACTTACAAATATGTTTTCCCAAACTGTAACTTGCTTTTTCACTTTGTTAGCATTATCTTTTATTGTTGGTGGGGTTCTTTGGGTTTTTGCCATTACTAAGATTTAAGAGGGTTGTCTTATGATTGTGTTGCTTTATTTTGGGGAAGGGGCAGAGAATGCATGACCCAGAATGATGAGCAAATCCTAGCTCAGCCCTGAACTGAGGTGGAGGTCATTTACCTGTCTGACTCCCCATACTGGACTCTACTGTTCTCACCCCCCCTACCACCACCACTGCTCCTTCCCCCACCTCCTGCACTGATCATTTTTGCACTGAAGTGCTGGCACAGCAGGCCTGTGCTGGACATGGGCTCAGAGAAGCAGATACACTTCTCCAGACTGGTCTCGGGGGAGCTGGATCTTCAGAGCAAGGAATCTGGGAGGACATAGAACAGGTGATGGAACTAGAGGCTAGTCCTAAGTTAAGGCCCTGACACGTAGCTGGATGCAGACAGGCAAATATTCTGGTGCTCTCAAGAGTTCTGGTTCTGAAACACAGGAAGATGCCCGGATTAAGTGTCCCCCTCACCCCCCAGCTGAAACAAAGTGACTTGCCCTCCAGTTGCCCCACCCTTGGGCAAATCCACTAATCCACTGATAGGCCTGGATGTCCCCTCTGGCCTTCATGAGCTATCTGCAGGTCATGTGAAGACCTGTGTTTGGATATGCCACTCAGCCACTTGTAAAGTCACCCTCCTGCGGCCCAAGAGATGAGGGAGGAGGATGAGATTCCTGTGTGAAATTCCTAGTTGCTGGAAGTCATCTCCCTCTAGAAGGACCACTGGGCCATGGTCCTGCATAGAGACCAGTCTTTTCAAGCACCGGCTGCAAATGTTCCTTAGTTCTCCTCCAATGACAGGGTCTGGCCCAGGGTGGACACAGAAGCAGGGGAGGGAAGGACCATTTTGGCTTTGTAATGTTCCCAATACCCCTCCACTGGGCCTGTTTGGCAGAGGCCAGCTCAAGATGTGAGGGTGGGTTGCATTCTGCCATGGCTTCAGAGGGGTTCAGGTCACTTTTTTTCTAATTCTCTCTCTTCAGGAAAGGCCAGGTCAGGTCAGCTAGTACAGTCCAAGGAGGATCCCTGTACTCATCTCCCATGTCAGGTCTGGTACTGAAGGTAGACCCCCAAACAATTTTTTCTTTTTCCCTTTTATGATATTGGGGATTGAATCCAGGGCCTCACACATGCTAGGCAAGCACCTTACTACTGAGCCCTGCACCCCCAACCCCTTTTACATTTTTTTTTAGAACACTTTTTAGGGGCTGGGATGTGGCTCAAGCGGTAGCGCGCTCGCCTGGCATGCGTGCGGCCTGGGTTCGATCCTCAGCACCACATACAAACAAAGATGTTGTGTCCACCGAAAACTAAAAATAAATATTTTGAAAAATTCTCTCTCACACTCTCTTTAAAAAAAAAAACAAAAAAACCACTTTTTAGTTGTAGATGGACATAACATCTATTTTTGTTGTTGTTGTTGTTAAATATGGTGCTAAAGATCGAACCCAGTGCCTCACAAGTGCTAGGCAAGTGCTCAACCACTGAGCTCCAGCCCCAGCCCCACATTTTATTTTGAGACAGGGTCTCACCAAGTTATCCAGGTGCTTTGAACTTCAGATTTCCCTGCCGAGTAGCTGGGGTTACAGGTGTGTGGCACTGAGTCTGGCCAGTCTGCCTTTTCCTCATTCTCTCAGCACCTTCCACCTTTGGTGGCCACTTCGGGGACCATGAAGCAGAGAGGAATCTTCACCAGACACTGAATCTGCTGGCACCTTAACCATTGACTTCCCAACCTCTAGAACTGTGAGCAATGCCTTCCTGTCACTTAGAAACTACCCAATCTAAGGTGTTTTGATATAGCAGCTAGAATGGATTAAGACAGTCACCTTCTAAAGATTAGACAGTCATCCCTCCCAAGAGATGCAAGGAGGGATCCCTAGTCTAGCTGTCACTCTGCATGGGGTTGGGGTTTTAGGTGTGCCTCCCATAACTTTTTCTTTTTTTTGGGGGGGTGGGCCAGGGATTGAACCCAGGGCGCTTAACTACTGAGCTACATCCGCAGTCCTTTTCCTTTTTATTTTGGGACAGGGTCTAACTAAGTTACTTAGGGCTTCACTAAATTGCTGATGCTGGTTTTGAACTTGTGATCCCCTGCCTCAGCCTCCCCAGCCACTGGAACTATAGGTAGGTGCTACTGTGCTCAGTACTCTGCTGGTTCTTTCTTTCCATTTTCTTTAGCTTGAAACTGTGAGTTAAAGTTGTCTCTTTCCTTCCTCCATTCTCTGGCCTGTAACTTAATTAAGAACATCCCAGAATTGTTTTTTTCTTTTTGACAACACTGAGGATGGACTCAGCCTCACACATTTCTATTGTGAAACGGAGTGTCACCAAGTTGCCCAGGCTGGCCTCAGACTTGGGATCCTCCTTGTGGTCTCCAGAGGTGCTGAATATAATAGATGTTCTCTACTCCACCCGGCTTCCTTTCTACTTTGAGAAGATCTTACTTGGCCTCAATCTTGTGATCCTCCTGCCTTAACTTTGCAAAGCACTGGGATTGCAGGTTTGGGCTACTGTTTTTTAGCTCTTATTTTTTTCTTTTTTTGGTACTGGGGATTGAACCCGGAAGCACTTACCACTGCACTACATCCCCAAACCTTTTTTTTTTTTTAAATTTAGAGATAGGGTCTTACTAAGTTGCTTAAGGCCTCAAACTTGTGATCCTCCTGCCTCAGCCTCTTGAGTTGCTGGGATTACAGGTGTGCACCACTGTGCCCAGCTCTTAGTAGTTTTCAAACAATAGAAATTTATCATCTTACCTTTCTGGAACCCAGAAGTCCAAGCTCAGGGTATGGGAAGGGTTGGTTCCCTCCCGGGACCTGTCAGGAGAATCCCTTTTTTACCTTTCACCTATTGTATGGTGGTTATCTAGTCACCTTTGGTATTCCTTGGCTTGTAGCAGCATGAAACTGGTCTCTCCTTCATCTTCACGTGGTGCTCTTTATGTGCCAGTCTGTGTCCCCAACCCTGCTCTCTTTACTTCCTTTGGTACTGGGGTTAGAACCCAGGGGCAGCTTTACCACCGAACTATATTCCCAGCCTTCAAGTATGTTTTTTTTAATATTTATTTTTTAGTTGTAATTGGACACAATACCTTTATTTCACGCATTTATGTGGTGCTGGGGATCGAACCCAGGGTCTCACACATGCAATGCGAGCGCTCTACCACTGAGCCACAACCCCAGCCCTCAAATATGGTTTAAAAGAAATTGTCATGAATAAAAAAGGTGCTTCTAATACCCCTGGGAACTCTGTGCCAGGAACCTGAGACAAAGACTGAGTATTTATTTCCTATTGCCAAAGACAAAGTCAAGGACTGGGGTTGTGGCTCAGTGGTAGAGAGCTTGCCTAGCTTGTGTGAGGCACTGGATTTGATCCTCAGCACCACACAAAAATGAAATAAAGATATTGTGTGTCCACCTACAACTAAAAAATAAATATTAAAAAAAAAAAAGTCAAGAGCTGTTGTAGCTCAGTGGTACAGCACTTGCCCAGCATGCTCAAGGGCCTGGGTTGGATCTGCAGCACCAACACACACACAAATCACAACACGTTTTAAATTGAATTGTCTTTCATTGCCAGGCAACAGTGGCTGACCAGTGGATATTTGAAAAAAAAAATTTTTTTAGTTGTAGATGGACACAATACCTTTATTTTATTTGTTACGTGGTGCTGAGGATCGAACCCAGTGCCTCACACGTGCTAGGCAAGCGCTCTACCGCTGAGCCACAGCCTCAGCCCAGACCACTGCATTTTGTAAGATGGAAACAAGGAAGCAAGAGCAGGAAAAGATACAACGACTGATGGGTGAGCATCAGAGGACTTATTTGTAAGGTTAAAGCAAAGGGGACTTCCTTATTACACTGACTCAGTTCGACCAAGATTACGGATGTGTGCCACCACAGCTGGTTTAAAAATATTCTGACTCATGGTTACACATTTTGCATTTTCTGACCCATCAACACGAATGACCTTGCATCTAGCTTCCTCGATCACTTTCATTCACAGGACAGTTCCACAGTGGGAATTTCATGACTGAAAGGTATCTGTTGGAATCGTGGACGTTCCCCAAGTCATGTTCACTGGGCTTCTATCTATGGTGCACCCTCACGTGTTTGTTCAAGGATGTGGACAAAGCAAAAGCTCTTCCACATTGCTTACATGCAAAAAGTTTCTCTCCACCGTGAGTTCTTTCGTGTCTTTGAAAGGAACTGCGAAGACTAAAGGCTTTGCCACATTCTTCACACTTATAGGGTTTCTCTCCAGTGTGCATGCGCATGTGCCCTTGAAAGCTTGTGGGATAAATGAAGGCTTTCCCACACTGCTTGCATTCATAGGGCCTCTCTCCTGTGTGAGTTCTCTCGTGTATCTGAACGTAACTAGAACAACTGAAGGCTTTTCCACATTGCTTACACTCATAAGGCTTCTCTCCAGTGTGGGTTCTCTCGTGCGTCCGAAACGCACTGAGAAAGATGAACGCCTTCCCACATTCCCTGCACTTGTAAGGTCCATCGCCAGTGTGCGTTATCGTGTGTCTTCGAAAGTTTTCGAGAGAAATGAAAGCTTTGGCACATTCTTTACATTCGAAGGGTTTTTCTCCAGTGTGATTTCGTTCGTGGATCTGCAAATCTAGAGGATAATTGAAGGTTTTTCTACACGTTTTACATTCATAGGGTTTTTCTCCAGTGTGAGTCCTTTCGTGTATCCGACAGTAACTGAGGCGACTGAAGGCTTTCCCACATTCTTTGCATTTATAGGGTTTCTCACCAGTGTGCACCCTCATGTGTACTCGAAAGGCTGGGCGCGCACTGAAGGCTTTCCCACATTCCTTACACTTGTAGGGTTTTTCCCCAGTGTGAGTTCTTTCATGAATCTGAACGGAAGTGGAACATCTGAAGGCTTTCCCACATTGTTGACACTTGTAGGGTTTCTCCCCGGTGTGGATTCTTTCATGTACTCGTAAAAAACTGGGACGAATGAATGCCTTCCCACATTCCTTACATTTGTAAGGTCTGTTGCCATTGTGTGTTATCATGTGTGTTTGAACGGTTGTTCGGGAAATGAAGGCTTTCCCGCATTCCTTACACTTGTAGGGTTTCTCCCCAGTGTGGGTCCTTTCATGTATTTGAATAGAACTGGGACAGCTGAAGGCCTTCCCGCATTTCTTACATTCATAGGGCTTCTCCCCAGTGTGAATCCTTTCATGAATTCGAAGAGAACTAGGAGATCTGAGAGTTTTGCCACAGTGCTTACACTGATAGGGTTTCTCTCCAAAATGTGTCCGTTCATGTGTCTGAAAGGGCTGGTGATATATAAAGGTTTTTCCACACTGTTTACACTTATAGGGGTTTTCTCCAGTGTGGGTCCTTTCATGTCTTTGAAAGGATTTGAGATAACTGAAGGTGATCCCACACTCTTTGCATTTGTAAGGCTTGTCTCCATACTTACATCCATAGAATTCGTGTCCAGGGTGAGATCTGATGTGCCTCGTAAGGGATGAATGAAGCATGAAGACTTTTCCACACACGTTACATTCATACGGTTTTACTCCAGAAGTTTTCTTGGTCACGCTGACATTTGGAATCTGGCTGACAGTTTCTCCAGACTGACCACCTTTACTTTCACAGAGTCTCTGCACCATATGACTTCTGAGAAACATTAGAAGCACATTAATAATGACTGCTCATCATTATTTTACATTAGAATTACATTTTTATTATTTCCAGAAACACCTGTAGTTTTTCTGCCCTGTCTGAACTTTTTTTTTTTTTGGCACTGGGGATTGAACTCAGGGGCACTCAACTACTGAGCCGCATCCCCAGCCCTATTTTGTATTTTATTTAGAGACAGGGTCTCACAGAGTTGCTCAGTGCCTTGTTTTTGCTAAGGCTGGCTTTGAACTCGTAATTCTCCTGTCTCAGCCTCCCAAGTGGCTGGGGTTACAGGCATGTGCCACTGCGCCCGGCAATCTGAACTTTTTCAAGTGATGGGATTGAAACTTGGACCTCGTGCATTTTAGGCAGGCACTCTCTCTGAGCTACACCCCCCGAGTCCTGTCTGAACTGTTTGAAAGTGGGTAGACAACGGACTGAGGATGTGGCTCAGTGGTAGAATGCTTGACTGGAATATGTAAGGCCCTGAGTCTGATTTCCAGACATACACACACACACGCACACAAAGTGAATATACTCAATTCTCTGCAATAAGCTTCTCTACAGCTATTATCAAAACAGCAATATTCATATACATGGTTTCTTAACACTATTTCCAAGTAAGATATTTTTCAAACATTAACCATCCATGTCATTTAAGAAAACATTTTTGGGCTAGGTACAGAGTTACATACCTGTAATCCCAGCTTCCTGGGAAGCTGAGGTAGGAGGGTCTCAAGTTCAAGGACAGCCTGGGCAACTTAGTGAGACCCTGTCTCAAAATAAAAAAGTGGGGCTGGGCACAATGACACACGCCTGTGATCCCAGCTACTCCACGGGCTGAGGCAGAAGGATCACAAGTTTAAGGCTAGTCTTGGCAAGTCTGAGGTCAGCCTGGGCAACTTAGCGAGATCTTGTCTCAAAATAAGAAATAATAAGAGCTAGGGGTTAAGGGAGATTTAGCTCAGTGACAGAGTAGCTCAGTACCACACAAAAACAAAACAACAACAACAAAAGGTCTGGGATGTAGCTTTGTGGTAGAGAGTCCCTGACTTAAATGCCCAGCACTACATGGTGAAAACATCTAAGAAAAGGGCCGGGATTGTAGCTCAGCGGTAGAGCACTTGCTTAGCACGTGCAAGGCCCTGGGTTCGACCCTCAGCACACATAAAAATAAATAAAATAAAAATATTGTGTCCAAATACAAAATAAAAGAAAGAAAGAAAGAAAATGTCTAAGAAAAAAATCAATTTGAGGCTGAATTTGTTTGCTTGCTTTTAAAAAAAAAATCATACTAAAGTATCATACCTACTGGGGTTCTTTCTCTGGTATGTACAACTCACCTTAGATTTCTCCCTGGGATTTTGAACTCATCTTTGATCTTCCAGTCTTCCCATGTATTTCCTAAAATATGGATCCAGAAAAATCGTTCTAAGTTATCAGTAATTATAGCAAATGTTAGGTCCCTAAGCCAAAGTAACTCCACTTTGAAACTCAGCACCTGCTCACCCAGGCATGACCTTCCCATTAGGCCCGTCCCCAAAGACTCCCTAACCACAGCGTCACATAACAATCACAGGACCAGAGGGTTATGTGTAACCTCCCCATCGTAGTTGACTACAGTTAGCAAGTTTTCCCAGCAGGCTGCTGCGCCTGGCAGAAGGGCAGCCTGGCCGATATTCTCTGTCAATAAACCTTTGCTTGAACTCAGAGCTGTGTCCCTTGTGGATATCTGTGCCAGCCACCCTGAGGTTCTGGTGCTGAAACCCAGGAGGGGTCCACGGTCATTGCCTGCTGGCTCTCCCATCATGGGATCTGAGCTACCTTGACCATGCCCCCTCCTGCCTGGCCAGTATCCACCCCAGGGCGTTTCTGCCTCTTGCCTTCTGGCTTCTGGCCCATCACAGAACTTGACTCTTGACAGCATTCCCTCTCTACTGGCCTTGAGTTCTCGGAACCTCTCTAGGGTGCCCCTGAGCATGCCCTCCCTCTCCCTCCTTCTCTCTTCCCCTCCCAGTGCTGAGTCAGGGTCTCCCTTGGCTTCTTCCACAGGCCTGTCAAGGACCCTGACGACCCTCACCAATGGTCTGCTTCTATGTGGGAAATCAGAGAGGTTGTGGGGACACCCCTTCCTCCTCTGTTTCCTTTCTCGGGCTCCTGAGAACTCTCAGCCATGGGATCTGCCCAACCCAAAATTCCCTGCAACTCCCACCTGTCTCCTCAAAAACCTTTGGTCTCGTTTTGTATTGTAACACAATCTGGCCCCAATATAAGTTAGATAATGACTCCTCTTGGCTGAGAATGGGACTTTCAATCCCACCGTATACAGGACTTATGCAACTTCTGTCACCGCGGGGGCAAGTGGACAGAGATTCCCTTCTCTTTCACCCCTCTCTGGGTCAGTCCTGCTCCCTGCATAGGTCCTCCTTGCTCTCTCTCCCTTAACCCTTTCCCCTCCCAAACCTAGCGATTTTTTTTTTGAGCGGGGTGTGCGGGGGGTACTGGCGATTGAATTCAGGGCACTGAGCCACATCCCCAGCCCTGTTTTGTATTTTATTTAGAGACAGGGTCTCACTGAGTGCTTCGTGCCTCACTGTTGCTGAGGGTGGCTTTGAACTCGCGATCCTCCTGCCTCAGCCTCCCAGGATGCTGGGATTACAGGCGTGAGCCACCACACCTGGCTGTAATTTTCCCTCTTTTGACCCACAGGATCACTCTTCCCTTCCTCTACCTCCACCCTGTGCTTCTCTATTGCCTTCCCCAGCCACACCTTCAGCACCCACTGGACCCGTCTTCCCTGTCCCACTCGTCCTTCATCTCCCTTCCCTTTCTCTGGATCTCAACACCACACCTCCTACTCGGGCCTCTCCTTCTTCTTTCTCCCCTCCTCATACCTGCTTTCCTGGGCCCCACCTTCGGCCTCAGCAGCCCCCCTCCCGTCACTACGGGAGGTAGCTGGAGCCCAGAGCATTGTTCGCTCACTGAGAAACATCTAGGTTCCTGTCGTATAGACCCCGGATTTCTACACTAAAGAATTCCAGTATGTAGTCCTATGATCTGATATGGCATGACATCAATATCATCCTCTCTTCTACCCCCTCCTGGAGGAGAGGCAGAGGATTTGAGCCCCCACCCAAGCGCATGCAGATAATTTTAATAAGCTTAAGAAATTACTCAAGAACCTAGTGAGAATCCAGCCCAATTTCTCTCCCACCCTACAGAAGCTCTTCAACACTACACTAAAGTAGACCCATAATCCCCAAGTGGTGCTATCACCCCAGTGACTCATTTTATTTCCCAATCTGCCCCATTCAAAAAAAATTAACAGGTTAGAGAGAGGAAGGCCCCCAAATGCCCCAATTAACCATTCTTTTTTTTTCCTAATTTTTATTCCTTATAAGCTACCAGCATATGGTATTTTTAAATCTTTGTTTATTTATTTTTATGTGGTACCGAGGATCAACCCCAGTGCCTCATATATGTGAGGGAAGCGCTCTGCCACTGAGCCACCACCCCAGCCCCCAATCAACCATTCTTAACGCTGCCTTTAAGGTTTTAATTATAGAGAAGAGCAACAAAAAATAGATAAAAAGAGATAAAGCCAAATTTCAACTTCTGGCACAGGCCCCGCAAGACGAACCCAAGGGTGTAGTTTCCAACAAAGGACACTACAGGGCACCTCCTGGACCTTGTCTGGGAAGGACACTGTGCCCATGTGTGCCCTAATCTCCAACCACCATCTGGCCCTTGCCCTAAACTCAAAAGGGACAGACACTGGGGAGTCGACCATCCTTCCAACAGTGAGGTGAGGGGCCAAATCCTCCCTCTTCATTCTCCCTAACTAACCTCATAGGGCTGGCCTCTCAAGACTGAAGGTGCCCAGGACTCTCCGCCCCAATGACCGTCACCCACCATCACCCACCAGGAGCCTAGGGTAACTGCCACTGTTGAAAGTAGGCCAATCTCTTTCCTCATTGATACGTGAGAAACTTTCTCAACTTTGCCCCAATTTTGGGGGACCAACTCAGTGTTTCAAACCTCTATCGTCAACCCACGCAGGACAACTCCTCCAACATGCAGCACTGAGGGGACGCCTCCTGCCCAGTCCTTTTGACTGTATTTTTTTGGGGGGGTGCCACTGAGGATTGAACTCGGGGGCAATCGACCACTGAGCCACATCCCCAGCCTTATTTTGTATCTTATTGAGGGACAGGGTCTCACGGAGTTGCTTAGTGCTTCGCTAAATTGCTGAGGCTGGCTTTGAACTCACTATCCTCCTGCCTCAGCCTTCAGGTCTTCCTGCCTTAGCCTCCCTAGCTGCTGGGATTACAGGCGTGAGCCACCACACCCAGACATTCCTTTTTAATTGAACCTCATCGCCCCACTCCCTTAATGGGAAGAAATCTCTCAAAATTTCAAGCCTCCTTCACCTTTCATTTCCCCAATATGGAATCTACCCCGGTGGCCACAGATCTCTCTCTCTCCTCTTCTTGCCAATCCGTTCCCCTTACAGACACCACATTGCTTCTTTCTTTGGCCCCGAGTAGCCCACACCTGCTCACGTTTCTCAACACAACCTTACAACTCCTCGACAATTCTAACCCTCCTATACTTCAGATGGCGGGCTCTGCGTCCCATGGCTCACGGACAGCAAACCCTGTCCCTCTCCGTGGACCTCCAATCCAACCTCTCTCTTCACCACTCCTCAAGTAATTCCCCTGAACTGCTTTATTCCCATGTCTCCTACTTTGGGCACCCTCCCCCACCCTATGTCTCTATCCACCATGCCACCTAAGGGTTCCCTGGGCAACACAACTGACAATGTCACCTCAGAGCCAGCCTGGCACCTTCTTCCTCTGCAGATGTCCCATTCTTCGCTGCCTCACACCCCCTATTCCCACCTTCTGTCTCCCTGTCCTCCTCACGCTCCATATAACCAGATACTCTGAGGGGGAGGTTGAACTGACCCTCTCCTCCCGCTCCTGGACTCCACTTCAATGTCCCAGATGCATAAGACCAATCGTCGCGCCAGTCCTCATTGGATCGGGCATATTGGCAGCACTGGCACGGGGTAGCAGGAATTGGTACAGCCACTGTCTTTACTGTAAACTCTCCCAAGAACTGAAGGAGGACTTTGAGCAGGTGGCAGACTCCCTGGGGTCTCTTCAAATCCAAGGGACCTCCTCAGCCAACGTAGGTCTCCAAAATAGGAGAGCCACTGACTTACTAACGGCAGGGAAGGGAGGCGCTTGGGTCTTTTTAGGAGAGGAATGCTGTTACTCCACCAACAAATCTGAATAATCCCAGGAAAAACAGCTGAGCTCCGGGGGAGCATCGAGAAACACCCCTGGGAGCAGCAGCAGTCACCTCCCTGGGACCTTTTGGGTCAGACTCTCCCATGGCTGCTCCCATTGATGGGACCTCTCCTTACATTCATCATAGAGCTCTTAATAGGACCTTGTCTGATAAAATGCCTGAATTTTTTTTTTTTTTTTTTTACAAGATTGAGCAAAGGCACTCACTAATCAGACTGTAAATCAGCTCGTTATGAGCCCATTTTGAAAATCAGCACCTGCCCACCCAGGCATGACCTTCCCATTAAGCCCATCCCCAAAGAGTCCCTAAGTATGGAAACCACAGCAAAGGCGCCAAATAAGGATCACAGGACCAGATGGGTTGTTTTTAACTCCTAACCAAGAGAAAGGATGATGTCACCCTTACCGACAGAGGCCAGGTTCCTGAAGGTTTCCTGCATCACATCTCTGTAGAGTTTCTTCTGCGAAGGATCCAGCAGAGCCCACTCCTCCTGGGTGAAGTTCACAGACACGTCCTCAAAGACCACCGAGTCCTACAACATCCCACACACATGCACAGATAAGGAGTGAGATTTCCAGGGCTGGAGGCCTGTACTCAAATTCCTAAATTCACACACAATTCAAAACATTTATTTATTTATTTATTTATTTTGCCTTGGTCATCAGTTTGTCTCTGTCCACACTTCTGTAAGTCAAGAGGCCTGGAACAATGGACTTACAGCTACATTTTATTATGGTCACTGCCAAGTCCTACAGGTTCCTAATGGAAATGTCTAGTTGAGCTTGAAAGAAGCTGGGAGTGGTGGTGCATGCCTGTCATCCCAGTGACTCAAGAGACTTAGGCCGGAGATTCCAAGTTCAAGGCCAGCCTCAGCAACTTAGGGAGACGCTGTCTCAATATAAAAGACAAAAAGGGCTGGACATGTGGCTCAGTGGTTGAGTGCCTCTGGGTTCAACACCTAGTACAAAAATGGGAGGGGGAAACTTGGAAAAATGAGAAACCCTTTTCATCGATTTCTTTTGTATGTGTGAGAAATTTTTTCATCTCATTTCTTTTTAAAAAATATTTACTTATTTATTTTTAGGTATAAATGGACACAATACAATGCCTTTATTCTTATGTGGTGCTGAGAATCGAACCCGGGTCCCGCTCGTGCTAGGCGAGCGCTCTACCACTGAGCCACAACCCGAGCCCTCATCTCATTTCTTTTCTTTTTTTTTAATATTTATTTTTCAGTTTTCGGTGGACACAACATCTTTGTTTGCATGTGGTGCTGAGGATCGAACCCGGGCTGCACACATGCCAGGCGAGCGCGCTACCGCTTGAGCCACATCCCCAGCCCCCTTTACTTAATTTATTTATTTTTACGTAGTGCTGAGGATCGAACACAGGCCCTCGCATGTTCTAGGTGAGTGCTCCGCCGCTGAGCCACAACCCTGGCCCCAGCCCTTTTTATTTTTTATTTTGCGAAAGGGTCTTGCTAAGTTGCTGAGACTGGCTTTGAACTTGCGATCCTCCTGCCTCAGCCTCCTGAGTTGCTGAGTTGATGGTTGTAAGAGAACTCATGTAGAAAAGGAGAAAGAGTCAATTGATACATTTCCCTTTTCCTATAGATTTCAACTTGACCATAATCCAACAGTTTTTTTTTTTTCCAGAGAATTTGCTGTGCATTTGCGCTGGGAGACTAAAATAAAAATAAGAGTAGCACTTTTCACGAAGCACAAAATAAACATAAAACCCCAACAGCATAACCATGAGCACCGATGAGTGAGTGGCCTAGGGCTCAGGTAGTAGCACGTTCAAAACATACGGAGGCAAAGAAACTACTGAGACCTTGTTAAACATAACTACAGGTAGCTCCGTGGTGGAGTGGCCGCCCAGCGTTCACGAGGCCCTGGGTTCCACCCCAGCACGGCAGCTTCTCCCCTCAGGAGTCTACCCTCCGGTGCTTCTCTAGGGAAGGCGTCTGAACACACCGTGCACCTGTCTGAAGGCTACTCCCAGCCTCCGGCCTTTTGTGGAAGCTGCTCATTCCAGAAGAGCCCACGTGCCACAGCATACAGCGGCTTAGACCACGTCTGTAAAAGCCTGTGCTGCCGCAGAAGCATGGAAAGAACCCAGAGGGTGCCGTGGGAGCTGAGAGGCCCAACAGTGTCTTCCCAGGAGTCGTGGAGTGAGCAGCCCTCCGGACACCAGATAATTACAGGAATTTAATCAAGATGCTGGGCGCAGAGAATATCATGCTAAGTGAAACAAGCCCATCACAAAAAACCAAGGTCGAATGCTTTCACTGATATATGGAAGCTAAGGTGGGGGGGGGAGTTCAGTAGATCAGACAAAGGAGAAGGGAAGGAAGGAGGGGGGACAGGAATAGAAAGACAGTAGAATAAAAAAATACATAATTTTCCTGTATATGAAATTACCTAAGTGAACTCCACCATAGTGCTACCCAGAAGAAAGGGGTCCTAATTAGAATAAGATATATTCTATGCTTGTATAATTTTATCAAAATGGACTCATCGAAGCGGAGCGTGGTGGTGCACAACGGCTCGGGAGGCTGAGAGTTCAAGGCCAGCCTCAGCAACTTAGCAAGACCCTAAGCAACTCAGTGAGACCCTGTCTCTAAATGAAATACAAAATAGGGCTGGGGATGTGGCTCAGTGGCTAAGTGCCCCTGAGTTCATTCCCCGGTACCAAAAAAAAAAAAAAAAAAGGACTAATCATGTATAACTAAGAAGAACCAACCAATAAAATAAAATTTTAAAAAAGATTCTGGGTATAGTGCCACACACCTATAATGCCTGGGAAGCTGAGGCAGGAGTATTGCAAGTTCAAAGCCAGCCTCAGCAATGCAGAAGGCCCCTAAGCAACTCAGACCCTGTTTCAAAATAAAAAAAGTAAAAATTACTGGGATGTAGCTCCATAGTAAAGCACTCCCTGTGTTCAATTTCCAGTACCAAAAAGAAAAGGAAGAGTGGAACAGTAGGAATAATCACCTCTTCATGATTTTTTTTTTTTTTTTGATACTGCAGATTGAACTCAGGTGTACTCGACCACGGAGCCACAACCCCAGCCCTATTCTGTATTTTATTTAGAGACAGGGTCTCACTGAGTTACTTAGCACCTCTCATTTGCTGAGGCTAGCTTTGAACTCACAATCCTCCTGTCTCAGCATCCCTAGCTGCTGGGATTACAGAAGTATGCCACCGTGCCTGGTGGGGGTGAAATATTTTTTAATAATAATTCTATATATATATATATATGTATATATATATATATATACATATATATATATATATATATATATATATGGTAGTTTAGATGGATACAATACCTTTATTTTATTTTATTTATTTACCTTCATGTGGTGCTGAGGATCAAACCCAAGGCCTCACACATGCTAGGCAAGCTCTCTACCACTGAGCTACAATCCCAGCCCAATAATAATTCTTAATCTTTCAAGGTCCTGTTTAACTTCCATGGGGCCATGATAACTAATTAACTAGGGCATAAGGCAGGAGTGACCCCATTTTGTCAAACCAATTTATAAGTGTCAAAGACTTTAGGAGCCTGGGAGTACGGAGCAATAAGTCCCTTAGGTTGATCCCCAACACTGCAAAAAACAGAAACAAAAACAAAACAAAACAAAACAAAAAAAAAAACAAGAAAAGAAAAAGCCTAACTAAAAATTAAAAATGAACTTCTCAGTGCTGGGTCTGTAGCTCAGTGAGAGAGCACTTGTCTAGCAAGTGTGAGGCATTGGGTTTGATCCTCAGCACATGCATGTGATCCCAGCTATTCCAGAGGCTGAGGCAGGAGGATTGCAAGTTGGAGGCCTGTGTGGGCAACCTAGCAAGACCCTGTCTCAAAATTTAAAAAAATAATAAAAAGGGCTGGGGATGTAGCTTAGTGGTAAGAGTGCCCCTGGGTCCTAAGTTCAATCCCTGGGTCCAGAAACAAACAAAGGTCCCTCAAAACTGGGTTGTAGGCCTATAGTCCAAGTCACTTGGGAGGCTAAGGAAGGAAGATTGCTTGAGCCCAAGAGTTCAAGGCCAGGCTTCCATAACAAAGAGACACCCTGTCTCATCTTTCTTCTTTTTCTTTTTTTTTTTAGGGGCACTGGGGACGGAACCAGAGCCTTATGCATGCTAGGTAAGTGCTCTACCACTGAGCTACATCCCCAGCCCAAGACCCCATCTCAAAGTAAACAAAATTTAAAAACCCCTAAACCTGAGAGAGGGCTTCATCCTCCCCTCACTCCCCAACTGCATGGGCCTGTGGATTCTCAGCTTTCCAGGGTTCAGCCGCTTTTCTCAGCACAAAGGGCTCCTTTGTGTGATGGGCTGTGAACAGGCTAAGACTTATAGGGAGGCTCCCAAATAGACACACTGGCCTTCCATTAAGCTGGAAGTTTGGCTTTAGCTTGGAGTAACTGACCTTGGGGCCTCTGCTCCCTGATCACATAGTTTTGAACCACTACTGACAATTTATTTATTTATTTATTTTTGGTACTGGGGACTGAACTCAGAGGTACTTCCCCACTGAGCCACAACCCTACTTCTTTAAAAGAATTTTTTTTTTTCTTTTTTGGTGGTGCTAGGGATTGTACCCAGGCCCTTCTGCATGCTAGGCAAGCACTCTATATCCCCAGCCCCTCCTTTTTTACATTTTTGAGACAGGGTCTTGCTAAATTGGTTAGGGCCTCACTAAATTGTTGAGGCTGGCCTTGAATTTGCAATCCTCCTGTCTCAGTATCCGGAGTTGCTGTGATTACAACTATGCACCACTGTGCCCCCTGCACTACTGACAACTTTAAATGACAGAAACACAAATGTTTAAGAATCTGGTAAAATTACTCAAATCTAGTGTTCACATGTAAAGAAAGCAAGAAAAATGTAAGACACTTTTGTAACCCACAAGTATTACTTTCAGAAAATGAAGATGTAAGTTAATGATTTCCACAGCAAGAAATGGTTTGCTAAACTATCAATCATACTTGAACACAGCTAGGTGTTGGGGCTGGGGGTGTAGCTGAATACCTGCTTGGCATGTGGGAGGCCCTAGGTTCCCCAGGACCCAATAAATATATGAATAAAATAAAATAACAGATCTCAGGGACTTACATGCTAAGAGGCGAAACAAATGGAAACAAGAATTTTTTAAATAAATACAAAGTTATATTGGAATATTTTACTTTATTGTATTCCTCCCCCCCCCCCCGCCCCCAGTTTTGGGCATTAAACCCTGGCCTTGCACATTAGGCAAGTGCTCTGCCTGAGTTACATCCTGGGCCCAGGGAATATTTTATTTTTCATATTCCCTTTCTAGTCTCTTTGGAATATTGTAGACTATCTCTTAAACTTTAGTTACTGAATACATTTTACATCTATTTAAAAATGACTGGTGCACCCCTGGGCTTGGGAGGCTGAGGCAGGAGGATTGCAAGTTCAAAGACAGCTTTGGCAATTTATTTATTTATTTTTTTATGTGGTGCTGAAGATTGAATCCAGAGCCTCGCACGCCTAGGTGAGCGCTCTACCATTGAGCCACAACCTCAGTCCCAGCCTCAGCAATTTAGCAAGAAGCTAAGCAACTCAGTGAGACGCTGTCTCAAAATAAAGTCCAAAAATTGGGCTGGGGATGTGGCTCAGTGGTCGAATGCCCCTGTGTTCAATCCCCAGTACCAAAAATAAAAACCCGGTACTCAAATAAGAGAATAAATATGTCCATGGTTGCAAGGCCAGGGAATGCTTGAAAGGACACATCACCAGGATTTTGCCAAGAGCCACCTCAATCCAAAGGAATCCCCCTAGGATGGCTGTGTCCAGGAAACATACTACCAGAGACACATGGATTCTGTACAAGTGGTTCCAGATGGTTATTCTCTGCTCTCCTTTCATGTGACATGTCCACAAACTAGACATGAGTTTTTGAAGAAGCGCAATCCACAACTCTGTGGGGGGGAAAAACGTTATTAAAATGCTGCGTGGGTTTGAAACGCACCACGGAGGATCAACGGCGATAGACGATGCATTGCGTTGGGGATCGGAAGGCGACATCTGGAAATGCGGGGAAGGATCTGGAAATTTAAGGACTTAATGTCAGCCCTAGACAGAGCCAGGTTAGGGCAGCAGACTAAATCCGAGCCAGCGCTGCCCACATCTTCGGAACACTCTCTGGGAAGCTGACACTCGGGGGAGAGAGGAGGCTCGGACCCCGCCCCTGCTCCTCCCGCGCGAGCCGCACACGCGAGTCAGGGTCCCCGCGATCCTGGCGGGCGCCACACAGTCGCGGAGCCGCCCAGGGAGGGGCGCGCAGGGGCGGGGCGGGAGGGACACAGGGTCGCCGCTGCCCGCCCCGCCCTGCGGCCGTAGGGACAGAGGACGGACTCGGCCGCCAGCGCGGACCCGGCCGGGCAGTCCCCCGCCCCAGGGCCCGGCCCCACACTTACCATCTCCCGGCCTGGCGGTCGCGGCATCCTCCCCTCGCAGCCCGCCGGGGCCGCCCACGCCTCCGCACCGCCACCCGAGCGCTCCGCGGCGGCGAGGCACGCGCGGTGGACTGCGGCGGAAGCGCACGGCGACACCAAGGCGCCTTGCGTAGCGTGGCCACACCCTCCTTCCCGGAGGCGCCCTCTTTGCCTGATTGACAATAGGGGAGGTCACCTAGCTAAGTGGTCCCCCACCGGGTCTGTTGGCCCGACCTCTTCCCTCGGGCCCTTTTAACCTTAAAGCGGAATTGTTCACCCCGAGGGCGGGACGCTGGGATCTTCCCGCAGCTGCTGGAGCGCGGGGACAGAGGTGTGCCCAGGAAAGCCCAGGCCTAGTCCCCCTCCAGGTGTTGGGATCCCTTGAGGAGCCACCCACTGGGGAGCAAGTACAGAACTAGAGGGTCAGCCAGGTCTGCTACAGAGAGCCAGGTCAGATCAAGGAGGCCAACATGAGTGAGTCTGGGAAGTTGGAGGCTGCACCCTGAGGAACTGAATGCCTTCAGAGCCCTCTTCCACCCTATCTAGATCACCTGCCCCTGCTCCAACCTGTTGCTAAGGTAACCAGGCTGCTCCATCCTGCCCTGCCCCCTTCAGCCCACCTGTTTCTCACCTTTGGCCAACCCACTGGTACCACTGGTCCTGCTTCCCCACAGGGTGAAGTTGGAACATTAGAGAAGCACGCAGAGGCAAGCATACAAAGCAGGGTTTGTTTTAAAAGGGGTAGCATAGATTTCTCCCTGGAGGGAGAAGGGGGCCAAAGAAGCGAGGTGTTCTGCCCTTTTTAGATGTCCTAGGCTTCCTTTGTTCTCCTGCCTTTTCCTCCTTATCTAGGTTGCCCCCTTTTAAATAAACCCTGCTTTATATGCTTGCCTTGGCTGCTTCTCTAATGTTATACTTCAACATGTGGGGAAGCAGGACTAGTCACCGGTAACTAGCAGTATTGTTAGACCACGACGCAAGAAAAGACCACTGACTCCAATTAAAATCAAATTAAAGCAAGCTTATTATTTCGACCTGCCGGGCTGCCTTGCCCATCAAAATCGTGGGAGCCAAGGACAGCCGCGAGGCTTCTTTGTGGCCCAGTTTTATAGCCCAAAAAGTTACACAAAGGGGGGTTACAGATAACAACACTCTGAGGAGCATAACACAAGTTTACATTTTTGCTGGCCCCAGCATCAGAATTTATGGAGATCTTAGAGACTCAGAGAGGGTCGTTATCCGGCCAGGGAAGGCCAGAATTTATGAGGCGTCACTAAGGTTTAGGAAAGGGTTGTTATATGGTCAGGGAAAACCGGACATGGGTGAGTTCAGGGCACGGGCAGGCATTCCAATCAGCTTTACAACATCAACTAATGGCCAGGCCATACAGACATCCTGATATTTTTACAGAAAACAGAAATGAATCCTTCATAACTTGTGACAAGCTGGCTTCTGATCTAATGAGATAACTAGGCTAGGTATATCAGTATCTCAGGGACACTTCGTAAAGCAATCACACCATGAGAAATGTTCAATAAATCCCCCAAGTATAGGGGCTGGGGATATGACTCAGTTGTTACCTTGCATGCACAAGACAAGGCACCCTGGGTTCAATCCCCAGCACCACAAAAACAAACAAACAAACAACAACAACAACAAAAAAAAAACCTCAGGTGTACATTTTACATGGGAAGAAAGCTTACTTTGGAGCAGTTTATTTTTGCCACACTGGGGACTGACCCCAGAGACTCCTACCTGTCAGGGAAGTGCCATGTTAGATTGAGAGTGTTCTGTTGTAGTGGCACCCGCTTTCTCCACAGAAAAGTCTAAACTGGGCTTCTCCAGAAATCTTCACCATGGCTGATTTTAGGAATGTCAGCAAAAGAGTCTCTATAAAAGATTTCAATGTAGATAAACTTTCTATTTTCATGTCGCCCTGTTTTACTTGGCCACTGGCTGGGAAGATACCAGCACTCCAGGTGCTGGACACCCCCTTACTAGTTTTTCACAAACACATCCAGTATAGTAGTTTGTAGAAATGTGCAAACAAGGCCTCTGGCCTTGAGCTGGGCTTCACAGAGATGTCTACGTTTTTAAGATAAGTCACAATTGGGCTCCATGGTAACAGCTGGCAGGGGGAGGAAAGAAAGGGGAGAAGACGCTCTCCCCATCTCAGGTGTTGTCCTTGAAGAGTTAACTTGCCCAGAACAGTGAAAGAAAAAGCTGCTTTTATGTGAACTTCTGCAGACTGTGAACTTCTGAGCCCCTCCCCTTACATGCTGGGTATAAAACTCTGAAACTACCTGAGCTCGGGGGTTCAGGGGATTGATTGATTATAGCAAAAGTTGTGCCCTGTGAACCTGGCTAAAGCCAAATAAAACTGTTTCCTGCTATCTTCGTCGGTGCCTTGCCTAGGCACCCTCATTTGTCTCTACAACACTGTGAGCTGATTTATTTATTTAGTTAGTTAGTTAGCACCAGGGATTGAACCCAGGGGTGTTTAGCCCCTGAGCCAAATTCCCAGCCCTTTTTGCCCTTTATTTAGAAACAGGGTCTCGCTAAATTGCTGAGGCTGTCTTTGAACTTGCAATCCTCCTGCCTCAGCCTTCTGAACTGCTGGAAATACAGGTGTGTGCCATCACACTAGGCTTGAAACTCTCGAGATTCTACAGACTTTTTTCTTTTTTTTTTTTTTTTTGGTACTGGGGGTTGAACTCAGGGGCATTCAACAACTGAACCACATCCCCAGAACTATTTTGTATTTTATTTAGAGACAGGGTCTCACTAAGTTGCTTAGTGCCTCCCCATTGCTGAGGCGGGCTTTGAACTCCCCCAGTCTCAGGCTCCCCAACCACTGGGATTACAGGCATGTGCCATGGCACCCCACAAGATTCTACAGACATTTGACCTTGGGCTGAATAGAACATCATGATTGTGCAGCGCTTGAATGTTGCAGGTGGAAAGCAACTTGGGAGATCATAGACCTTTTAGAAAAATAAGTTTTTTTGTTTTGTTTTGAATACTGTTTATTGAATGCAGGCCTAACACATACTAGGCAAGCACTCTGTCACTGAACCTTTTATTTTGAGACAGTGTTTTGTTAAGTTGCCCAAGCTTTCTGGTTACTGGTGACAAGTTCTGCTCCCCATCACATGTTGAAGTGCAACATTAAAGAAGCATGCTGAGGCAGGGTTTATTTAAAAAGGGGTAACATAGCTCTTACTCTCTTACTCTCCCCTCTCTCTCTCCCCCCTCTCCTCTCTCTCTCCCCCTCTCCTCTCTCTCTTCCCTCTCTTTCTCTCTCTCCCTCTCTTCTCTCTTCCCCCTCCTCTCTCTTCCCTCTCTTCCTCTCTTCTCTCTCTCCCCTCTCCTGTTTCTCTCTTCCCTCTCTTCCTCTCTCTCCCTCTCCTCTTCCTCTCTCTCCCTCTCTTCCCTCTCTCTCCCCCCCCTTCCCTTCTGCTACTGGCCGCTACAGTCCTGCTAATAAGATCTCGGGCAGGTAAACAGTTGTTTTGGCTTGTTGAGTTTCTGGAGCTTTGCCACCGTTCCTAACATTGGTGCTGAAACCCGGGACGGGGGATCCCTGTCACTCAAGGCAGAACCCCGTTCCCAAACTCCGAGCCCAACCGTTCCTGTCGTGGTCCACTCCTCTGATCACCTGCCTGACATCCACCACCGGCCTGCAGGTTGCTCCTCCTCAGGGATTACCAGCTACTTGCCAATGAGCGGGACGACATGCACATCCAGTCATCCCAAGAAACCTCCACCGAGTGCTGAAAGATGAAGATACCGAATGACAACTCCACCAAAGGGCCATCTCTACCCCACCATGCCAAAAAAATAAGCCCCTGGCTTTCAGCTTTATATATCTGCCTTCTCCTGGGCATTGGCCTTTTCTACCAGCCTGCAGACTGGACGACATGCCAGAAATTAATGCTGTTTCTTTTCATAGCTGCAGGGCACATTCATGGACTTCTCCCTGGAGGAAATCCATGCCTTCAGTGCATGGATATGGGGCCTCCTGGCCCTCCTTCTCCAACCAACTAACCTCCCTCCCTCCCTCTAAACGATGCCCCTACTCAGCAGGAAGTAGCCTGATGGAGTACAATGCCCCCAAACCAAAACAAAAAAGGGAGGAATGTTGGTAAAGATGGTGCCCAGAGCGCTCCTCTTCTGGGAGCTCAGGTCCATGACGCACTGAATGGTGCACCAACCGTCACCTCCAATCACTGTGGATGGCGCAAACTTTGAATGGCACACCTCCAATCCCTGAAGGGGCTTGAACTCTCAGCCTATGAAGAAGTAGCAGCCCACTTGCCTTGCTCTTCCTCACCCCACGTTTAGCCCATAAATATCAACACCCTGTTCATGCTCACTCTCTTACTCTCCCCTCTCTCTCTCTCCCCCCTCTCTTCTCTCTCTCTTCCCTCTCTTCCTCTCTCTCTCCCTCTCTTCTCTTCTCTCTCTCTCTCTCCCCACCCCCACCTTCTCTTCTGCGACTGGCCACTATGGTCCTGCTAATAAGATCTTGGACAGGTAAATACTTAAAAAATTAAATTAAATTAAAAAAATAAAAAGGGATAACATAGACTTCTTCCAGGAGGGAGAAGAGGGCCATTGCTGGTATCCTGGTATCCCAGGAAGTGAGGGGTTTTGCCTTTTTTATATATCTTAGGCTTCCTTTGCTCTCCTGCTCTCTTCCCCCTATCTCTCTCTTTCCTGCCTACCGACTAGGCCCAGGAGATGCTCAGTGGGCTAACCAAAAGGTGAGAAGCAGATGAGCTAGAGGGGCCAAGTTGGAGTGATCTGGGCAGGAAGGGGGCATAATTAACAACTCCCTGTAGGGAGGGACAATCTCTGGGTAGGGTTACCTTAGCAACAGGTTGGAGCTGGGGCAGGTTATCTTAGAAGGGTGGAGGAAGGGGTCAGAAGGCATTAACATTTCAATCCCTCTCCAACTTCCAGGACTCACTCAAATTGGCCTTCTAGATTGGCCCTGACTCGATTTCCCTAACTATACCTGCTGGCAGCTGGAAGTTTGCTGGGGCCGCAGTCTGGCTGGGCACAATCAGGAGCCAC